ACCGTGCCCCCCCCCCCCCCCCCAACAGCTGAAGCAACGCCTGCTATGTCCAACACGCACACGCCTACCTGACGTCTGTGACGATTATTGTGTCATCCAAAGGAACTTGAGAACCGAATGCTCGAGGGTGCGCAACTACAATGTAGGGATTTTGGCGATCCTTCGGCCCCCCACGTATGCAACTTGACTGGGTGCCATTGTTTCCCCCTTCAGGCAATGCAGAGGAGGTCTGTCAAACGGATTTGAGCCAGTGGATTTATCTGCATCCTCTGGCCGTCCAAACCTAGCCATTATGCCGTATTAGTATCACTGAGGGTCAGGCGGTGGACTGCTGCAGAGCAGCGGGCTTGCTACGTGAGCATGGATGATGGCAGTAGGCGCGTGGTGTCGCAACCGTGTATATCATCATGATCACACTGATCACCGAAGAGTCCTGTCAACTCCTTCCCCTTTAACAGCCTTCGCTCACAACCACTCCAAGGGCGAGTAGAGGAGCTCATATATCGGGCCTGGTCCTCCATGTATTCGTCTGAGAGCCCCATCCAAGAGCTCAGGAGAGGCATCGACCTGAGGTGCCATGATGTCAGCGTTCATCGAAAGCTATCGTTGAGTTGCAATCTACTAGGCAAATAGTCTGCCTGTCAATGTTGGTGTTGGACTTGATGGACTGACTTTAACTGTCAAGTAGGAGACCAGATAGCTTATCAAGGCACGGACCACTCAATAAGTTGGGGTCTGGTCTCTCGTGCCCCCTCCCCACTTCGGAAAATCCTTAAGTCGCCCAAGCCAATCAGAACACCCTGCCTTGACAGCTGTCGGAAAAATTCCTTTCTCAATTGAAGAAAAAGTTCCCAAAGAGCCAAGCCTGTGAAAGGACCAAAAGCTTCAATTTGCCCAGTGCAGGAAGCAGCCAGACCTCCCGGATTCTCGCACAACAAACTCCACACAACATGTCGTTCAGAGGCCGCGGCGGCGGCGATCGCGGAGGAAGGGGTGGTTTCCGGGGTACGCACACAAACTTTTCCCTCTCCCCTCCGTCATTCGGAGAAGAGCACGAGCTTGCTCTCTCTCTCTTCACGGTGGAAAGCACCATGGCAGAGCACACATGGGGCAAAGGCATTTCGTAATGGACCAAAGGCTAACACTCATCCTCTCACCTGCAGGCGGCCGAGGCGGCTTCAACGCGCCCACGGGCCCCCCCGACCAAGTCTTCGAGATGGGCGAGTTCCAGCACGCCGTCGAGGGCGAGATGCTCTGCCGCTCCGTCAACGTCAAGGTGCCCTACTTCAACGCGCCCATCTACCTCGAGAACAAGGTGCCCATCGGCAAGGTCGACGAGATCCTCGGCCCCATCAACCAGGTCTACTTCACCGTCAAGCCCCAGGAGGGCATCGTCGCCACCAGCTTCAAGGCCGGCGACAAGGTCTACATCGGCGGCGACAAGCTCCTGCCCCTCGAGCGCTTCCTGCCCAAGCCCAAGGTCCTCGGCGAGAAGAAGGTCAAGAAGCCCGGCGGCGGCATGGGCGCTCGCGGAGGCCGCGGCGGACCCCGCGGCGGGTTCGGCGGGCGCGGCGGGCGCGGCGGGTTCGGCGGGCGCGGCGGCCCTGGCGGTAGGGGAGGCGGTGGTTTCTCCCGGGGCGGCGGCCGTGGAGGTTCCTTCGGCGGCGGCCGTGGCGGTGGTGGCTTTGGCGGTCGGGGTGGTGGCCGTGGCGGCAGCGGCGGCTTTTCAAGGGGCCGTGGCAGGTTCTGAACGGAGCGAACAAAAGAAAAGTAAAGGCCAGGATTGGATGTTTTTCTGTGTGTCATACCCGGTTGTTGGGTTTACATGATCCCGTCCATCCTCAGCGGGCGGCAGGCGTTTCGGATGGCAATGCTCTTTATTTTTTGGCTCTAGCAGATGGAGAATTTCACGTCGTTTCAAAGTCCAGTGAATGCAGCCAGAGCCTGAATCCCAAGTGCATGTCTAACATCGTAAGAGCAAGGGTCACAGTCTTCAGCAACATCGTACATTTTGGCGATGAGAACATTGTACAGTGAAAAGGGTATCTTGTCTATTCTCTAGAAGATCTATGTAAAAAAAAAGAAAAAGAAGTAGATCTATGCCGAGTCCCACATACAAGTATCATACACACCACGCCGACGATCACATCAGTCAAAGTGGGCGTGTTCATCCTCCACGTCAGTCCCCGGGTCGTCCGAGACCCTGCCCACGAGCTGGGAATACGTCGGGCGGAAGGGCCACTTCATCCACGCCTCGAGGATCTCGACGAGCTGCGCCTCGTTGAGCGTGCGCACCGAGACCTCGCCGAACCCGCCAAACGGCATGCCGCCCCTCCCGCGGTCCCGCAGGCTCGGGCAGTGCGGCAGGACGCCCTCGGCCGCGCCGGGCCACACGCTCTCGAGCGCCTTGCTGACCGGGTCCGCGGCGAGCTGCAGCAGCCCGCGCAGGACGAGCTCGAAGATGTCGCCGGCCCGGTTCGACGAGGGGCCCATCTCCCGCATGAGCGGGTGCACCGCCTTGGGCTGGATGTCGAGGAGGCAGCAGGGCGCGTTGGGGAAGAACTCCGTCCCCTTGACCGCCAGGGGCTCGACGTACCGCCGGTCCCAGTTCAGCAGGCGCGGGTCCTGGTCGAAGATGTGCTGGTTGTCGCGGTAGAGCAGGTAGTCGTGCTGCTTCTCCTTGACCAGCTTGTCGATCGAGTCGTTCCACTCTGCCGTTCGCGCCTTGAGCTCGTCGGTAACCTCCCCCTTTTCGTACTGCTCGGCTAACGCGTCCCGTTCGTCGAGGAGCTCGATGATTTGATTAGCCTTTTTGCTTTCCCGAGCTGCCCTATACCTAAGGTCCCTGAGCCGCAGAAACGTGTCCGATTTCTTGTCAAAGAGCCCGGCACTGAATTGTTCTTCCAACTCTCGCTTCTCTTCCTGGTAGGGCCGGAATAGATGCGGCATTGTTTTCGAAGAATCAATCCTAAGAGGGGATTTCGAGGAGCGAATCTCCTTGATGAGTTGGCTTTCCCGACCCTCCGGTATGCTAATGCCCCTCTCATCAAGCTTTTGAAGCATCTCCTGTGCGCTTTGCAGATCTAGCGCGCGGTCGCGTACGAACCAGCGGTTCCCCGACGCGTTCGTATCCTCGACGCCCGCAATCTCGCAAATCCAGTCCGTCGAAAGCTCGCCATCGATCGCCAGGCGCTTCCTGCGCTGTAGCGAGCGGGGTATCAGGCCGACTTTGTCGTCGTTGCCGCACCATATCAGCATGCGCACCAGGCCGTACTTTTGGAACAGCGACGATGCCCGGATGCTCGAGATGAACTGGAAGAGGACCAAGTTGGCGACCGAGTCGAAGCTCCGGAAGCTTTTCTTGGGGTGGAATGCCAAGTTGGCTACCACCAACAAGGTGTCATTCCGCTCGGGCGTTTCCCGCGACCGAGGAGCTCGCTCAGTCTGGTGGGGAAGATACGTCGGGTTGAGAATGTCGTTGAGGTCTCGCCAGACTATGCCGGATTTCCGGACCAGCGTTGTCGTGTCCATTTTCAGGAGAGGTTCGAGGAAGGGTCGGTAGAAAGTCTCGTCCGGCTCCATGAGGATATGGGATCTGGGCTGGAGGAGGTCATGTAGCTTCTGGCTCCATAGGCCTGCGCCGGGGTAGATATCGATGAGGTCGCATCCTTTATGCCGCTCGAGCGAGGACCCGATGTAGGCTATGATGTCGTCTGTAGGGCATTTAGCAATCATTTCCAAGTAGTGGAGAAGGCCGGAAGCTTTGAAGCAGGTCGCAACTTACCACAGAGTTTCGGATCGACTATGTTCACCCGGCTCCTATCGGCTTTTGGTTTCTTGACACCCTTGGACGCGCCCCATCTCCCAAACTTCCAGAGAGCGGTCGCCTCGAGCTTCTTTGCGAGCGGCGTCGTTGCTTTGAGAAGGTCTTTTGCGACTGTGGCCGCATGGCGGTAGCTCGGTTGGCTTGGGAGGCGCTTGCGCGAGAACGTCGCAGAGCTTCGCACGCAGCTCCGAGTGAGAAACATGTAGAAAAGCAATTACGAGCCAAAGAGAACCAAAAGATCCATTCCCTACCCGGACCGTTATTCGTCTCGCGCACAATCACTGCACTGCATCATCGATCACAGAAGCTTCTCGAGTTCTGTAATGCCGTTCTCGACCGCCTACAGTGACGTTTTAGCGGAACAAAGAGCGTGCTGACTCAGCGGACCGGCCCCTGAACAACAACATCAAGGAACCGGGAGATGGCCTGTCACATTGCGAGCAAATGTGGTAAATATTCGCAGATTTCACAATAACTTTTTGAATTGCTGCATATACGTTTTCCCGTGCATGTTTTACAGTAGATCTTGCCGAGCGCCTTCAGCGCCCCCTTCCCTTGCTTATAATGAATGCATCTTTTGTACATGAACTTCACGGCTCGATCTGTTGGACAGTCTTCTCCCCAATACCACAACTTTCTAGCTGACAATGAGTTGGGGAAATCCGTTATTTTCAGACCGGATTGACAGTGGCGAGAGCTGGGATTTGGTCGAGATGGGGGAAAATATTGATGTACCCGGAGTTATTGGAGATTTACCATGCGCGGAGTAGGGGGCTGGACCAGCAAAGTATCTCGGGCTCGAGCCATATGAAGATGACGTCTTGGTGGACTTCGGAGTTACAGGGGAGGGCGTATTGGTCTCGTACCGCTCCATCGCCGCCATCTTGCTCAGCTTGCGAAACACTCGTTCTAGCCGATATCTGGCTCCGCAGACGGGGCTGAGGAGGTTCCTCGTGTGACTGCCATGGCATGCGTGCAGGGTCCCAGTGGGATCTGCAATATTGCAGCCGAGCAACGCCGTCCACCTGCGCCAGAGCCTCGAGCGATTAGCCGAGAGAGTCCGCAGTATCTCCCTCTGCGGGAGGAAGAAGCGAAAGAGACGAGGGCTGAGCAGATGGTAGACGAGGTTGTCGACAGCGTATTGGAGGAAGGGATAGCTCGACATGACTAGCCGGCGTTGGTCGCGGACGTTCTGGCGCCAGTACTTCGACTCTGCTGGCGACATCGGGGCAACAGAACAGTTGCCTTGCCCGAGAGGATCGAGCTCGGTCATGTTCAGAAACGCAAGACATGCGTTGAGCATGCAAAGATGGCCATGATCGATGAGGTCGTCTGGCGAATATGTCCCTGGCTCTGGGGGCTCGTGACTGGCACTGGACAGGCAGGCGAATCCGCGTCCAGACAGGAAGAAGTTGCGAACCGACTCGTGGATGACTTGAACTCTTTGCATGCCCAGAGGCTCGTACATGACCCCGTCCCGGCCCTGAGCTCGGAGCTCGACCAGTCCGATTGACCGTAGCCGCATCCAGCGCTGGAAGTGATACGGCGTGTCGAATGCTCCTTCGTCACTAGCTGAGTGAGGGAAATCTCGTAGCGAGCCGGCCGGTCCGAGGACGAATGTCATATAAGGCTTCAGTTCATGAGGGTGCCATCGCTTCGTCACCTGCATGGCAATGCGCAGGTCGTTGAGCCGCATGGGCTCCGAAGCCAATATGACCCACTGCATCAGTGTCATGGTTTCGGCCTTTTCCTCGGGGCTCAGCGTTGAAAACAGCCAGGCGTACAGGTCGTCTATCTCATCTGGCAAGTCGATGATGGTGTCTTCGATCATTTCTTGCGTTGCCCCTTCCATGATGGCCGAGTTGAGTATGTTGACGACGATTTCCGCCCACAAGAAGCAGCCTCCGGCCTTGTGACCTATCTCCACCACAGTGTGGTTGCGATCTTCCCATTCTGCTATCAAGTTAAGACTAACAAAACGAAGGATGTCATCCACATTCCTCTGATGCATGACAATCTCGGTTGCGTTGTCACTAAAGACCTGGGGTAGGCTGGAGCTGGCCAAGCAGATGCTAAAGTCGGAATTCTGCGCCAGCTGTGAGAGGGAGTATACCAGCTCTTCGAGGTAAGGGGCGCCACAGTCGTCGGCCGCGTCGACGAATATGAATGTGCGAAGTGTCGGCGTCTCGATCTTCTGGTCGACATAGTCATCGAGGAAGAAAGATACGAGATGAAACTCCTCTAGATGGTGCCCTGAATCATGTTTTCTTTTCTCCAGCATCAAAAGGGCTTTGCGTAGCCGAGGATCTTGCTCGAATAGCTGCGCAAGAAGGTTGCGATACACTGCCGCGGGAGAAGTTTGGTGAGGTCGGTGGAATGCTCCAGGAGAGAACACGTCGTCCAAAGTCTTCCCTTCTGCTGTGCTCCAAATCAGACTGGCACCTAAAGGTTCCCATTGCTTTTCGACTCGGCTGCGGAGTGATTTCAGCAGGATTGACTTCCCAGAGCCTGGTTTCCCCTTCACCCAGAGTAGCCTTCCTCGCCCAGCCTTGACCCTCTGGTACCAGGCCCGGAACTCGGGCATGTCGTACAGCCACAGGCATGTCCCTGGGTAAGAAAGTTGCGAGTGGGCTTCTTGAGGAGGTGGCCGTGCGGGCCCGATGGTTCGCAGAAATGCTACCAAGATGTGAGCATTGTCAATTCTATCATCTATATAGCTTTCTTACCTTGTTCTTTGTCGCTCATGGGCCGTAGCTAGTTGGTATCAGCGAGATAGTTCGAGCGAAGATCTCAATCATAGAGCTTACTCGATGGGTCTCGTCGTGGATAATCTTCATCAGAGTGAACGACAAAGACCTATAAGCCTCGTCACCCATAGCGCGATACCGACATATGCCAATGTGGTCCCCCAGAATACCTTCCGCCTGCTCCCGTGGATCGCCTAAGAAGCTGGCTTCCCGACGAAGGGTCTATGGACCAGTCAGTAATGACATACAGACCATATACAAACCGAGTCCTTACAAGATCTGTCAAGGCTCGATTCCTCTGGGCATCTATGGCTACTTTCTCGTGGAACGTCTTGACACGGAAGTTGTAATTGTTCCATAGTCGGAGGAATGCGAGGCGGTTGAGGTTTAGATTGGCGCTTACTGCACCGCTCAGATCTCTCAAGACGGCATCGTCTGCTGCGACTTTTAGGGTTGTGCTGGCCATATTGCGCACTGCATGGCTGAGTTTGCCATATTGGCTGTCGCGATGAGGGCAACCGATGAAGAGGATCGATCTTGTCGAATGCAACACATCCTTTAAGCTTGGTTCTCCCATGTTCTCTGATCGCCGCAAAGCCTGTCATCATATGTCAGCAATGAGCCCTCGGTGGATATGTGGTGGCAACTAATAGTTCTTACCTCTTTTACCACAATACCTCCCAGGGAATGCGTAATGAAGACAAGGGATCTTCCCTTAGTCTTCGTCTTCTCCCGAAGGATAGCGAGGTCATGTAACATTTCATCTCCGTGACCAAATACGTCGAGCTGCGCCGGCAGCAGCTTTCCATTTGTCGACAGTGTCTGACAGCCATAGGTCAATATTCGCGAGTTCGGGCAGCTGTTGGGGAGGAAGTCTAAAGGCCAGTAAACATCCGAACTCGATTGTGACTTCGATTCTTGGTCTTGGACGAGCAACTTCAGCTTTGATGAAGTCGAGTTCGACCGTTTCAATCGGTTGGAGTCGTTTCGTCTCGGTCCGGGATCGGCTTTTGCTTTCGCCGCAATTCTTGACTCTGACCTGCTGGAGACGTGATTCTTCCTCAGTACATTGCGTTCTCTCGGTGCTATGATGCCCTCCTGGCCTTCCTTTCTCAAAGTCGAGTTTGATCTCTTGAGTCGTAGGCTTGAGGACTTGATTAAATCCTTCAGGGACCCTTTCCTCCGTAACGTTCTTTCGGGCTCCTGCTCTTGATTTTGAACCGCCACCTGCCAAGTCCTGACTGGATGCCCTCCCAAGCTGGATACGAGAACTATGCTGTATCTATGTTAGGATGTGTCAGATTTCAGCCCAGAACAAGGGCAGCTCACTCGACAATGGCCTCATCATTCCCATCCGGCTCGTAGATGACTGCTAGCCCTGAAGAGGGAATGGACGGCTTATTGCGCTTCATTCTCGCGCTGGATCCATGGATGATGGATCACAGGTGCAGACGCATGCAAGCTGCAAGATAGAGTCGCCAATCCATGCGAGGATCATGCGAGCATATGAAAGGGCGATGCAGCTCCCCGGAGGATCAGTGCACGATGTCGGGCGCGCACGAGCACAAACATAGCTTAGCATACAGAATTACTGCTATTGGAAACCGAGCCGCTCTCAAGAAATGCCATGGCAGCACTCCACAAGCTTGATTAGGCTGTATCACTCCCGACTTGGTAGCAAAGACAAAGCTCCCGGCGAGCTCTTGTCCCTCTTCGACTCTCTATCCGACGGGTGAGCCGTGCGGCCTGGTTTTGCCGGCCGATGAGCCTCTCGAAGGTCATAGGTGTGACAGACACGCACACCGAGCCGTGCGCCCTCACTCACTTTCAAGCCGCCCCTGAATATCCGGATCGGCTGTTTCGGGAAACCTGTCGCAGGGACAACCATGCGCGATTTGAGTAGGTCAGTGATTACAGAGCTGCATGATTGTTAGAACAAAGACGACGATCTTGATTATGATTGGGGTACTAGCCCTGTGTGGTGTGTGAATACAGGGATGTCATACACTGATGATCATCGAGAACCACTGAGCCAAAGTGATAAACCACTCCACACTGTCCAAACAATCTCCAAGTCACTCATGTATTCAGAAGCCGAAGAAGCAACACTTTTTCTTGGTAAAGAGAGTAGTTTGACTCCAAGGTTGCTCACATCCTCGACTTGCACCACGAAGAAATGGCATGGGTTAAGATGGTATGTTTCAGGGATAAATATGATGGAGCAGATATAGATATTCTTAACTTTATTGACCAAAAGTATGCCGAAGATTCAAGGCATTGAATTGAAGTCTTCTTCATCAATTATGCTCATGCCGACAGGACTTCCAGTCATGAACTACATGTGTGGCCAGGCCATGGTCAGGTTAGTCGACAGGCCGATAAGAGGAGTACTTGAATATCCATCAAATCCATCGGTTTTAGGTAGTGGGATAGCCCTCACAGGACCCAGAGGCAGGGGATGCATTGTTACCATTGAGGTTTCTCTTCATGAACTTCTCGTCAACAATTCTTACACTCACTGGGTTATTCTAGCATTGGCGTTCAGAAGCAGAAGATTCCGCGGGCCTTCCGGTTCGATTCACTTCTTATCAAGCCCAATGAGAGCGAATTTAAAGGAAACAAGAGAATTCAAGAATGGAATTTTTAATCCAACTCAAACCATGCGATGATCATGACAAAGAGTTGAGGACGATGGGTATCACGTGAAGTCGCATCAGGAACGCCACCTGGTTTTAGCGCCTGCCAGCTGTGACGCCCCGGATTTATGACTTCTGAGGTAGGCGGGGATCGATGCTCATTAATCATAATCATCACGACCACTGTCTGTTCTCGCTGCGACAGAGCATCCTTCTTGAGTATGAGAACCACGCATTCTTAGAGCCTCTCTATTAGAGCCGGAAATTATGGCTCCATGGAATCTGTTCGTTCGAACACTTCTCCTCTGCGAGGTACGTTCTCCGTGATTTTCCGCCTCCAGCCATGACCAGTGGACTAACCGACCTTGAAACAGACCGCGATCGTTAACCGGGTATGCTCGACGTCTACCTCTCTCGATTCTGCACGCTTGGAGGCGTTTACTGAAGTTTCTCTCTAGATCCTTGCCAGTCCCGGCTTCCATCGCGCAGTTGGGCGCATTCACCGTCGCGTGGAGGACTACCGGTTTGGCCGCAACCCTCATGAACCGCTGCGCCCGGGCGAGGCGACAGGTATGTTGGCTTAACGAGTTCCCGACCGGGATTTGTTTCTTTAATGTGTTCAGTGCTGACCATACGGTGTTCCAGAGGAACCCAATGTAACAAGAAGCGGTTTCTTGGGCCACTTTGTCGATGAATTAAAGAACCAGATTCGCGGAACGCCGACAAACCCTCCCCCATCATCAGGACCTCCCTCGCGACCGAAGAGGTGACCACCGACCGACGACAGCGTTGATCTTCTGTGAGCTCGTCGCCAGACGCCTGCTCTGTGTAGCGCATGCAAATGAACAATTGATAGCCTCACGAGAGGCAGGGCGTCGAATAACCGGGCGTGACGAGGATGACTACCAGGATACATTATTTCCGGTACATACCGACTCTACGCGTGGACAGGCGAACACAAGCGATCGCGGCAGCAAATGACCACGCAATAAGTTATGTGAAATAGCTTTCCTTGCACCGTAGCGTGGGAGGTCAGACTTGACCTTGAACCCTCTAGGGAAAGGACTGGGAGGCCGGTTTCCAACCCAGACGATCAGACGTAGAGGAGAGATCATTGCCGTGCCTGACGCATTTCGATAAACAATACAGAACTCCACTCAGGAATCTTGCTGGACGTGAAATATGCTTTCGTTTTGATGAGTTCCGGCCGAGTCTTGCTCGCACGGTGTTTGGCCCTGGGCTTGCTCCTCTACCTAGCTACCGTAATACTCTGAAGGTCACTGAAGAGGTATCGTTCATGATCCAGCTAATACATTATCCTGACCCCCGCCGCACACCAGCCCACACCCATATCAAGGACCAAGACAGGCCTTTCCATGAACACATCTAACAACCAACACCATGCGAGTCGACGTTCTAGGTGAATCGACGGTGCTCTTGGAGCCATATACGTCAGTTAAAACGCGCGACTCTCCTAATCATTCCCGAAGAGTTGGTCATCAGTGATCCTAAGGACACAGTACCTTACCAGACCCTCGTCACCGCTTGCTTGAAGAGCATAAAATGACATCTCGACTTCCCGTGCACGTCTTAGATTTTCAACAAATATCATAAAACACAGCCCTTAATATCTCCAAGATATCTCAGAAAACGGGAGCACCACCAAGCCACGCATTCTCGCAGAACAGAGATTCATAGTCGATCATATCACGCATAGGATGTGCCGAGTAACGGTATATGCGCGACGATATACGGGCTGTCGCGCCGAGCCCAGACACCTCGTGGTGGCCAGGATCGTCCGCTGGGACTGGCTGCCATCCGATACGGATTTCTGGGGCTACCCGATCCCGGACCCGTGCCGCTACCTGAAGAATTGGCGTGGATACTGCCGCATGGCTATCGTCACTAATCAGCTGAACCGGAGTGGTATGAAGCGCGGCCCTTGCCCCGAGTGCGTCTCTCTGCGGCAGAGACAGGCTTTGTGGCAGAGCTATTAGTAGTTGCTGGGACCGGTCCTCGCCCTGTTCGAGATATGCTTCGAGATGTGACGCGGATGAAGCTCTGGATAACGAGATTAGCTTACCTTGGAATAAGTACTTATCATCAAAAGATTGAGTGTAAGTAATGGTCTCAAATCACAAGGCGATAGTTTCAGAGTAATCGAATCGGATATAAGGATTTGAGGATTCAGAGCAGTTCATGACAATGCATTAAAAGCCGGCCACCGGCAAGACATAAGTAGTAGACAACCTCCTTCTTGACAAAAAGAAACATCAAAGGGTATACGCCAATATGAACAATAAGTAACCTGCCCATCATCCAAGCCGCCGGGTGTTCTCAAAACAGAGCAGAGCAGACCCGCCACGCCTGGCATATAAGAAAGCATTTGGCAGTCTGGCACTACCAAACTCTTTGGGCCAAAAAGATCCGCGCCAAGACCCATCAAAACAAATCATCATCCGCCGCAGCAACGTCCCACTTCTTCGCCGTCAACTTGCGCATCTTCTTGGGGCTCGAGCTGCCCGTGGACCGGGTGGAGGCGGAACTACCACGGCCACCGTCGTCACTAACGCGCAGCCTCTCCATCTTGCGGGTGAGGTCGTTGCCTGCGCCGCGGCTCGGCCTCGGGCTGCTCTTCTCGGCGGCCACGTCGTCCCTCTCCATGAGCGGCTTCCTCTTGGTCGGGCTGCGGCCCGTGAGCTCCCGCTTGAGCACCATGATCTCCCTCCTGAGCCGCTCGTTCTCCTCCTCCAAGTTCTCCACCAGCACGTTCTCCTTGTTCTCGCTGTCCTCGCAGCCGGCGCCGCCCGCCGGCGGTGGGGCATTCTCGTCGCCGGCGGGTGAGACCGTCACCTGCAGGCGCTCCATGACCTCGACTTTGCGGTCCCAGTGCTCCTCCCCGCGCTCCTTCTCGAGCTCGAGGCTCGTCTTCCACCGGGCCAGCTCCAGCACGAGGCGCTGCTCGAACTCGGCGACGCAGTCCTCGCGGATCTCTTGCTCCAGCTCCATAAGCCGGTCGGACATGGACATGAGGTGCGCCTCCGCCTCGAGACGCTTCTCCGTCTCGGCCTCGAGCGAGGATCGGAGGTAGTCCGTCTCCTCTGACAGGCGGGCGATCTCCAAGGCGGCGATCTCCATGGTGACGCGGTCATCAGAGGAAGAGGCATTGGAGCAGGGCGAGAAGGTTCGCTGCACGTTAGGCGACGAAGAGGTGTATGAACCGGCGGTGCTTCCGGGAGGGAAGAAGGGACGCGCGTGGACCAGGGTAGGAGAAGAAAGGGGACTGGAAGATGGTGCTTGGTTGGCGACGGGAGGCAGATTGGCACTACTGTTGTGCAGAATCGTTTGCGTGATGGAGGGAATGCGTGGGACTGTGATCTCGCGGGCCAGGGCGCTGTACCGGAGGATCTGCGAGGTAGCATTGAAATCGCCGTGTGGGTCGGCCGTGACGATCATGACTGCCTTTTGTGGATTGCGATGACCAGAGTGAGACGCATTTGAGGGGAAGGAGTTGGAGAAGAGCAACTCAGTAAGCTTGCATTGCCGGAAGGGCACAACGCTGGGCTAGAGTCACGCAATGTCAGCCTACAGTCCGCATTGAATATGCCATGCAAGGTTTTGATAAACATACCTTGCTCGTGGAAGCAGAGTCACTCTGCATTTGTAGGCACTGGCCAAGATACATCAGACTCTCGTTGATCTTGCCAGCCTCGGCCAGCGTAGCGCCCGCCGTCTTCGCATCCCTCGCTCGTTCACTGCCTGCTAGGTCTACAATAGTTAGAGTGTTACCAGTCCAAGGACTGCGGTCATTGCGCCGGCCCTTGGCACGCTTCTTGACCTCGACACAGAAGAAGCCGTGGCTACGAGAGCTCACGCTATTGCTGCCCGTGCCGGCGACTCGGCGCTCGTGGAGGCCTGCCTCAAGCACCATGAGTGCCTGGCTGAGATTGCTGCAGATGATCTTGCGGAGTCCGGCGACAACCTTTCTGTCTGGTGAGTACTCTGTGCTCTTGAAGAGCAAGGGGCGCCGTCGATACTCCTTCGTCGCCGCAGACTTGACGGGAGGAGTGAGGAGGTCGAAGATACGATCATTGTACACCTCGTACATGGAGACAAGGACGGTGTACTCGGAGCTCGGGTCACACGAAACGTTGATGCTGCTCACGTCGGGTTGTTGTGGTAGCGCTGAGGGGCGGTTCAAGAGCCGTCGGGGCGTCGGAGGTGGTGCTTGAGCATGCGACTCGCCCTTGATTGTGGTCTTCTTAGTAATTGTACTTCGCTGACGTGCGGATGTGGTCGCTGTCATGAAATGTTTTGTTGGAGACTTGAATGGTGAAATAAAACCTCTAGCCAACTGTGGCAGTTGGTATGTGGGTGAGAAAGATACAAATTGCTGCCAGGAGCTCTGATGAGAAGCCTTGCTGGGTGTATGGGGAAGCTCCGGGGCAACTGAGTCCTCGCGGCAGACGACTCGAACACTTCTGAGTCTATCCTTGAGGCGCGGACTTGACGGAAACTTGCCGGGCATGTCCAGTTCTGATACATTGCCTTCTTGGGATGAATTGATAACAGAATCACGAGGATTGGATGAAGAGGAAGGTTGAGAGGAGCCTACAATCATTGGTGTTGGCGCTCTGGAGCTGTAACGTGAGGGCCCAGATGCATCGGCATAGACAGTGTCGAGATATGCGGAGGCAGTCAGGATGCTAGCCTCTGAAGCATCGGAAGCGCTGATAGAAGCCTCGAGCGAGGATTGGCTGGCAAGATCGACAATGTTGTGTCCAAGAGAACGGAATATGACGTCGAGAGACAGTTGCAGCAAACCTCGCTGTGACCGTGATCCCAGTATTGTATGCGACTGCACGTAAAGATGATGATAGTTAGCAACCCGGAGTATACGAGCTTTTGACTCAAGCATGGGAGTGGGATTGCTGTACCTTTCCGGAACCTGTTACACCAAGCGTGGCAAGCAAGGCATCGGTGCCGTCTCCGCCATGCGGTGCCAGCACTCCCTCGACAAGCGGAACGACCCCGGTGCAGTGGAACACATCGAGCTGCGTGGCCTCCTCCTCGAACACTTGGGTGAAGCAGAACTTCTCAATAGCGCGTCTTCGGTCATTGGGAGGGTTGAGCGTGATGTGCGTGGGTGCGGTCGACGGAGCGTCCGTCGCTGGAGGCTCTACGGCCAAGAATCGTTCTGGACTCGAGGAGCCAGCGAGAGCAGGTCGCAGTCGTAGATACACCTGGAAGAGATTGTGCGCTTTGGAGGAAGAGTAAGCATTACTTCCTACAGCGTCCATGATGTCCTGTGCGGCCACGCCGACGTCCGTCTGCGATGCAATCTGAGCTTGGATGTCTGGCTGTCCTGGGAAATTTCAAGGACTCTGAAGTGTCGTGGACGTTTGGAACGATGGTAGACAACCTGAACCAAGGATATGAGTTGTAAGGTTTGTGCTTTTACTGCATGTCGTGCATGTATCGCAACCAGCCCAGCTTGGGATAGTGGTTGCTGGTTGATGCGCGTGTGCGGACCTACGCACACGTATTTACTGTTACTAATTTTGGATGGCTGTTGTTCACGGGGCAACCAGGTTCCCAGTGGGTTTTTGGTGGACCCATCCCATGGCCAGCACAGACCATTTTTCCAGATTCGCCGATAAGATAAGAACCGCCAAGCAAGCCAAAAATTCCAGATGTCCCTTTGCCTTGCGACCCCGCAAATTCACTGCGCCAGAAGAGACCCAGTTTTCAGACGTCATGTCCAACCAGGGTCCTAGAAACTTTTTTGGCCATCGAGATGCTACGTCCTAGCACGCCTGGGAAAGTGGCCTGTACGGAGTAGTAACTGCCTCTCGCAAGCGATCCATCCCAACCAGAACAGTGGAAATCAGGGCCACCAAACAGCTCAGGACACCTGTTGCTGAGCGTGTTTATCATGGTGCCTAGGGTCTGCGCAGAAATTGGTGTTCTGTCGTAGGTTGATAGGCGCGGTCCGGCGTGACTCAGCGCATGGGAAGTCTCTTGTCTTCGGGACACCGGTGGACGAAGCGAACTCGCGCATGCGCTGAATGCCAGACACTACCGTCTGTTTGCCTTGCATTTCTACATGTGTGCGCCAGTCCAGTCACGATAGGAGTCACTCCTTGGTCACATTTCATGTCTGACTGTTCGCTAGCAGAACCAAGGGCCGGCAAGAGGGAGGGTGTGCCCCCCCTGAACGATGCATGGCGTCCAATGCCGCTAGCCAGGTGGTTGAAAGCTTACTCCGTTGTGGGTGCATTCATGTCTGTTCCGTTGACCTAAGGCATGCACGGCTGCTGCAAGCCATCATGTCAGACCAACAAAACATGTGTTTAGATCAACATCGATATGAGATAGGATCTGCTCCGACAGAAGGAGAGAATCAATCATGTCGTTCACGACCTGTGAGAGTTGTTTGCAGCAGCCTCGGAGCGCAGCTTCCATGTTGGGTCGCCTCTAGCCCGGAACGTGTCTCTCCACGACTGTTCGAGATGATGATGAGCAAGTTGATCATTCCTCGGGCCAAGAAAGGTGGTACAAGCGCACAATATTTAGATTTGAGCACATCGGCCTCTCTGCACACAAGCAACCTCCATGTACGGTCGAGAAGATATCGAACCAGGGTCCAAGTGGTCCCGCTAAATGAACCAACCGAACCACTCGCAGCTGGAGATTTGCAGATATTTGACGTAGCCACTGTGGCCCTGTGATGACTGACCCGACACCATGGAAATAGCGGTGACTCGTTGCATTCTCTGCTTCAGTCCTGTTCTCGCTTAGATGGTCACTTCCAGGCAGAATGAGACAAGGTACAGCGCGTAGATGCCGGCGATGAGCAAGCAAAGGGGCAAAATCTGGATCATCAATTGCTGTTATTTCTCAGACAATCCGTTTCTCAACTGTTGGTCCGAGAGGTGGGCGAGTTGGCGAGTCCTCCGAGTGGCCTCATTTCCACTACGGAACAGGCGTTGTAGTGGGCTGTGACTGGTGTGGCAGCTGGCAGCGCCCGGGCCTTAGCGTCGCTGGCCCGCTGAAATTGCCTTCTAGATCGGGGTTCCGGCGCGCACATTGGCCAGCTTGGCCCATGGATGGATCCATGATGGGAGGCTCCATCGCTGGGAAGCCAGGAGAGGGGGGGGGGGGAGACCGGACGGCTTCCCCACTAGGCAAAAAAAGTTTGGTGATATTTTCTTCCCGCTCCCGCCTCTTCTCTCTCTCGCTTCTTCTTACTCTTCCTTCCTGTCAAGGACCACCAAACCCAACACCAAAGACAACGAAGTCGCACTACCACACCAGAGAACCAGAACAGATACCAAACAACTTTGTCGAGAATCCAAGATGCCTTCGGCCGTCGCTGAGCTGTAAACTCCCACTGCGGGACACGCCCGATTTCTCCAGGCCTGTCCCGCAGTCCAGCAGCCTCAACGAGTAGTTCAACTATCAATTCATCTCGACAAAGTTTCCCGAGCTTTCGCTGTCTCGAGTCTCCCTTCTTGGAACATAGAAGGAGAGGATCTCGACACTCTGCTATCAAGAAAGCTTTTCTCTGAAAACCGAACAAAGTTTCCAAACTGGCCCTCTCTCTATCCCGGGCACCAAGCGAACATATTTCCTTCCTCTCCCTCTCCTACACCCACGACGACCCTTTGAGATAACAAAAAGGGTTTCTTGTTACGCCTTGATATCTCGTTTGGCGGTTCTATAGGCGAACAGCCCTAGAGAATATTCATCTACCTCTTCCGGGACTTGACTCGAGATCCTGCAGTCCTCGACACGGCCCTTCACCGCCGTTTGCACACCCCACTCACGATCCCGGTCCCCTGAACCCCTGCCTGCCACACATCATGTCTCGAAACGTGCGGCGCAAATACCCCTCTACTCCCACTAAGGGAAAACCCGTCAAGCGCCGTGACTCTGATTCTTCTTCCTCTCTCGACCTCTCCGACCTCTCCGATGGCTATTCAGGCGTCGACGAGGTCAGCGATTCTGAAGATGACGACGAGGAAGGGGTCGTGGCGGCCGAGGAAGAGCACATAATCACCCGCGTGTCGCGCAAGGACCGCAATCCCGGCTCTTCCCGGCCAGTCCAAGATGAAGACTCCGACGCCGATGAAGAAGATGACGATGACGACGATGACGACAACGACGACGACCTCGAGCCCGACGACGAAGATGGCGATCAGAGTGCCAGCTGGGACGGCATCCCGTCGGAAGCCGAGGGGAGCACAGCGTCTGAGCTCGGAGGCGATGATGCTTTCATGTTGGCAGAGGACCTACCGGCTGCCAGGCGGCAAGTCCGCTTTACCGGCGTGCCTGACAGCGATTCTGACTCGACCACGTCCGAGATGTCGGACGACATGACCGAGTACTTCCCCGACATCTTTGTGGAACAGACATCATTGGACCCTGCATTCCGCCGAGAGATCGAACAGGATCTGGATGATGTTTCATCGAACAGCTCATTCTGGGACTTTCATGATACCTACGACCGAAATGCCGAGCAATCTGACCCTATTGACTTCTTCCAAGGGTTTGAGGACGAGACCCCGCTTGCAACCCCCCACGGCTCGCATCCTCCAACAGAGGCCTCTACTCCCGTCCCGTCGACAGAAGAAGCACAAGACCTGGACGGCTACGAGAGTGAGTTTGTTGCCACGTATGGCTGTATCCTTGCCTATGCTAATGCCATGTATCAGCCGATGGCGACACTACCGAGGAGGATATCCCGGAGCCACTCCCTCGTAGAAGACAGATCCGTCGCTGCGAGACTGTCGAGGCCTCTTCCGACTCTGAGACCGATACTACCGTCAAGGGTCGGAGCCGAGGCCGCCCTCGCACCGGACGGTTCGATTTGGACAGTTCCGTGCAGAAACCCATTGCTGTTGTGAACCCCATCACGCGGAAGATGATCATCTTCACCCCCAAGAAGGATGGCGAAAATCGCTTTGACTTGTCCCCCGAGTCATTGCGCACCTTCTTCAGTGTCCCTTCCGCAGACACGGCCCAGTCGTCCCCCATACTTAGCCATTCTGGCTCGTTGATGATGGGTGCCATGTTTTCCTCCAACACCTTTGGCGACTTTATGCATTCCCAACCGTTTGGCCCCGTCGAGGCTTTCTTCCCTACAATGAGCTCCGATGCATTCGTGGGAGATGATAGTGACTTCTCTGGAATCTATGATGAAGAGGATGCCGAAGACGAGGAGGAGAAGAGGCTCAAGCTGGAAGACTTCATCACTTTCCAAGAGCACTCGGATGACGAGGAAGCTGCCACCCCGGACGACTTGGGCATTGACTGGGAGGAGGGGACGAACCCCGATCTTCCTTCCACGCCTGGGACGCGTCGGCCGTCGACTGCGATGAGCGCCAACAGCGACAACATCCTGGAGGTGCACCCTCTCCTCGCCCATTTTGACAACAACTCGGATGCCGTGGGTGCCTTCAGGCGGAATCAGGTCAACCAGCAGCTCATCCTCAGCGACCGGGCCACGAGCGAGTCGTTGGCATTCTCTGGCCCGTACTCACTGGGCACTCTGCGCGGCATCAAGCACGGCAGCCTCGAGACGGTCACCACGCCCATCACCCCTGCGAGGCGGCAGAAGCGCACCAGCATGAACGGCTTCAACGACTTCAACCGCAGCCCGCTGGCCAACGTGTCGCAGAAGAGGAAGGCGTCTGGCATGCACGATGGTAACCACAAGAAGCAACGGAGTATTTCTGATGTCAGAGACATCGCATTGTAGTATTGGAGTTGGGTCTTGGGGGATTCCGCGGCATTTACTGATTACAGAAAAGCACGCCCAAGGACGGCATGGCCTGCTACTGAAGCTGGTCATCCCTGGCCTTTCATGACGATTATTCAATAAAAGTTTTCCTAGGTTTAGTCATAGTGTCATTGGTACATTCTCACCAGTTCAACAAATCCTTGCCCGTGACTGCCTGTCCAATTTCTTGTGCGTTGTGCGACAGGGCTTGGGCTCCGTTGATGTTGCGTGATGATGTCGAGAGCGCGCTTTGGTAAGCAAGCACTGCATGCTGATCCGATCCTTCGTTCATCCTAGCGGCCGCCCGACTAGACCGAGATATCCTGTCCAGTCTCGCATCGTGATTGATTGAGCAAAACGTCATGCATCTGGTTAAGCTTACTGCCATGCACGGCAAAGCTCCTCGACCGGAGGCATGACCTACTGAATTCGTCGTTGGGCTGTGCCAATCCCTGCGGCAATTGGCCGCCATAATCAATAGTTCCTGACCGTCACTGGCGATCTCAGCATGTGTGCCTTACCAGACGGCCTGGTGCAAGATCGGCTTGCTTGAGCTTTTGCGCCCACCGAGATCGCTCTCTAGCTGCAAGAGCGGTATTTCTTTCCCTTTCTTTCTTTCTTGATCTACATACCCATCAATTCCTTGGCAGTACCAGATTTGTTTTGTTTCTAATTGTTAGTCCAGACGATGAGTATCCCCGATTTCTAAAATGCGAAACGTACGGGCTATTTACAGACCAGTAGGGGTGCATTTTGATGGACTGTGACTGTGCCATGTGGGGATCGGGGAAATCCACGAAGGGGGACAGTCTGCTAGGGCATAGCAGCCTGTGATGTAATGATCCCCAGCGGGCCTTGTGCTTTGCCATGTCCTTGCCGCAGGGTTCAAGCTCCGAGACTTGCTGTCCAGGGCGAAGCTGAAGTGCCGGGGTGCATGGCGGTGGGACAGAGATCCTCGGAACAGGATCACCATTTGGGAGAAAGAAGGTCTTGAGAGCTAAAGAGCAAAGTGGCTCATCCATCCTACAGCACTCTCTTCTCACCGTTCATCCCTACGCAGTTAGTTCGTTCCTTTGCCGATCCGCCTTTCCATTTTTAGTGGCCATAGCAGAACCCCGGACCAGGGACAGGGGTGCACCCCGGCCCTGGGCCAGACGATTTGCGTTTTGGAGCTTGGACGGACTGCGACTCTCTGCGGCTGGGCACGGTGGGATCGAAACATCTCGCACCCTGGGAGCAAATCTCATCAACGATGGGGTCACTGATCGGCAAGGCGGGCGGGAGTCGGCGGGCTTCGGTCGTCAAGAGCTTCTCGGCCGGGTGTGATCTCTGGGAAAGCTAGGATTATGGCTATATAGATCAGCCTGGTGGTATCGCGGTCGGGAGAAATTGGGATGCTTCTGTGGCCTCATCCGAACTCTCTGTCTGTCTGCCTGTCATTCCAGAGAAACAGAGCTGCTTGTACATACTTGATTCCTGGCTCTCTCCTGTCTGTGTCCGAGTACGAAACCCTCAGAGCGAAGATGCATATATCTCTGAGATCAGCCCTGGCACACTCGGTCCTGCTGATGTCCCTGCCGATGCTGTGTAAGTCCTCCACAGCTGTACTTCGACACACGCACCACACCGACTAACGTTCATCGTCCAGCACAATGCGCACCTACGCCCGCCGCCGCCGCCGCTGCTGCCACCGGCGGTGAAGACATCATCGACGCCGCTCTCGAAAACATACGGTCCTCCATCGCCCACGACAGCCGGGCGTCGCTGGCCAGCGTCCCCCTGCGCATCATGCCCCTCGGCGCCTCCATCACCTTCGGCCAGGCCTCGACCGACGGCAACGGCTACCGCAAGGCCCTGCGCGACGCCCTCGTCCGGTCCGGCAGCACCGTCAACATGGTCGGCTCGCGGCGCAACGGGACCATGCGGGACAACGACGTGGAGGGCTGGCCGGGCTTCGTCATCGACCAGGTCCGCGACAAGGCGAGGGCCGCCGTGCCGCCGAGCCTGCCCAACGTCTTCCTCGTCAACGCGGGCACCAACGACGCCATACAGGACAAGGACGTCGCCGGCGCCGGCGGGCGGATGGAGGCCATGCTCGCGGACCTCTGGACCATGAGCCCCGGGTCGACGGTCGTGCTGTCGACACTGTTGATCAACCTCAAGGACGCGACGGAGCAGCGCGTGCAGGCGGTCAACAAGCAGTTCGCGGACCTGGCACGACGCCTGCAGGCCGGCGGCAAGAAGATTGTCGCCGTGGACATGCACGGCCCCGCGGGCCCGCTCAAGTCGGACATGCACGACGACACGCACCCCAACGATGCCGGGTACGTCAAGATGGCGGGCGTGTGGATGGGCGGGATCCGGGAGGCGACGATGAGGGGGTTCATCAGCAAGCCTGCGGACAATGGGATCCCCGATGACGGCGGAAACGACCCCTAAGACTTTGTTTTTATCATGTTAATTCTCTGGGGATGGTGTTGGACGATGATTTTGCCTATTTTGCATAGTAGTACTTTGGATACCCCTTGGGCGTTCGGTTTCAGGATGGATGTTGAAATTGGAATGATTCTCCCAATCGGGATCTGTCTTGAATCATCACGACCTGCTGACAAACGACGAAAGGACCAAATGATGCACTTAACAGCTTAACAGCGATGCCCCAAATTGTAACCTGATTGGTGGCGGGCAGCCAAGTCTGCAGCCACCCAATTGATTAGGCTGCCCAACCCATTCTCCATGTGGCTGCCCGGTCGATCTCACGACTCTAGTCCTCAGCCTTTCTAGCAGCTGCAAAGGAGAGCGTATCACAAGCTCGACAATCTCGACCATCGTTCGCATTCCAAGATGAACAAAGCAGGCTATGAGGATGCTCTAGAGCGTTACCGGCAGATTCGGAAGAGCAACACACGGGTCGCAACCTCGGGTCGCCCCTTTGTCCTGGTACAAAGCCTTGCTGCCCAGCTGCGGCAGCCTCTGTCCGGCTCTGATGAGAGTACTGCTACCATTTTCGATGGCCTTTGCCGCTGGGTAGAGTCTCACACGGCACCGTACGAACGCCGCCATCTCGACCAGCCGGCGTGCGCTGGTCGCTTAGCCATCTTCTTCATCCTGGTCGAGCTCGAGCTGCCCAAGTACGTCAGCCGTTCTATGTGGGGAGCGATCAATGATGCGCACCTCCCCTTGAACCACAAGGAGATTACCGATCTGCTGTTCCTCAACGAAGACTCGAGCTCGGTGAAGAGATTCCACGACGCCCAGTTTGAATGGTGCCCGATAAGCTTTTACATGGGGATGGACCTATTCTATGCTGGCAGAGTACTCCCTGTTTACCGAAAAACGAAATTCCCATCATCAGAAGTTGATGACAATGCCGAGTCCGGCTCGACGCTTTGGCAAGTTGAGGTCCCCGGGGAACTCGTGGATCAACGCCTAAAGGAGGCGATGCCGGCTGCAGTGCTGGGAGAACGCGACCCGTTGCGAAGCGATGACGCTGAAAGCAATGTAGGCGAGGCAGGTCTTCACAATACCATCGTCTCTGAAACTCCACATTGACAAATGTAGTAGAGATGGAGGTACATATTCTGGACGTTTCCTGATTCTCGAACCTTTCCTCACGAATATCACGCCATAACACTCATGCGGCTGAGGAAGAAAGACAACTCCATGCTTTGCCCGGGCATGTTGCAATACATTGGCTGCATCCGAGGCAACGTATTGCAGCAATCTGGAGCTGACAGCCAGCCATATCATGTCCTCATGTTCCAATTTGCCGAGGGTGACTTAAGGAGCCTTTTTCGAACAAAGTGCCCTCCAATATTCACAAGCGAGGTGGTCAGCTTTTGGAGGAGTGTGCACAACGTCTGTCATGCTGTGGCTGCCATCCATGTCAAATACGCGTGAGATATGCCTTCGAGGCACGTACTATCGGCTTGATGACTGACGACATATAACACTCGTGGAGCAATCAGACCAGGTAATATTCTATATACAGGAGATGATACTGTGGACTGTTTAAAAATTGTCGGACCTGGAAATGAAGTAGGAACCTCTGCATATGGTAAGCATATTGGCCTTCACTCGGCCATTGCCAATGCTGATGAATTATTTGACTAGATGCCCCAGAGAGGTTGCAAGGCCTCAGTTCCCTCGAGCCTCGCCACACCCGAGAGTTGGTCTCCCCAAGACAGATCGAAGATGTGTGGTCTTTAGGATGCATCCTCTCCGAAGCAGCAACGTTCGTCGTTCTGGGCCACCAAGGACTGCTGCAATATGAGATTGTTCGACGTGCTGCTCTATCCAATCTCGGTATAAAAGATCTGAATGTCCTCTCGTTTCATGAAGGGAACGAGGTGCTTTCAGAGGTGCGAGACTGGCACGAGTATTTGCGCAGTGCTTGTCGTACGGGCATGGACAAGTGCACTCAACCGATCCTTAACCTCCTGGATAGAGAGGTTCTCGTGTCCGCCAAAGCTAGGTGCAGTGCACAGGACTTGTCAAATCTCCTCGGCGTGATATTGTACAATAGTGCGCAACAGGACATACCCGTTTCAAGATTGCAGAACATGCTCAGACAAATCGACACCGAGATCAAAGCTAAAGCCGTGTTTGACACCGGTGTCATACGTTCCAGCCATGATCAACCAAACCCGGAGAGTTCAAATCCAACAATTTCCCAGTCTCTTAATGACGATTGTCTTATAACACCGACGATGCTACGATCGCTCGATTTTGATCAACTTCGAGAAGATGGGAGCCAGTTGTGGTCTTACAACTTTACGCAAGTTGGTAAGACATCGCCAGGGTCGATGGGCAAGATGGTCTACAGGTCCAATTCATTCACAACAATCGCGACGAAAACAACATACAAGAACGAAAAATGACAGGGCCAGAACCGAGAGTAGCCAGCCACTAGGAGGGGGAATCCCACTGTTGTATCACCGTGACTTGGGAATAGGGAGAAAGATGAACTTACGGACTCATCCAGTGGCGGGCAACCAAGTATGTGTTTCAATGATGGATACCCTTTGCTTTAGAGTATTGTAGTCTTCAAAAAGCGCTCTCTCTCATTGATCCTCTCTGTGCAGTGTTCAAGGTCAGCACGCAGGGTCCGTGGGGTGTCATTTATATTCACTAGGCAGCTGAATAACTGAATGCGTCACGGCAGTGCGTGTTTAAACGTCCATTTAGCACTTCGTAGAGTCCATCTATTCCTAGAGCGGACTTTTTTGCCAAAGTCTCGAGAAGTAGCTTGAGGCACCCACCCTTATGAGATACTAGTCGATGACACGGGTGTAAGCCATGGCCAAAGGCCCTGCTCTGTACCATGCTTTGTCGATGGTTTAGAAGGGTGAACACTTATTTTGGTAGTTCCTGGGAGCGATCATGTCGTGACTTAGAGGACCTACTCAGGAGAGCAAGGACGGTAATACATCGTACGCTTTTTTTTCGATTTTTTTGCAAAGCACTCTCTCAAGCACACCTAGCAAACAACCATAGGGGACACCCAAACAAGGCCCATCACCTTGTTAATACTAATACTCATGATGATAAGTTTTGGGAGGAGACACTAAGAGCTACTGAGGCTCGAGATTCGAGTTTGGAGCCCCCGCGTTCTCAAGCCTGAAGAAACTCCTTATACTTGCGATAACACGATCTACAATCTCGAACAATACGGCATGACCTGGGTCGTTTCTTGCAGTTCTTTGAGCTCTTCAGAATGGGCCAGGTGTTGTAGATAAGAAGTCTGGGAGAGATTGGGTCTTGTGGAGATGGAGATCTCACGCTGAGCTAAACATAGTGATCGATCTCTTTCAAAGCACGTGGAGAATCATGATCATCGCCCTCGATTCTCCCAGTCGACATTGAAAGGTGAGTCGCCCCCACAATCAGTCCGTTGGGAGTGCAACTTCTGCAGGAAGCAGCATCCGGTCCTGGTCAGACACATGCCGCCTGCGTAGTGGTCCAATGAAAGAGGTCGTTTTGATTTGACAGCCCCTCTGACATGCAACAGCGTGGGTGCACTGTCCAATCGCCAATGCAGGAGAGGGAATCCACCCGGGCACAACATCCGTTTGTTGCAGTACAGGTGTTTGGCATATGCATACCTACCTACCTAGGTACTTAACCTGAAGAGGGAGGAGCAGCAGGAGCTCGCGGGAGGATGCGGCGGCGGGTGGAGGCCACATCATCGTGCAGAATTACGTACAAGCACGGGATGGCCCTTGGCCTTCACAAAAGTGAACTGGTCCCCGCCTTCGGGGATGAATACAGGTTATCGTTTCTTTCAGCCATCGAATGCTCCTGGAATTTGGAGGTTTCGATCCAGACCGATGAATCATGAGCTCAAGTGAGGCGCCCGTTCCGCCAGCTTCTGTGTCGGGACAGGCCGAACCTGCCGTGGCCACCGACCCTGCCACAGGTCTGGTCCCAGGTCATTTCTGGACGGACAATGCGCAGGTTTGTCGTCGGATCCCAGCACAACGACGCCTGTGACTGAAATTTGACTGGCGACCAGCAGGCAGCACCAGAGGATAGCGACCAAGATTCGGCGCTCGGAGTCGGTGATAACCTCTCGTCGACCGCCTCTATAACGTCGAGCATTCTCGAATATCGCACTGTCCATGGCAGAACATACCACAGCGAACGGGGCAACGCCAAGTACTGGTGAGGAAAAGCCGGGTACCAAGCCAATCACGTTGGGCGGAGATTGACCTGATAATAGGGGATCAAATGATGAGACACAGAATGAGTCCATGGACATCAAGTAAGCACCATCGAGAGACCATCGGGAGGACTCAAGGTTGACCAGAACCAGCCACCATTCTCTTTTGCTCGCCCTAGACAACAAGCTCCATTTGGCTCCATTGAAGGACATTCAGGTAACAGAAAAGGTGACATCTTTGCGTAGTTGAGAATGATGGTTGACATACATTCGTAGAAAGCAATCGATATTGGTACTGGAACAGGTAAGTGTGATACCTATTCTCAGTCTTAGTCCAAGCTTGCTAACTAAGTCCAATGCAGGGATCTGGGCAATGTAAGTTGAGCTGATGCTGTTTGCAAAAGACTCCCCTCACCCTTTGCGCAGTGATTTCGCAGATGAATACCCTAATGCCGAGGTCATTGGGACCGACATCTCACCAATTCAGCCCTCATGGGTACCGGCAAACCTAAAGTTGTAGGTCCCTCAGCCTTCCTAGCCCTATGAACTCAAGGAAAAGACACTCATAGCATATCCTCGGCGCTAGCGAGATCGAGGATTGCACCCAAGATTGGACGTACCCATCGAATACCTTCGACTACGTCCACATGCGATGGTTGAATGGCAGCATCGACGACTGGAGCCAGCTGTTCCGAGAAGCGTTCCGATGCTGCAAGCCAGGCGGCTACGTCGAGAGCTTTGAGGGAGCTCCCTACAACGAGAGTGATGACGGAACCGTCAAGGACACCGATGCACTGGGCCAGTGGGGAAAGCTGTTTGTTGCCGCTGGCAAGAAGTTTGGTAGATCCTTCACGACCGTGCCCGACGGGATCCAGAGAAAGGCAATGGAGGAGTGTGGCTTTGTTGAGATCCAAGAGAAGAACATCAAGGTACAGGATGCATACCTATCCCTTCTCTCTTTCTGCATGAGCACCTAGATCTGACATGTCACTTCCCAGACCCCGGTCGGCGGCTGGCCCAAGGATCCCGTCCTCAGACAGATCGGCCAACTTGCGCAAGTGGCACTGACGACCGACGTGGAAGGATACCTGATCCTCTCGGCGACGGAGCTGGGGTGGACTCGCGAAGAGACCCTTCTCTACGCGGCCCAGGTTCGGCGCGAGGTAAGGTCGGGAAAGCACCACGCCTTCTATCGACAGAAGATCGTCTGGGGTAAGAAACCCTTCTCGGCGTAGAATGGAAGGGTTCCGAAGTTGGGCCGGGGTGTGTCCGCAAGCAGTCCGCGGAGGGGAAGTGGGGGGTTTGCTGTATCGACTGCACGTGGCGGGCGGAGCGGGTGATGGATCCCCGACGTACGTTTAGCTGGTAGTGAAGCAGGGATTGGAAGAGTGAATCTTCTGCTGCTCGACTCAATATCTTTGCTTCATGTTTTTTTTCCCCTTCTCTATTCTCTCTTGGCTTGGCTTCCGAGGACCCGATGCGTGTGACAAATGATCTTATCTAATCAAGAAACCTCGGCCCTAAAGGCACTGTGCACTGACTGTGCAGCCCACTTTGAAGGCGGTGAATGAATTTCTACGCGCCTCACCTACTTTGATTTCTCCAATCCCTGGCAATCATCCATCTCACCCCGGAAACTTATGCGACCCGTCCTTATCCCGTTACAGCAGCTCGCCATAGTTTAACCTGGAACCATCTCCATCCATCGTTCGCCTAATACTAATTTTATCTCACTGACTGCGCCGCGCCATTTGACTATGCAATCGGACCCGCGCGAGAGCGTCGGGCATCCACAACAGAACCTTCACCTCGACCATCTTCCGCCCGAGCTGCTGAGCCAGATCTTTGAATGCCTGGTCCCAAATGAGCCCGACTCCGGGGAGACGAGGCCTGTTGCCTATGGGCAGCTCAACCCGGAGGAGTCGTGGTTCGAGGTGACGCGTCGCCAGAGCGGGTTGCGCAGCAGCTGTCTGGTCTCCCGCCAGTTCTACACCCTGGCGCGGCGCTTTCTCTACAGGTCCATATCCATCATCGATGAGGTCGCCATGGTGCTACTGCTGAGGACCCTGATCGAGAAGCCCGCGTATGGCCAAGAAACGCGATACTTCTCGTGCCACCTGACCCTGACAGAGAGCTCGACCATCAGGGAGATCCGGAAATACGCCAAGGAGATCTTCAGGACGATGGACCAGCAATTGCTCCTGGGCCAGACTCACCCGCTGTTGAAATACCTGACCACGCTGCATAACCGCAAGATGACCATGGACGAGTACGACGAGATACCCCAGATGATCCTGCTCTGCATCCTGGTCCTCATCCCCAAGATAGACAAGATGCTGCTGCAGATTCCGCTTCACGAGGATGACGCCGAGTACCGTGCATTGCTCACGCACTTTCATGCTGTGACGCTGATGAACACCGAGGGCAGGGAAAAGTGGAGGGGGCACGCCGTTCCTTGTCAGCATCTCACAAAGCTCGTTCTGCAGGGCGATCCGGAGGAGATGTCCGACGCGGAACAGGCCGCGAAGGAGGATGGCGAGGCTGTCGGCGTCGATGGATCGAGGGCTGGCACCTACTGGCCCCTCTTGACGGCCTGCCCGGCGGTGACGAGTGTCGAGGTCACCATCGGAAATGGCGATTGGCCAGAATCCTCATGGTTTGACCAGGACAAGCCTCTTTGGGCCTCGCTGCCACACGAGCTGAGGAACATCAAGCATTTGGATCTGGTGGACAGCTTCGCTGCGCCTAGGGACGTGGCGGTGGCCCTTTCCTGCTTTCCGCAGCTCGAATCGCTCTACTTTGAGCCCAAGTGGTCTCCCGAGAATGTGGGCTGGGAGGACGAGGACGATGTGATCACCTTGGACTCAGCTTTGGAGAAGCACGGCCGGAGTCTACGGCGGTTAGACCTTGCCTGGTACGACTGCTCAGATTGTCTGATATCCATTAGCGAGGAGACCATCCTCTCATCCTTGCCTAAGCTCACCAACCTGGAGATCCTCTACGTGCAGCTCGCGCTCCTGTTCACCGAAGGGAGGAGTTACAAAGACCGGGAGGTCATCCTCGACTTCTCCAACCTCTTCCCGCCGTCGCTGGTCATCCTGGTCTTGGAGGAGTGGTGGTGGAATGACAGCATGTATTGGTTTCCGAGCGGCAACCTGCAAGAGGAGCACGTGAGGCCCGAGAAGCATCTGCAGTACTGCGCGTCGCTCGAGTACTCGCTCATCACTTTTGCGTCGATCTGTCCCAATCAGCTGCCGTCCCTCAAGGTGGTGAACTTCTTGGTCAGGTTGAGCCGCCCGTGGATTGGTGGTGGCCCGGAGACGATGGAGCAAAGGCTGGCCAATGTCAAAAGTGCATTCGCCAAGAACGGCATCGAGTTTTCGACATGGCAGATTTGAGCGGTTGGTCTTGGCCGTGGCGCGGGAGGGAGATTTGCAGAGAGAACAAAGTTGAGATGGAGCATGTGTGTAGTGCTCAAGAATAGTACCCACCTGCCTACCTGGGGCGTTTCAAGCACGATACACCTAACTCGCACCTCGTGTGGCCCCAATTGAAGCAAAAGAGACGTCATGGAGACAGCTGCCAATAGTGGAAGGTAGTAAAGGAAACGAACCCTCAGATCCAATTTGGTCCACCGTAAATGGAGCCTGGCGCGCGTGAGAGTGCTGCTGGGCCAGGTGCCTCGTTCGTATTCTCCCCTCTCGTACTAGCGCTGTCCGCTGGAGTCCGGGTCCAGGGAGTTGCCAAATCCCATGCATCCTGGGCGTTGCTGTCGGCCCTGTGGAGCTGACGAGTCTGCTCTGTGCATATTTCTGGAACATCAACCTATCTCCAGCTGCGATGCACCTCAGCGTCGATCCTCAGCTTGAGCGAGCGGAATCTTGGTGCCGGCCCGCCATCATGCAGTTCAGGGACCTCGATTCCTCCCCGTGGAAGCACGTGCGGTGTGGTTAGCACACTCTTGAGCATGATGCTGGCAGCGGAAGCTGGCGAGATTTCATCAGGAGATACCTCATAGCTAGCAATACATATCCTTACTCTGGAACGCATAAGGGCTATCCCACTACCTCAAACCGATAGAAAGCCAAGTACTTCTGTTAACAGCAGGTAAACTAGGTAATCTGACCACCACTTGGCCCGCTTGCGGGCGGGCCACCTCCTCGGCTGCAGGCCAAGAGATAGCCAAGACCAACCAAGCTCAAAGCTAGTGGCGCGACGAACGATCTCCCAACAGCCCCAAGGTGGACCTGAGCCGAGAAGATACGGTGCACCAAGCCGAACAGAGCAACGCGCGGTCTCTCCCGGGGCGCCCTCCTCCTCCCCCACGTGCATACATCTCTTGGTAATGCGAGATGTGCTCGTCTCTATTGGCCCGCACGTGGACAGCTCTTGGCATTAATTGGCAGGCTTCGAGAAGACATGGCTGTGGGGGGTGTGGGAGCTGTCGCCGGGGCCCATGCAATGCACGGCCGAGGCTCGAAGAGCTCTCGAAGAGGGCAGAGAGCTTTTTAATGAGCGACGATGCCTCCATTTTCTGCTGCTTTCCTGACGCTCAAGTTGTTCTGTTGTTCTCCTTGTAGGCAGCTTGGTTGTCGCTCGCTTCTCCTGACTTGCACTCTCCGGCCCGAGTCCATTCGTTGCGCTCCCTTCAGGCATACCTAAAACATGAAGACCGAAGCTCTCATCGGCGCTGCCCTCTTGGCAGTGGCCTCCGAGGCCGTGCCCACGGTTGATACCACCTACCCGTACACCGGGCCCGAAGTGCCGGTCGGCGATTGGGTGGACCCCACCGTCAACGGCAATGGCAAGGGATTCCCGCGTCTCGTAGAAGCCCCGGCCGTCAAGCCAGCGACTGCCAATCCCACGAATAACGTGAACGTTATTGCGCTGGCCTATGTGCCCCAGGGCATGAACATCCACTACCAAACGCCGTTCGGCCTCGGTGTTGCGCCTTCGGTGAAATGGGGCACGAGTGCCTCGGCTTTGACCAACACCGCAACCGGCGCCACTCACAGGTGCGTATTCCTTTTTCTGTCGTCTCTGTTAAGCTTGAGTGTGCTCATAATTCTGGTAGTTATGACCGGACTCCGCCTTGTTCAATGGTGGCTGCCGTTACCCAATGCAGCCAGTTCTTCCACGAGGTCCAGCTCACCAACCTCAAGCCCGACACGACCTATTACTACCAGATTCCCGCCGCCAATGGCACTACCCAGTCCGAAATTCTTAGTTTTACCACGGCCCGCGCTGCTGGCGATGCCAAGCCCTTCACGGTGGCCGTGCTGAACGACATGGGCTACACCAACGCCCAGGGCACCTTCAAGCAGCTCAACCAGGCCGTCAACGATGGCGCTGCCTTTGCCTGGCACGGCGGTGACATCTCATACGCAGACGATTTCTACTCAGGGCTCCTGGCGTGCCAAGACGACTGGCCTGTCTGCTATAACGGAACATCTACCGAGGTCCCAACCGGCGACTATCCGGAGGGATACAACACGCCTCTTCCGGCCGGCGAGAAACCCAACCAAGGGAGCTGGAACGGCGGTGACATTAGTGTAATTTACGAGTCTAACTGGGACCTCTGGCAGCAGTGGATCCAGAACATGACCTCTAAGATCCCTTACATGGTGCTGCCCGGAAACCACGAGGCCGCCTGCGCCGAGTTCGACGGACCCGGCAACGTGCTGACGGCCTACTTGAATGGTGACAAGGCCAACTCGACTGCTCCCAAGGCCGAGCTCACCTACTTCAGCTGCCCGCCTTCGCAGAGGAACTACACTGCCTACCAGCACCGGTTCCGGATGCCTGGTCAGGAGACCGGCGGCGTGGGCAACATGTGGTACTCGTTCGACTACGGCCTGGCCCACTTCGTTAGCATGAACGGCGAGACCGACTACGCCATGAGCCCCGAGTCTCCCTTCATCAAGGACACCAAGGGCGTCGCCAAGGAGCCGCTGGCCAACCAGACCTATATCACCGACAGCGGGCCCTTCGGCAAGATCGACAACAACGACTACAACAACACAAAGGCCTACCAGCAGTACCAGTGGCTCGCCAAGGACCTGGCGGCCGTCGACCGGACCAAGACGCCCTGGGTCTTCGTCATGAGCCATCGCCCGATGTACAGCTCCGAGGTGTCGGCCTACCAGGCGCACATCCGCGAGGCCTTCGAGGCCCTCCTGTTGCAGAACAACGTGGACGCGTACTTCTCGGGTCACATCCACTGGTACGAGCGCATGTGGCCGATGGGCCGCAACGGCACCATCGACAAGGGCTCCGTCGTCAACAACAAGACTTACACCACCAACCCGGGAGTCTCCATGACGCACATCGTCAACGGCATGGCGGGCAACATCGAGAGCCACAGCACCCTGGACCCCAAGAAGGGCGTGCTGCCCATCACGGCCGTGCTGGACCAGACGCACTACGGCTTCAGCAAGCTGGTTGTCCACAACGCCTCGGTCGTCACCTGGCAGTTCGTCCTCGGCAACGGATCCGGCATCGGCGACGAGCTGACCCTGATCAAGAAGGCCAACTCGAGCGGCAGTGGCTCCGGCTCGCCGACCACGAAGAACGGCGTTGCTGGCCAGCAGGCACCGCTGGCTTTTACCGTGGTTTCCGCGCTGCTCATGGCGGCTTGGTATCTGGTGTAGATTGGATCCATTCATAGTCAGTTTTAGAGGGGCCGGATGGATACAGAAAAAAAGCCCTCGATGGTGTAGTTGGATATCACATTCGGCTGTAATTGTCAATTTCATACCGAAAGGTCGCTGGCTCGATTCCGGCTCGAGGGACAAATTCATCCTCGCTCATCTCAGATGAGCAACGCTTTTTTTTTGTTCAATTTCGAGCCCCATTGTACCAGTGGATGTGGAGAAAAGATTGTTTTTTTTTTTTTTTTGCTCCTCGGCAGTAATAAAACTCTTAGTGGACATCGGCTCCCGCCTGAAACGTCCATGTTTGTGCAAACAATGAGTGGATGTAGAGAAGGATTTGTCACCTCTGGCTTCGCTCCTCATGTACGAGCTCCAACTGGACGAGACACTCCGTCCAGATTCATCTCGACATCGGATAGGGCGTCGATATTTTTAGATGCCGTGGCTGCAATGCAAGATCATGCTTAAAACTCTATCTAGTCCACTGTCATCGAAAAAGGCATCGCGGATCAATCGCGGAATGGACAATTCAATGAGAAGTGCCTCGCAAAAGTGTTGTTATTGATTGACAGGTCTTGGATCCTTGGCTACGATCAAGCTCAGCCGGCCCTGGTTTGCTTCAGGACTGAAGTGATTTGCAGGGTAGAGAATGTCTGTGCATTAAGCTGCCGGTGAATTGCTGTGCGGCTGGTTACTTTTCTTAGAAACTCGAGAATCTTGGCCCCACCGAATATCGAAGTTTCGGCGAATGCCAAGGACGTTTCGAAATCGGAGCTCAGACATTGGCAAGTCTTGGCTGCTTCGCTCGACGGGAGTGTATCAGGACGGTGGCAACGCGACAAAACGATACCGAAATGTGTAGAATAGGGCAAAAGGAAAGGCTGCTCTGGGAGAGGCAAGCAGAAATGGCCATAAATACTGATATCGCCATGTCTGGATGTTGAGCTTCTGTCCCCGTGCTCACCAGCCAGCCCAGTCTTGCACCGTCTCATTCGCTTCGATCCAAGAGCTGGTCTCGTTTTTCTTATTTGCATAGTCTCTTATTTTCCCGTTGCTTGGCCTTTTCTGTTTAAGCTTTTTATCTAAGATTTTCCCCTTGAGAAGCAGGCATTCTTCTCCTCCTCTCCGCAGCCAAGATATCAAGCCCAAGAGATTTCGACCCACGATCACGCCACTCCAAGACCCAAAGACCCAACCAAGCTTTTGCCAATACCGTTTCCAAACATGGTTGCCCAGTCGTATCTCCACTTCCTCCTGGCCGCCGCTGCAGTCGTGCACGCTGCACCTCTCAACATCAACCTCGGAGCCTACTCCCCAGCTCTGGTGGTCGGTGATGGTGAGATCGGATTCGAAGGCGGCCAGAGCGTCGAGAGCATCGTGAACGCCCTGCAGGGAGCCGCCGTCAACGGCGCGGCGGGCGCGGCCAATGCAAACGGTGCCGCTGGGGCGGCTGGCAATGCCGAAGCCCCCGGTGTCGTCCAAGCTGCTGCTGCTCCTGCTCCTGAGCCGCCCATCTTGACCGAAGCGGTACGTACCTTTTACCCTATCCCACCCCAGTCATAACGGTTTCCTTCCTTTACATATCCTCTTTTCTTCGTTTGTGTGTGTGTGTATGTGTGTGTGTGTATGTCAAGATAATTGAGACTGATTGTACAGTAACAAGGCCACGCTGCCCGTCCCCGGCACCACCAAGGAGCTCGACCCACGCGTCGGCGAAGACGCCGGCAAGGCCAAGCGCGACCTGAGCGGGTTCAACAGGGCCCTGACCTACGCCGAGGCCGCGCTGGAGAAGGGCCCCAAGGTCCAGCTAGGCACCGGCGCCAAGGGCTCGGGCGTCGGCATCATTGTCGACAACAACAAGGAGGCTGCCGTCCGGCCTGTGACTGGCGCCGCGGAATGAGAATGTGTTATGAAAGGGGACTTTTCATTTTGTCACTGCAGGATATTTCATACATGAAGGCGTTTCCTCGTGTGGGGCGAGGACAGGAGGGGGATTCTAGGCATAAATACAACGCGCAATGCTTTTACATATCAAAAAGAAAAGAAAAGGAAAAACTGGGAATATGCCTTCTTGCAATCTGGGATGCGGAAAGACGTCAGGTGCCAATTCAAGCTTCCCCTTGACGGCTGGCAGCTTGTCCCGGGTGGCGTGCCCTGCCAGTCGGTCAATACGGATTATATCCCGGTCGATTGGTCGGTCTGCACATCCTTGGCGGCCCGCACCCTCCGTCTCGTGCGCGGCATGTGGGATAGGGGTGGGAGCCAGATGGCCGCGTTTTATATGCCGACTTCGCGCCGTCGACAGGTGGTCATGGGTCTCTTGGTTGCCGGCAGGTGACGGCGTATTGTATGCGACATGGTGGATGTGATTAGGGTCTTTAATGTTAGTTTCGCTATAAATAAGGGACGTACTTGAGAATAGAGGCATGTGATGAGTTGCTGCCACATAATATGAATAATGATTGTTACATTTCATGCTATCATATCGGTTGATTCTATCATCAGGCCTGGTTCTACCTTAATGAGTATGTATATATTATCTGCTTAGCCTACAGCCTACTTTCCTAGAGCGCAAGTAGCCTGAGAGCCTCATTCTATCACCCTTAATATCAACTTCACCTCTGATCAGCAGTCCGCCACTATCATTTATCCTTCCCATATCTTTATCGCTACATCATTTACATACAGACCTTTATTTTCTAGATAAAGACAATAACTACCCTCTACTATAGGGTTTTATACCCTATAGCTTGCTCCTCCTCTTTATCTGCTGATTAAAACTCATCGCCTTAAACAATCTATCTTTTCCACCACCACCCCTAATCTATCCACCTCTCCATCAACCGCCACTCTTTTTATTCAGCATTAGCTCGAGCTCTAGAGCTGGCCGGGAATGATACTTACTGCAGACTCTCGGCTCATACACGATGAAGAACTCCTTGAGGGCGGGGAATATGTTCATAAAGTGACAGATCGTCTAAGGATAGGCCTGAACAGTGCTGCCGTCATAAGCAGCTTTATTGTAGTCACATGCAAACTGAGCCTTACAGCCCTGCCGATGGCGCCGGGCATAGGGAACGTCGCTCTAGAAGATATGAATGGCCACCTTATTAAAGTGGCATATATAGGATAGGTCGCCTACTGAATCTAGACTGTAGGTAAAATAGCTCTAGTTAAGAGTGATGACTCCTAGTCCACCAATAGTTTGCTGCGGACGAGTGCGGTCGGCCATATTAAAGTAAACGACATTGTTGTCCAGGTCGACGAAGCGGAGGAAGGGGGCCGTGGGAATGGCAAGTCCGGGTCTGGACATCGACAAGCGGACAGCCTCGGCAGCTTGAGCTGCTGACGGGACCGTAGCCAGTTAACGTGCCATAGAGTCCATGTTCGTAATAATGGCGATGATTGTGTCCGAGAGTTGATAGAGATACTGGTGGTTCCTGTTAGAGAAAGATGACGGTTGTGAGAAAAGGGATTTGTAAGAGATGTGCTTTAGGACTGGAGCAGTGGCGAAGCGACTAGATGTCAACACTGGGCAGGAAGACGGTTTAACTTGCTCGTCGACTTTGGTTGACAGCTCGGCCAGCTCAACCGCCATGGAGCCAAGGTCGACCCTGTGGAAATGCTCCCATGGGAACACGTGGTGCTGGGAGATAAGGGACTCCCCTTGCTTCCACTCTAAACACTAAGCCTTCTGAGCATCGTGGCCCCAGTTCTTCAAGCTTTTGTAGGACTTGCTGTCCGTGTCCTGCTTTGCCTTTTCTTCCTGCGCTAGGTGCCTCTTGCAATAAGCCACGACCTTGCGCATGTGGTCGAGGTCGTCCTGGTCGTATTTTTCCGGGTCGCCCTTGGGGTTCTTCTCAAGAATTTTGACAATCCGTCGACCACTTTTGAATAGGTATCAATAAACGAGCCCACGGCTGGCTTGATGAGGAAATAAGACTAGGATGGGATTTACCTGTCGTGTCCGACCGTTTCCCCGGATCCGTCTTCCTTGGACCAGCCGGAACTGGTCGAGTCTCCGCCCTTGAGCCACTCTTTCAACTCAGACGCTGTCATATTGACCAGCTCATTGAACTCCCTGATATATTTCAGCCACTGATAATGACAGGCGCATATGGGGCTTCCTTACTTGATAACTGTGTCGTCGTCCTTGACCATCGTGCAAGCGCGTCGATATTTCGATATTTCTAGTGAGTAGCCCACAGTGCCCGGTTCATGCAATTCTCTGGAACTGGTGACCCGAAAAGCAAAATGGGCAGGATCTGGGGCACTCCCTTATATAGGTAGGGTTTATTGGCTTCTAAGAATCAATGATGTCAAGGACTTTGGCGCTAGCGACTCTGCATGCGGCTCCTTTGGCCGTGAACGGTGTAGTGATAGAGGAACATGCCACAGACTCCAAACTTTAAAATTGTTGGATCATAGACAACAGGCCCTATGGTATCTAATGGTTCACTTTGTGACTATGACATATCACCACTGATTTGAGTATTTAATGCTCATAAAAACTTGTTCATAGTCTAACACAGCAAAAGCGATCTGTTTGAAAATCAAAAGAAAAAAGAAAAAAGAAAAAAGAAAATTACTCATCCTTCTTGATCTTGATCTTCTTCTCCTGCTCCTCCTCCTCCTGCTCCTCCTTCTTGACGACATCGTCGTCCTTGATCTCCTCGTCGTTCTCGACAGCGGCGACATGAACACCGCCCGGAAGGGCCACCCCAGCACGAAATCTGCTGCCCGAAGGCAGGGTCATCCCCTCGGGGAGGCAGGTGCCCGCGGGCAACAAGGTCCCCTTGGGGACTTTTGTGCCCGAAGGCACGCCCATGTCCTTGGGCAGGTGGGTGCCCTTGGCGAGGACGGCACCGGCCTGGTGCCACTTGCCCGAGATCGTCATGCCGCCAGCTGGCAGCATGGCGGGCACGGCAAAAAGATTTCCTCCTCAGAGGGCACGAGAAAGCCCTCCTTGCCCACAACGATGTGGCCCTCCTCCGGAAAGGAAAATTGTGCCGTCGGCACAACCCTTCAGCACCTCTCCGCGCGAGAGGATAGTCGTGCCACTCGGGATGCTTATGATGCTCGAGGGCGGGGGGTTGATCATGCTCCCATTCTTTTCAAGAGGTTAGTATGATCGTTTCCTGAATTCATTTGTAGATGCAGTTTCTTACCGGGAGGAAAACGGTGATGACGGCCTTGAAGCCGGGGAGGGAGAGGGTAAGGGGGGAGGCAGGCACCTCCTTCGGGCGCTTGGCGCCGCCGCGAAAAACCGGACCGCGACTTCTCTTCATGATGTTTCTGCTTATGACTGTCAGACTCTTGGTTCAAAAATCAAGGTACACCAATGAAGCATAGCATCACTTACATTCTCGACGAAGGCTGCCAGACGAGATGGAAGAGGGATGGATAGGAGAAAACTACGATAGATATAGGATATTTACAACACTGCCTAATCACTCCTAGTGTGGTCATCTGGCTAACATACACATGGTTAACACGAACGGGACGAGTTGCTAAAAAAAAAAAAAAAAAAAAAAAAAAAAAAAAAAGGCGAGGTCACAAGTGCCTGAACTGCAGAATATGAGACGCACTGCTTTCTTCAAGAGTACTTACCCGCCTAGTGATCAACAGCTGAACGGCTAGTAATAGAGATACTTGTCTGTCCATCAAATCCATCGACTTTAGGTAGTGGGATAACCCCCCTTACGAATTGAACAGCCAGGATTATTCCTAGCATGGGGCATCTCCTGAGGAGCGTCAGCCAATTAGTTATTCTAAATCACGCTCACCCTTCTCGACGAGGCCCTTTTGCTATGTCACCTTTTATTATGCTCATTGAAAAACGCTATGACCAAAAAGAAGGCTGTGAAAAAGCCGTGCCGTGACAGATCTTAGTAGTGCCCAGAGTACGAGTCTTACGTATTTGACCTTGTGTGGTCCCAAACAATCAGGTCATATCGTCAATGCATTCCCCTCTCCCCCTCATTGGAGAGTATTTGTACCTAGTAGGTGCAATCCCGGGGGGAGGTGCAATGCGAGAGAAGCTTAATGGGATCTGATAAGTGTCAAGTGAGAGCAAAGTTCAACGAGGCTGGGGGCGACGGGTCAAATCAAGTATGATCCAAGGTCTAGTAAAGCAATATTCGATAAAAAGCACAAGCTACATCATTTCCCTACCGATAGACGGTGGAATGGCTAGAGGAGTACCCAAAGAAAGGAGTGCATCTGTTTGGTACCTCTCGTCAACTCTTCCGGAGCCTCCAATTTGAACCGTTTGAGGTTTGCTCGTACTCACTCCACTGATTTCTTGAGCACTCTTATTTCCTAGCCCCAGCAGCGATGTATTTATCGCCATCGGATCAACATTGCCACTGAGTTTACGATCGGGTGGGGTCGCCAATGACTACTTCCGCAGTCACCGTGCAATCATCCTTCTTACACCTATTGGAGTGTTAAGAAGCTAAATCAGGCGTGCCGATAACTGGCAGCTGTGTGGTGCTTAAAGTAATCGATCTAGATCCACGGTCTGACTATTTGATGGCAACGCGGTATTCAATTCATGAGTTTTATGGAAAGAAAATACACTATATGAGAATCGACTACTGCCTCTATCTTTCTCGAGTCCCGATAACAATATATCAATGCTGTGTAAGGTTAGGGTTGGGCTGGTCATTGATCTGGGTCAACTCGCCATTCCTCCCTCTAATATCGGGCGCTTCAGACTCCAACCACAGCCTAGAGAGGAAAAGATGACGTTCTTCACGCCGTTATCTTTCCTTTGAACCTGCCACAGCAATGTCCCTCAGGGTGAAAAGCACAGAGAGTCCCCTTGTCTTCCAAGAAAGGAACCTTGGTTTCAACTCCACTGAGAGTTTTTTTTCTGTCTTCATCTCGTGAGCCTCCTGTAATCTAATATCGCCTTTCAACTGGCCATGTACTGGCACGATGGGAGGGCACTGTAAGAGAGTCATCGCATTCTCTAGTCTAAGAAGCTTCTGGTCCGGGTGCAGCCGTGTCTTCGCAAGGATCCAGATGTCAAGATTAATCACCCGAGCCCATCACCGGGGTGGTTCTCCAGAAGTGCCATCCCCGAGGAGCTCATACTGGTTCGAACGCGGCTCTATCTCAGAGTCAGGATCGGGGTGGCAGAATCGTATGTTGAATCGTCAATGTTCATTTCCATGTCTCAATGTGAATCGATTTCGTCATGGCCGTGATCGCTAGCCACAGTCTGGCGTTGACAGAAGCATCTACTGGCCAGTAGCCATTTTCGGAATAATATCGGGGGAAACGCGGACGATTTCCCTCTCGAGCATGGTCTCTTCCTACTCCAACGCATGGGTAGGTAGGCGCAGCACAAGTCGCCACGAGCCGACAAACATCAGCGCATCCACGACTAATCCACATTGTAACAATGCTGTCGGGAAGGTGGCAGTCATATTCGAATGATTGCAGCAAATAGATAGCGACCACGGCAATGCACTAGGCAAATATGCTTCTCAGGAGAGTTGCCAATAACCATACCTAGTAGCCTATTTGCCCCGCTGTTCGTGATGCATCCGTCTCGCAACCGCTTATTAGAGGCGTTTCTTGTGCCTAGCGAAACCCGCCCCGACACTCATCTCCGACTGGCACGGAGATTTAGACAGCTATACGCAGGCGAGCACAGTAGCAGTCGAATTGTGCCCCGGATCTCGTCAAATGTTGGTGGCCAGGAAACACTCTCCACTCGCTCGCGATGCGTTCGAAACGATGGCCTGGGGAGGCTGGCATTATGTGACATTTGGCGTGTGCGGAGTACTTCGTAAGTTTCGTCAACAAAGCTTTGCAAGGCCTCTGGACGAGTTTAGTATCGTATGGGGCCACAAAATGTCACCGCGTAGACCTGCCTGGATCTCATGATGGAGACTGGGCTCACTGGCGCGGGCTGGGAGCGAATGAGAGGCCGCCATCTGACGGCGACATGGATCGACTACCGGGTTTGGGGAGGGAGAGAGGGACCGGGGTTGGTCTCATTGCGAGTTGCAAATCTTGGCGACTGCGTTTGATGGCTCATGAGGCGACCACTGCATTGGCCGGTGTCTGAAACACCAACCGATGTGGGTGCCGCGCATCAACCAGGGGTCCTTGACCTGGTTTGACTAGTGCCTTTGGAATACCAATCACCAGCTTTTTCGCGATCCGTCAAAGGTCGAGGGACGAACATGACTGCGTTGCCATACCGTTGCAGTCTCAGTATATCGCCTAGGCTTGTCTGTTTTTGCATGCCATTGACGTTGAGGGTAGCCCGTCGTATAGATTCCCTGCCAACAGGGCTTCATCAAAGATCCACAATGATGGATTGAAACTCCCTCACGACGTTGACAGGCCTAGACTCTGTCTTTGGAGTACGAAACGGGCGAAGTCCAACAATAGGTGCCACATCGCATTGGGCTGATGTCGCTGACGCGGCCGTGCTGATTGATCTACTTAAAGCAACCAAATGCCACGAGCGGCCCAAGACATGATTTACTCTACTTTCATCAACTCGACTTGACAAGCCTCTTCGACAGTTTTCTTTTTTCCTTCCTCTCCTCATCTTTACTTTCACACTCGCGGCTGGCCCGTTTTCGGTTCGTTTCTGTACATAATCTTTTACACCTTACCACCGGTGCATTCCAGGAGAATCTCTATTTCCGTTTTTCGTCGGACCACCATCATCAGCTCACCATGAAGTTCTTCTCCCTCCTCACCCTCGCCTTCGCCGGCGTCGCCCTCGCCAGGGGCAACCGCGGCAACAGCACCGGCACCTCGACCAAGTCCCAGTGCCGACAGGTCGAGCGCCTCACCTTCTTCGCCGACCTGGCCGCCAACACGACCCGCCTCGACCGCTTCACCAAGAACAACGCCACCCGCGCCGCGGCCATCAAGGCCAAGGTCGCCCAGGAGGCGCCCCAGCTGCAGGCCATGAAGGCCAACGCCACCCTCATGGGCGCCTGCAACCAGGTCTTCGCCGTCCACGCCATGGAGCGGTCGTGCCGCCAGATGGCGCACATCCAGGGCCTCGAGAGGCTCGTCGCCAACGCCACCCGCCTCGACAAGGTCACCAAGGGCAACGCCACCCGCGCCGCGGCCATCAAGGCCAAGGCCGCCGCCGAGGCCCCGAAGCTGACGGCCCTGTCCGGCAACGCCACGCTGACGCAGTTCTGCGCCGCCGACCGCGTCAAGAACCAGTGCCGCTTCATGTCCCGGCTGCAGAAGGAGGTCGCCCGCGCCGCCAACGAGACCGCGCTCACCGCCAAGTTCGGCAACGACGCCGCCAAGATCCAGAAGGCCAAGGAGCGTGCCGCCCGGGCCTCCGCGAAGCTGAATGCCATGAGCAGCAACACGACGCTCGTGAGCTTGTGCGGTGCTCAGGGTAAGTTACTTCACGCAGGTCCTTTGTCGATGCACCAGCGCGGAAGCTAATGCGTTTCTTTTTTCTCTGTTTTAGCCAAGACCCCGACCAACGCTGCTGCTGCTTCCAGCTCTTCTGCCGCTGCTGCTGCCAGCGCGTCTGCCGGTGCCAAGAAGTCGGCCGCCTACGGCGTCGCACCGATGGCCGCTGCACAGATCCTGACTCTCTCGGCAGTCCTGGCTGGCGGCTTCGCCTTGATGTAATCAGGTCGAGAGCGAGTGAACCTCTTTGGTCACACTCCAAGCACGAAGTAATGTCGTTACGGAATTTGTTTGCGTGTGTGTTCAAGCAATGAGAACAGTCTGGTCTTTAGATAGTGCACGAAATCAGAGTTTCATCTTGGGAACGCTACATCTCTCCTTGGGTCGCCTTTTTAGATCGGTTAAAATTTAAAAATTAAATATCTCTCGCTTCCTCACGAGAAACAAATAGTGCCATGTGACTTGGTAAGAAGGGCTCGTCATTCTCCCTGGCTCTGCCCAGTGCGTTCAGTCAACCAGGACTGCAACCTGAGCGCTCTCTTCATCGTGTCCTTGCACGTGCTCCAGCTCTCCAGTGACATCTGCATAAGGCCAATCTGTAGAATCGACTTGACGAATCCAGCGTGGGGTCCGAAGTCAATTCGGGAGGCATCAGCATCTTCTTTAGCTCCGCTCGAGGCAGTTGCTCCAGAATGATGTGTGACAGTCGGAGCGATGGATGCCATGATAAAAATAAAGATCCCGACGATACCTCGCCATCTCGCCAGCGGCACGCGCCACGTTGCCATGAGTATCGACAGGGCTTCGTCCGCAGAGCATGTGGAGCTGAGGGGCTGGTGGCTGCCGATTGCTCGTGCGTAGACGAGGGCTGCTTGCCGCACCGCCGTGTACAGCGCGTCGTCTGTGGGCGAGGGACTGTCTGGTATGTCATCGGGTATTACTACCCTACAATTTCCGGACTTCCTCTTCCTCCCCTTCGATGCTGACTCAAATTCGGGGTACTCTGGCAAGAGGGAGTGAGGCGTAGGACTATCACTCGCTTCTGATCCTCTCGCATGCTCGCCCTTGTCGCCGGCGGCCCGGTCCTCGTGCGTAGCGGGATCACTCGTGGGTAGCCTGGCGATCCGGTCGTGTACAAACGCGGCAGTCATTGCTGTTTTGCGAAGCTCTTCGGCGCTAGGGTTGTCAGACAGACGATTGACAGTGTCCACTAGGAAAGAGACGTCATCAAGGATGCTCGCCGTGAAGGGGTGCAATCCAAGGAGATGGCAGCAATCCCGGAAGGGCACCAGGGGCACGATGAAGGGCGAGCTGAAGGAGACCTTGGTGGCTTCTGCGCGGCCAGAGTCTAGACCGTGTCCGCAATCTGCACTTTGCTGCAACACTGGCGGCGTTTCATACGCCAAGGAAATGAGACAGTCGTCGCTAAAAAAGCAGTCAGGGATGCGTCCCGTGGTACGCGTGTCGGGGCGGATCAGCCCGAACTTACACCAGTGCGACCTTGCTCACCAGCTCCCCCACGCCGCGATTGGGAAGACCGCCTCGCAGGCGGACCATCTCCCGCAGCCCTTTCAGGTGGGTTTGCATGACCCCGAGGTTGCCAAAGAAGATCTCGATCGAGGTGAACTGGACCACCGCCCCGATGGCCTCGTCGTTGGTGCAGTCGGCAGACCGGAGGTGCTCGTTCAGTCTTCTTATCGCGAAGCCTTTAAGCTGCGTTGTCGTGCGCTCGTCCACGTAATTCCTCTCCACAAGAGACCTGGCTGCGATGTAGAGCGAGGAGTGGACCAGGAGCGGTGACTGCACACACCAGGGCACGTAGTGTAAAAGGAAAGGATTGTCGGCATCGGGTACACCGTCGAAAGAGCCCTTGAAGTGGTTCAGAACCTGGGAAACTAAGTAAGGTGCGTCTCGCATCAGCCCCGTCTACAGTTGATTGTGTGGTATTGACTTACATGTCTGAACAAGCACAACATTCTGTTTCGTGGGTTCGATAGGCAGTTGGGTCAGACCATCAGCGTGTCCTGACAAATGCCACAAGTTGTATTTCGGCTGCCCCTCTTCGTCTGGTGAGCTGCTATCACCAGACCCGGATGTGGTCTCATAGGAGCTCTCAGATAGATGTCTCCGACTAGCGGAGGAAACGTCATCTGTCGGCTCGGCCGTGATGTCTTGCCTAGGTGGCAGACAGTCCGTTCGATTCGGGGGTACTACCCTGAACGCATCTACCGGGGTCCGACTACGATGGCGTGAGCTGTTCAAGGGCCGAACTCGTTTGTCAAATAGGAATGCTCGTGGTTTCGTTGTCGGCAAGAGCACAGGAAACTGTGACAATGGACTTCGGCTACCGCCTAGATCACTGTGACGTGCGCGGACGTGTAAGATAGCTATCGTTTATGTGTCAAGGGAAGATTTCCAATACTGACTGCCTGGGGCCATATTCGCAGATTGGCTGAGGATATCTCCTTTTGCAGTTGTTGCACGGAAGTCCCTGATTGCACTGTTTACCAGTCTATGTCAGCAAGCCACGACAGAGAACTCAGCTCGACCTCTTGCGGACTCTACCTTCTGTTTTCTCCTTCTACACTCGGTGCACGAGGTAGTCTTCCGTGATGCGCGCGGGACAAGACCCTGGGGCTGCATGGTTCAACATGGTCAGACTCAACCATATCGATGCCGTCGGGTAAGCAGCAGCCGTCGAAGATGCATTGGAAAGGTAAATGCCGATCGCTTTTGGGGGCCACGGCAGTTCTTTAAATGCCCCCCCATGATGTCAGACAGCGGTCGCGCGAGAGCTCTGCTGAGGCCTCTCTGCCCCCTACGTGTGTTCAATTGGAATGCCAGCCAGCAGGCATAGAGTTAGAGACTATTTACCGGACCCAGTGCCTTGGCATCGAGCCCGGCGCCGGGTCGCCACCAATGGCAGCGCGGGTAGCAGCCCTAGAAAAGAAAAGGTCAGACTGGGTTGGCATCATCTGGAGGGCCTGAATTGTTTGGTCCGTAAGCGATGAGGTCAAGCCACCGGGGTGCTAGCGCAGCATGGCGACCAATACAGCTCGCACTCATCATGCTCAGCTGCCTTAGCGCCCCCGGAGCAAGCCGCTCGACCTTTGATCGTGGGACACACCCTTTCCCAGGGAGTTTCCTGACAAGAGGGAGGGTAGGGGGTCTAGACCTGTCCACATGCCCCCCAGGGCCAGGAGGAGTCCAGTTCGACCTCTGGCGTTCGAGTGACGTACGTGAGTCAAATCATGGGGAAGCAGAGTCACACACATTCGTGGCTGTAACAACCTGATTTCTATTTGAGAAACAGGCACCAACATTTGGATTGATTCGGCTATGCTATTTCTTTGCTAGGACTGGCGCCTGTCACATCTCACGACAAGCCTCCAAACCCGCCATTCGCTGCTTGCCTTTTGTGGCATGCTAAGCCATCAAGCCACTTCGTGCTGCGACACTTGAGGCTCCTTGGCGCTGGTCTCCGCAATCTCCGAAGGCAGGACTTGGCCGTGCTTGTAACTGCTGAACTTACGAACAGGTACGTCTTGCAAGAACAGGTAGTCGAGCTCCTCAAGTGTAAGTCCCTGGTCAACGAAAGGAGAGTCAGCATGTGGTCTGTGGTACTCGGGGCGACGGCGGCCAGAAGATCACTCACCCCTGTCTCCGGGATGCAGAACCAGGCGAAGAAGATGGCCAAGAGGGCGAATGAGCCGAAGATAAAGCCAACTTTGGGGCCCAAAGCAGCATAAGGAGCGTAGAGGAGATAGGGCAGACTGAACGTGATGGAGAATGCGACTGCAATGTTGACCACACTCCCAGTGGCGTAGGTGATATCTCTAAGTCTGGTAGTGGGAATCTCGGCGGTGATGACATGGGACAGCGGCGCCCAGCCGAAGCAGTAAGCTGCGTTCAGGACAACAGTCATAGCTGTAATGCCGATCTTGTACTCTCGGCTTGGGTTGGCGACTGAGCCAAGACCGCCCATCGCGACCAGAGCACCGCCCTGGATGCAGGTGCCAATCATCATCAAAGACCTAAGCAGAGATCGCCATTAGTCACTCGTTGAATCTAAATTGAAGCAGGGTGTTCGTACTTTCGGCCGACCTTGTCGTTGATCCCCATGCAGAGGAGCACGGCGGCAATAGCGCAAACGGTATTGACGGTAGACATGACGAACGGGTCGATGGCGCCGATATCCTTCAAGAATACCGTGCCATATTTGGAGCCGAAAACCTGTCCAGTAGCCTGCAAGAAGAAATTCGTTCCGAGCACGATCAAGGTCCGCTTGAGGTTTGTGCCTTGCCAGATCTCCTTGAAGGAACCCGTCTCGGCCGTGAGTTCCAGTGTGCCCTTCAGAATCTGGAACTCCTCCTCGATCTGCTCGTCGGTAAACGCTCCCTGTCGAAGTAGCTGGAGATTGTGACGAGCTTGCTTATCGCGACCCTTGAGTAGGAGCCAACGCGGCGACTGGGGTTGTGTCATTAGAGTCAGAGATAGATACAAAGGAGGCTTGGACGAGACAAGGCTGCGGCTTACCTCGGGGATCCAAAAGGTACCGGTGAACAGAATGGTAGGGATAATGAACAGCGTCCCGAAAGGGATCCGGTACGAGTTCTCGTTAGGGATCTTGCTGGTCCCCAGGCAGATCAGCGCCATGATGAGGCCGCCGACCATGATGCCGAGTTGGTAGGTACCGACAACGAAGCCTCGGACAGCAGCCGGCGCTAGCTCGGACTGGGTGACCGGAACGGAGGCCAACTCCATGCCGACATACACGAAGTTGAGCATTCGGCCCACGAGAACCTGTTCCTTGGCCTGTGCCGTGATGAGGAGGATCGCCGCGATCCAAGCAAAGAAGCACATGGTGAAGAAGGACATGCGGCGGCCGAAGCGACGGCAGACAAAACTACCGAGCAGCAGGCCAGAGACCTGGCCGATAGTTGGAAGACTATTGAGCAAGGAGAGGAAGTAGGGCTCGATGGCAATGCGCTTGAGGGCCGGCTGGTACACGCCAAACTTGCGCTCAAAGGGCGTCATGGCCTGCGTGTTGTTGAAGGCACTCGTATCCATGCCAAAGTTGATCTGCGACAGCATGATGACGAAGCAGGAGAAGAACAGCCGGCCATTGAAGGCGCCAATCACCCGGTTTCCTTGGAAGATTCCGCCAGCCATGGTCAGGATAGTATGGCTCACACGGGGGAATATAGAAAAGAGAGACTGAGTATGGATGCAAGAAAAGGCGCCGATGGGGACGACCCAGAGCAAAAGGGCAAGAAAATGTGCCAGCCTTTATAGAGGAGCCATGTGTCCAAGGCAGGGTAGAGTTTTCGCGAGATATGCATCTGGGGAGTGTTCTGGGGCCCCAACTGCCACTTTCCCCGCATGGAGTAACTAGTGGATCGCGAAGTCCGGACTCTGGCCGGACGTAGATCTAGTGCCCATCCTGGCTGCTGAACTGGCCACAGGAAAGAGGACCTGATGACCAATGGAGCAGAGATACAAGTACATCTCTTCAAGTCTTGTTTTTCTACGCCATGTAACATTAGTCCAGTTCTTAGAGTCATTTTCGAGCCTCTACGAGATGAAAACCTGTCCTGTTCAGTTCTCCAGACGAAAATCAGCTCGCAGACGAAAACCCCCCCGGCAGACCTAAATTTCAGGCTGCATTGACTCGAGATCAGCTAGACTGAATGCCAAGCAAGCTTGCAAGGCGCCGGAAATGCAATAATCAGTCGCCAACGTGAACCTGCAGCAGGCTGGATCCATCCTCGGCTCCGGGCGCCGCCCGAGGGCCGTCTGACCGCCCCTCGAGCCAAAGATCGACCTGAACGAGTCCCGGTGCGAACTCCGGTGCCACTCCATCAATGATCGATGCCGGATGCCCGCCAAAGTAGGGGTCAAGGTAACTCGCTGATGGAAGTTCCTCAGAAGATACCGCAATGGTAAAAATGCATATCCTTGCTCTGGAACTTGGGAGGGCTATCCCACCACCTACAGTCGGATGGGTTTGATGGAGGATCAAGTACTTCTGTGAGCCCGTGAACTCATCTGACCATCTCTTGCCTGTCTTCATTCGCCCATCTCGACTTGGACGAGTGCCGGTGCGAGTTCCGGTGCAACTCCACTGACGCGTCCCGCCAAACATTCACTTTCGCCAGTGCACATGCCAAGAGGACAGTCCCATCGACAGCGGCACTGCCCTCTCCAATTTCAATAAAGGTCGGTCTTTGAAATGACAGCTCAAGTATCCAACGCATCTTACGCTGAACTTTTCCCGCGTCGCGACTGGTCGAGATGGGCCAAGAGAGCGATACATGCCGCGATACCTTTGCAAGCTCGTGCGGTTCATACGAAGTAAGACTTCGCTATCCCTGACAAAATGCCCACTTAGCGGGCACCTAGCACTGAGATGGGCTGGCGAGAAGGATCATGCTGTCCACAGGACGCTGCAGATCTGGAACATCCAGGCATAGCCCTGCAACTTGTGACTTGCCAGATCATTCAGCAGAGAGTAACTCCCCGTCTCACCGCGTGTTAGCGTGGTATGGACACCCCACGCTCTCTCCCATGTGGTTCTCCCACTACCCCAAACTGATTTAACGCATCGCTTGTTATAGTTCTGTGTGGTCGATGTGCGGTGCCGGTAGTCTTCTACCTTGTACAATAGGTAGGCAAGTGGGCGTCTGAACAGTTGACGGAAGTTCATCAGGAGCTACCTCGATCTTAACAGTCAATATCCTTGTCACATCCTTGGCCTGGAACTCGGAAGGGCTATCCCACTACCTAAATCCGATGGGCTTGATGGGTAGACAAGTACTTCTGTTAGCAGTCCGTCGACTAATCTGACCCTCACTCGGTAGGTAATGCCCAGGAATGCTTGGAGGACGGAAAGTGGGGTGCCATCAAAGATAGTGTTTGAGCGAAGCTTGTTTAGACCGCCAGCTGAAGATACCAAGAGGCCGGACGATCGGACATAAATCTGTCTCCTTGCCTGTGGCGATGTCAAACTGCTTTCTGACAAGAGGCATCATGAGGCGTTGGCTTGCATCGATGGTGTTCATACGAGACTTCTCCATCCCGACCCGTGACGGCAACGCGATCAACTCTGGTGGCCCGGACCTATCGACCGGCGGACGTGTCCAGCACGAAGTGACCATCTGCAGGGCGGTGATTTCTTGTTTGGCACGGTGGCCTCCAAGCATGCGGTCTATTCACGCATTGCCGTGAATCAGGTGCTCACATCACCTCTGCCTTCACGAGACCCATTGGCAAACAAAAGTTGCCGATGATGCGACTACAGCCCAGCATATACATCATACTGGACAGGTCAGCCTGTTAGCCCTTCAGCCCGATGAATAAGCCTTCGTCTGTCCACTCTGTCTGCTGACAAGGCTGTTGATGACACGCACTTCCGTGGATTCTTGTCGGATTGTATCCGCCCCAGGCACACTGGCAAAAGAGAAGTCTTGAGTACCAGGTGGATCATTGTACTTGATGAGCCCTTATTTTAACTGACAATTCTATTTGTCGGCTGTATACAAAGTCTACCCGATACAGCGGCGCCTTTCAGTCCTCCATAACTCGAGGCGCGCAATTATGTTGTTTCCATTGCTCATATTCTTATGAATCGCAGAAGAGTGCTGAGCTAAGCGGGCTCCCGCCGAGTCTATCAACGAAGGGAGGTGATTCCTCCACTGAGGGCGATGGAAAAAGCACCTCGGCAACCCCACATTGACCGACGACCATGACGTTCTGCAAACCCCAACATATTGTGTTTTGAAGGGCTTTTGGGTAGACTTGGTATTGGCACCATTGCCATAAAGCGTTGGTGCTTGGCCGGAACCTCACTAGCCCGCCGGCTTGTTGCGGAGATAGCCTGGCATGGCGTGCGGAGAAGTGCTGCCCTCTCTTTCATTGGAGGTCATCTGAGATTCGCTTTTCAGCTGAACCATTTGCTGTCCAACAGCCTTCACTGCTTCTGCCGTTTCACCACTTGACGCGGTTCGCCTATCGCTTGCTCAGGCTGTTCTCGGTTTTCTTTTGCTCGCCCTGTCCTGAAACACGTCCTCCAAAAGCATAATATCCTGGTCGCCAAAGTCAGACTTGATCCTGGGAGGCAATAAGTCAATATGCCGAGCATCGTCGATCGCGGCCCAGACGGCATCGTCTACCGAGCAGGGAGGAACCTACCGCTCATTGATCTTGACCTTCTTACCCTTCTCTTTGGTATGTTCGCAAGTCCATGCCTGATCATGTTGAAGATGTTGAAGATCCGCCGATCTGACAATTCTCTACGAACTAGACTCACCACACAGCCCGGCAGCCGATGATGACCCGGTACATATCGACGCTGCAGACCCTTCGAGGCTCATCACGAAGGCTCAGCTGCGTACGCTCACCAAGCGCACCGCTCACATGTTGGCCTCCAGGTATGGTATCGGCCGCCAAGGATCCGGACGGGACGTGATCCTCGGCATCTCTTCAGGCAATTATCTCCTCCCCACGGTATTCTACGGCACAATCGCCGCGGGCGGCATCTTCTCGGCCTCGAGCCCGGCGTCTACCCCGCGCGAACTCGCCGGCCAAATCGAGCAGATGACGCCGAAGCTCCTGATTTGCAGCGCCGACCTGGGACCAGTCGCGCTCGAAGCGGCGCAGATAGCGGGGTTCCCAAAGGAGTGCGTCTTGGCGTACAGCGGCGACGGCGCGAAGGGCGACTACGGCTTTGCCCTGAACGAAGCTGCGTCTGGAAATGCCGTACCGATCTCGCAGCAGCAGCTGGATTGGGAGCGGATCACCGACCGTGAAACCCTCGAGAATAGTACTATCTGTATCCTCTTCTCCAGCGGGACCACGGGCAAGCCCAAGGGCGTGCGGCTCAGCCACCAGAACCTCGTTTCCGAGGCCCATCTGACCCAGACGGTCAACAAGGAGTGGTTCGCCAAGAACAACCCCAGCTTCGAGTACCGCACCATCGCGCACCTGCCGGTCGCGCACATCGCGGGCATCCAGGGCTACCTCGTGAACAGCCTCTTTATGGGCGGACCCATCTACTGGATGCCGCGGTTCGACTTTCCCAAGTTTCTCGAGTACAACAAGAAGTACCGCATCACCTTCTTCTTCACCGTGCCGCCGATCTACCTATTGATCGCCAAGAGCCCCCTCGTCACGGACCAGTTCGACTCGCTGGACAGCGCGGTTACCGGCGCGGCGCCGATGGGCAAGGAGCTGCAGGCTGCGGCGACGAAGAAGCTTGGCAAAGGCAAGGTAATCCTGTGCCAGACGTGGGGACTGAGCGAGACGACTGGCAGTATTACGCTGCTCCCTAAGGGCGAGTTCGACGGTACTGGCAGCGTGAGCGAGCTTGTGTCCAACCACGAGATGAAGATCGTCGATGACAACGGCAAAGACGTCGAGCCGGGACAGGACGGAGAGTTCTGGGTCCGAGGCCCCGTAGTGACCAAAGGGTACTATCAAAACGAAGAGGCGAACAAGAGCTCTTATGTGGACGGATGGTTCTGCACAGGTGACATTGGTCACTTCAAAGACGGTCTGTTCTACATTGTGGACAGGAAGAAGGTACTTACTTCACAGGCATTATACTGTGTTGAGATGTTGGCTAACAATGAGAACAACAGGAATTGATCAAGTACAAAGCCACCCAAGTTGCCCCGGCCGAACTGGAGGCGTTGCTTGTGTCGCACCCTTTGATCCAGGACGCAGCAGTCATTGGTGTTCAGGGTGAAGGCACGGAGGTGCCTCGGTGAGTGAATCCAAGACCTTGAGGGAGGTGTGTCGATGTTTTACTCATTCATTTATAGAGCGTATGTGGTTGCGGACCAGAAGAAAATCTCTGCCGAGGACATCGCCCGGTGGGTAGCCGAGCACGTCTCCAACAACAAGAAGCTGAGAGGAGGAGTGGTCTTCATCGACGCCGTACCGAGGTCTCCTGCCGGAAAGATCCTGCGCAAAGTCCTGAGGGACTCTGCAAAGAACGAGAGACCGTCCAAGCTCTAAGACAGAAGCCACTACCATTGCTTTGAAGAGAAGGATTAGACAAGATCAACAACTACTTACATCGCTGATATTCACAGCCTTTTCGACTAGGTTTTATTTTGTACCAGCATTGCATAGTCTAGCATTTTGATCGACGTTTTACACACAGACTTTTTGGGCTCATCCTAAACCATGGATTAGCGAAACCTGAAATATTACGATTATTACTCTATAAGCGCAAACCTGAAAGCTAAAATTCCCAATTGAAAATCCCAGGGTCGACCTGGCGCCCTGCCTGCTTTGCGACAATGAGCTGAGCCGCCGGGTTGTCATCGGTCAGAAACATGTACTGATGCACCTTGAGCTGCTGCCCTTGCCTGTCTGTCCTTCCAAAACACTGGACCTCGTCAGCCTTTGAACCTAGGGGGCCTGTAATTACCTGGTAGTTTGCAATCTGCAGGTTGAGACCCGTGCCGCCCGAGTCAAAGGAAGTGATCAGAATCTCCGTGCAGTTGCGGGGCCGCAGGCTGTTGAAGTCCGCGAGCACTGCTTTCCGGTCCACCTGCTTCTGCTCCGGGTGAAGGATCCCGACTCGCAGAGAGGGTTCGACCTTCCGGAGCGCCTTGTACAAGAAGACTGCTTCTGCTAACCGCGGAGTGGTGATCAGCATCTTCTTCAAGGACAAGTCATCTCTCTGGTCTCGCTTGCACCCGGACGCGTCTTCCTTGGGCCGCTGCTGCCGGTCCGCCCTCATGTGGTCTATGAGGACGAGGATGGCGGGCACCACCGGACTCCCCTCCATGATCTTGTCGAGACATTCGTCAAACAGAGCCACGTCGTCGATCTGCCGCTTGGTGCTATGCCTGATCTGACGTCTGATCTGGTCCGTCCGAAGGCTCACTATACCCGGCGCCACCAACCTCGCCGCCCCTGGAAACGCCGCCAGCGTCTGCAGCGTGCACAGCTTGGTGTACATCGTCGGCGACTGGAGCAGCGCCGCGAGGTCTTGGGGGTCCCTCCCGCTGCCGAGGATGAGCCGGGCCATGGCCCGGACGTCCCCGAGGAACTTCGGCGGGGTGCGCAGCGTCATGTACCCGACCCTCGTCTCCGGTTCGGCGCAGATGGGCGCGCCGAAGAACTTGGAGAGCTTGGTGTGCCGGACGACCATCCGGCCGAAGAAGAAGGCGACGGCCTCGCGCTTCAGGGCGTGGACCTGCCCGTCCGTCGCGGTCAGGGCGATGGCGGTCTGGTGCAGCTTCTCCAGCGTGTCGATCTGCTCGAGGCTGGTGAAGTGCTGGCGGTGGCTCGTCGCCTTCCAGCTCTCGCGCGCCAGGATGTCGACGACGGGGGCCACGTCCCCGAAGCCGTGCGGCATCGGCGTGCCCGTGACGGCCCAGAAGTGGAAGTCGCCGTCCATGAGGGCCTTGTGCTTGCGGGCCAGGACGACCGGGTGCCCGTCCCTCGGGACCTGGTGGAACTCGTCGACGAACTGCAGCCCCACGGGGCAGCTGTAGACGGAGTCCTTGCGAACCTTGCCTCGCGCGCCAGACGACGGAGGAATTCTGAACTCGGTCTGGAATCGGGTGACGAACGCATCGGCCCCGTGGCTCGTCAAGAAGATGTACCGCTCGGGCTGTCTGCGCGGGTCCTCGTCGAACTGGAAGACGGAGTCAGGGTCGCCCGGCCGCACTGGCCTTTGGGTCTTCGGCGGCGCGTCTTGGCGAGCCTTCGATGTGATCTTGAACCTCTTGTGTATGTCTTCAGGTGGTTTAAGAGCCCCAGTCGTGTTGGGGTAGTACTTGTACGGCTCAAAGTAGCGATCTTTCAGCTTCGCTCGAGTGAGAAGCTCTGCCCAATCCGACAATGTCGGGCTCGGCACCATGAGGAGACTCACACCCCTGGGAAGGAAAGGGGCAATCTGCCTCGTGACTCCCTTGGCGTTCGCGTAGCATTCCATGTCCGCGAGGTTTTGACATTTGCACGGGCCTTGACTATGTCTCGGTGAGTGCACCCAGTACGGCGCCGAGGGGCGGCCTAGCTTCTTCCAGTGCTCGCGTGCTTCCCACTCCCTCTCTACTTCTGCCCTATTGTAAGCAATCAGTGCCCGAAGCACGACCACTGTCAGGATGACGTGGGATTTACCTGTGCCCGGAGCGTCGGCGAGGATACCGCCGCAGATGTCGCGATCCAGACGCGAAGTGAGCATCTGGAAAGCGGCCCACAATTGCCTCGGCGTGATGCTCAATCTAGTCTGGGGGAGGTCGATGGATCTCACCAGAGGATTCTTGTGCCTGTTTGGGTCGAGAAGGAGCAAGGAGCAGCATTCTTGCCACTGGTTCTCGCTCGGTTGGGCAAAGGGCGGGATAAGGGATTCCAGATCCCCTGTAAAGTCCCCGGGGCCATCTACAACCTTGCAAGTTGCCTTGAGAGCTGCCAAACCTGTGCTATTCCCATGTTTGTCCGCTTTGAGCGGAGGGAAGCTTGTCATGGTAGCGGTCCCTGGCCTAGCGGAGGCAGGCTTTGGCTTCTTTATTTTGGCTCTAGCGGCAGCTCGCGGCGGCAATTTCTGTGATGGCTGTCTCTTGTCCTCCGCCGACGGGGCAACCTTGCGGCCCGATGATTGAGGCCGAGGAGGTTGACGAGCGCCTTTCACCCATCCCATCCACCGAGGCAGCCTGGACAGAAACGTGCCTGATCTGGACAAACGCGTGCTGAACGGTATGATCAGGTCTTTGACCATTCTGGATAAGCCATGGCTGTTTGAAACTGGAACCATTGCCTTTCTGGTGTCGACACGCACGGGTATTCGAGACGTGTGCTTGGAGGTGCGGCTCAGATAGCTGACGAGACTCCTTGCATCATCGATTGACGGGCAGTACTGGCTCCTGGTTCTTGACGTCCCATGGCTCGATTTAGGGGAGACTGGTGGGCTCCCAGGTGGTGCAAGGCTGGCAGCCGTGAAGAGAGTCGAAGTGTCGTTCCATATCTCGCATTGTGGTTCCAGCGTCTCAAGTGCGGCTGTCTGTTCTTCCGCAGGTGCCTGTTCTTCCTGCACTTGTTCTGGAACGGTCGCAGGAACAGACTTCTCTACGAGGAAATAAATGAAGTCAGCCTTCTCGGGCTCCTTCAACAATAGTTCCTCCACCTTTTGAAGGACGATTGCAAACCCTCCGGGAGGGTCAATCCCGTACGTTTGGCTCAGGTCGCCCAGCGAGAGCCACAGCCGGTATGTGTCCTGCGAGGAGAATTGCAAACACTGCCCGATTGTCGAAAAGAACATATTCTCGTCGAAGTTCTCCGGGCGATACGGAAAGCTGTAGTCCAGCCCTGTGCTGTCAAAGGAAGCACACGAATCGACGCTTGAATTGGCTTGTCCCTCTGCTTTGAGCCTCTGAAAAGCATCTCCCTTCTTGATGGTGCTGGGATTTGACGCCCCGCACATCGTCAGATTGACCCCGACGGCACTCAAGCTTGCCGAATCCAGATTGCTCCGAGGTGCTGTGAACACACTGCTTCTTGGACTCCCAGAGCCCACCTCGGACATTGGGTCAATCTGGTCGGGGTCCTCATTTCGACTGGGAAAGAAATATTGCAGCTTCGTCGAGAAGCCCAAGACTTCTCGCGTCTCGTTTAAACTCACAACAGTGCATCTGACGTTGCCGAGATGCTGCTCAAACCTGTCTCTCAGATGGCGAACCTCTGGTCTTGAGACACCGAGTGCCTGTTTTGCAGCCAGCACACTCGACAGGTGCTCGTCACCTGGTTGAATGGGTACCAAGGGGCTTTCCGGCCCCTCGTGTATGCGTCCTTGGGAGGGGGAAGGGTTTCGAGGTGTGTGAGGACTCTTTGGCAGACCCTGTCCCGGGCTGGGTCTGATGCCTAAGCCTGCCGCAATGGTGGTAGAGCTCGAGGTTGAACCTGACACCGAGGAGTCGACTTCGGCGGTTTCGGGTATGGCGCTTAAGGAGTGCCTAGACTTCCTTGGTATCATATTGATAGTCGTTTTCGTAGGCATCTTGCCTGACTTCTAGTTCGAGCAACGGTCGATATATACTTTGTGTAGAGTATACTTAGAAGTGCAGGGCTTGGTCTGTCTGTTTCTGAGCCTTCATTCTCGTGAATTTTATGAAAGGAGCAAGCGCTTCAGGTCTTGCATATATATGGACTTCCAAAAAGTGGCTGAACATTCTTTCTTTGCAAGCCTGTAATGAACAAAGTCTTTATGTTGCATGGTGTTATTGCATTGTTGTTCATATGGGCATAATTGGTCTCTTTGTTAGTTCTGAACCAGGAGCAAACAAGCATAAACTTGTATCATGTACACACTCATCACTCAAAAGTACACTACTGCATAAAGCATTCCTTCGGATCTAGGAAATAGGTTAATCCAGTCAGAAGAAAAGCTGGGAAGTATCAAAAAGGGGTCGATGAACAGGGTGAAGTATTGGGAGAGACCTTCACGGCAGACCTTGGAATGCTACATGAGGGTGTTGGCTCAAGATGGCTGAATAGAAATGACCTTGACGACCCATGCTGTCGCTGCCCATGTCATAAAAAGGGTCGGTACGCACAAAGTGTCTCGTCACATTTTGCGACACTATCTCAGATTCGATCAGCCATCTATCGACAATGTGGAGTTTAGTAGGCCGCGGTCAGAATCACCATCGAAGGGCGCAAAAGAGGACGCCAAGAGATACAGCATGAGGAAGATATGTGGAGGCCCAAAATCATCCTCACACTCTTTGCCCGAATGGAGTGCCCGAGTGATACCGGCCATCCTCGGCAAGACTCATCGAGTTAAATGACTCAGCGACCAAGAATAGCAGGGGTCAAGCGAATGGACTCTTCGTGCTTCGAACTGAGTGGGCGACATTCCCTGATCTGGCGTAGCGGCGCGGGATGGTCGGCAGGACGTTGTATTTATGCGGTGGCTCTACTTGAGGTGGCACATGTTGATCAAGACAGAGTCTCATCTGATGGCAAGTATCTCCTCTTCAGTCGCCACTTAGGGTGTCGCATGAATGCAGCCTTTGTTACGAACAAAGCACAAGGAGATTGGTCCAGGAGGGAAAGCCTTCATACAACGAGTGAGACAGCGGGGCACATCAGAGAAGTCAAAGGAATGCTGAACAAAGCCTCGGACAAAACGTCAACAGGGCGTGGTTCAGTAACTTGCTTGCCAAGGAATTTAGGCACTTTCAGCTTCCCTTTACCAGAAGAAACGTCGAGAAATCCCGTGGCCGGTGTCGGATGCCGGATGATTCGACATGGTCAGATAATTAGCTCCCACTAGCTGGGCTTGGGAGGCAAGGAGCCACAGACAACGAGGTCAAAAAAAGGCTCAAGAAGGTTATCTGATGATCAGATTAGATCACCTTAACGAATATCATTGGACAGTCGTGGAGTAGTCGCATCTGGGTCCACCAGAGCTGGAGTCTTAGTCTGAGAGAGAGCATTTAGTGAAATGACGGATATTCAAGGAAGCTCCGCAAAACTGCCCCAGTGACTACGGCTACTACCTAGTCGACCGTTTTATGCCGCTTTTGGTTCCTAAGCTTGTTAAAGGCGGTCTTCATTGCGGCAAACACGACTGCATTTAGAGAGCTTTGCAACCGTGCCTTACTTAGACGAGACAAGCTTTTGTTGCCGTCAAGTTTGGGGAAAGTGACAGCCCATCCGAGAACTTCCTGAGGTGGAAGATAATGCTTTCTCCTCGATGGGGACGCATCGCCAAGTGTCCCACCAGAAAGCTGAGTCCTGGAGAGCCAAAAGTGAAGATCATTGCCAGCTTCGGGCTCGTCAAATGTTCCCGCATCCACGGCCACGAACCACATGCAACACTAGTTTCATGCATATCGAGGTCTCGCAGGTGGGTTTCGAGGGCGACCAGCTCGTCTGCTCATGTCCGGACCGGCAAGCACTGGGCCTTGGCAGAACCTCCGCTTCCGTAGAAGGTTTCCTGCTCCACAGTTGGTCGCCTTGGATAGGAGTATCTCGAAGATGCTCGCTTCATTCTGCTCTGGTATTGGCTCTTCTTCGGCAACTCGGGACTCGGATCATGCATCTTATCATTGAACCCACCTATCAAAACAGGAGATCAGCACTGCTAGCCTCTCTCCTCCCATCGAGGCTTGCATCAAATGGTTCAAGTGGTTCAATTTTACAAAGGCGGAGGGACCGGTCAGGTCCCAAAAATACACGAGGCGAAGATGTTACTTAGAGACTGGTTCCTTCACAGATATAAAAATCCTGGATCGCGCCTGCACCCTCCGGTTTTGCCAACCAGTTCATCATCATCATCTCAATCTCCTTCTTTGCAAAGTCTTAACCTCAAGTTGAGAACAACTACACAGATATTCACATAATGAAGTTTACTCTTGCTTCTGCTGTTGCCTATTTGGCAGTCCTCGTCAAAGCCCAGCTCCCAGATGGGGACATTCCAGGCTGCGCCGTAAGTTGGTCATGAGTTTCAACTCCTTCACCATGATACAGACAGCGTTTTGTCAATGATCTGACCATCTCCCACAGGCTACCTGCTTCCTCCAGGTCTACATGAGCAACTCTGCCATCCTCGCCAACTGCAAAGAGGACAACATGTATCTCTGCTTCTGCAAGAGCAACTACCTGCCCCTCGCCTACCAGTCGTGCGTGTGCAGCACCTGCCCGGCTGCTGATAAGGCGGCTGCGCTTCAGTACGGCAAAGATACGTGCGAGCGTAAGTGCCTTGAGTCCCCTTGTGAGGCGCAGAGATGCGGTCTGGCTAGGCTTCGCGCTAATGTTTCCGTGCGCAGTCAACGGTGCTCCCATCGACTGGATAGGCGCCTCTTGCTAGATGCTTCCGCACAAAGCAGACTAGGGATATGGCTATCTTTGGTGAGGCATCGCAGGAGGATGTACGTAAAGCCCGCCCTAGTGTCTTGCTGCCTGTCCAAATATGAATAGAACAAGCTTTGATGTTGGACAACGTCGTTTTATCACTCGTAGCAACATACTGTGGCACAAGTGAAAGGATCCGAGAGTCCAGTCTTAAAGTCAGAGACGAGACGATTATGGTGTTGGAGGTGGGTAGTGTACATCAGCACCCTTGGCCACGGGCTCTTGGAACATCTATGGAACATTCTTTCTCACAAGCATACGTCGCACTCTGCCTAGCCTGGTTGATATTCCTCCAGATACCGACCGTTCATTCGAAACTACGTTCAACAACGCAGAGCCTACCTCACGAGCACAGTCTTTGCTAGACTTGTTTCGCTTCACCGAACTTTCTCGACCACTTGGTCCATCTTAATGCCGAATTTTCCCACTAGGCGATCTCCTTCATTTGTCTTCTTCGGGATGTTTTGGCACTCAGGAGCATTCAAAAGGCACAATATTGTTCACTCCATCTCTGTCAGTTCGTGTACGGCACAGCAACTTTGGAATTGGGCAGAGACCCCGCCGCAAATCCTCCAGTGGCTGCCTTTAGGCGGAGTTTTAGCGTATGGCACACTAAATTAGCCCCGCCGCCATGACAGACTCCGATGCGACCGTTCAAGGTTGCTTCGGGACTTGCATGTAAAAGCTCCGAATTCAACTGACGGCCCGTTTAAGGCCCCTGGTTTCAGACATTTATCGTCTTTTCCCCAAAAGGTATTTCTGTCCGTCTGGATTTGGACAGTCTATCGAAATAACGGAGACGAGGTATGCATGTATTACGCCACTGCCGCGATATGCTGATTGAGTGACGCAGTTCGTCGATGTTTTGCCAGACCGCCAGACCAGACGACCAGCCATCTACTGCCGTACTTGTATCCAGGTGCTCGAGCAATGCCGGTGCAAGCGAGGCCACAAAGAGTTAGACGAATAGCTATTCTTTTTACTCCAGCCAGCGCGGAGACTTTGAGCTGCATTGCCGGGGATCCTACTGAGAACTTGGTAGCGACAACAAATTACCGAGAGACTTGTCCAGTTCTGGGAGCCGCATCGGATCAGCTGAGATCGATCCCTTCAGGTCTGGGGTCTGAAGCAGGGCATCGCCAGTCACCTCATCCAGTCCTCCGTTGGCTGAGCTGGGAATCGAGTCTCGGCGTGGCTGTCCAGCCGACATTGAGGCGCCCGACTTCGCCTGCGCAGCTCCCTATCTGGTCTGGTGTCGCTGACGGGCGTTCTGTTCCCTGAGCCAGATCGCATCATGGATGCCCTGGAAGGGTCAAAGCGCAAACTGGTGGGCCTGGAACCTACTGCTCGGAGCGGTCGCGGTCCCAGAACAGGACCAGACCGCCGAAGGGAAAGCGACATCTCTTCCATTGTCCATTGCAAGGCCTGCCGACCGGACCTCAGACCCGACGACGGCACCAGCACCCACCACAGGCGTGATTGATTGTACAAGTACCAAAGTAGTCCTCGCTAAGCGGTGCATTGACCCGAAAGAGGCCTGCGGATCTGAGCATCGCGTCCAGCCTCTGATAGGTTGGATCCGCGTGGATGGTGAGCGATCTGCCCGGTCGTCGTGCCTGTGTCCGGGGTACATGCCCCTTTCCTCTGCCGATCTCAGGGGTCGGCTTCGTCTGCTTGGTCTGCCTCTGGCCCAATTCTCTCTCCCCACAACGGCTCATATCCCCGTCAAAGCTGGCCATGGATCACGGTGTTCGCGTTGCAGAACTCTCTGACCCCGGCAGTCTCGAGGACGCCTCGACGTCACCTCTCAGTTGCCCTGCTGTGGAGCCGAGTCTGTGTTTCGTTTTGTCTCCCTGGAACCGAGCAGGTCGCCAACGTGACCTCGACACCCTCTTCGAGTGTCTTTCTGCCCGTCTTTCCGTTTACCAAATTGGTGGGATACGAATCAAGCAATTTATCCATAGCTTGTCTAACTATCCCGCGCGACACACTGTCGCCGCCTGTGGCATTACGTTTCCGACCTTTCGCTTGTTTCCTTTTGACACCTTCTTTTCATTTGTCTCGGCATTCAATTACCCCAGATTTCCGCCTTTCGTCTGGATGCCGGCGCTTCCCCAGATAGTTCTGGGATTCTCGACTGCAAGCTTCTCGTGACGACACATGCTGCACAAGACACCGAGCCCTTGACCATGCTCGTATCTTGATAAACTCTGCAGAGTAGGCTGGCAGAGACAGCCTGACAGCTCGACACCCGACTCCGGCGCTTACGGGACCAGCCTTTCCCGCCGTCAGTGACACGATGAACGAGACATTCGACCCGTGGGGGGATCCCGCGACGCGTGAGCACGACAGCATCCAGCTCAACCTGGCCGTCTGCGCCGTCCTGACCTGGCTGATATCCGCCGTCTTCGTCGGCCTGCGCGTCTACACCCGCCGCTTCCTCCTCAAGGTCTTCGGCTGGGAGGACACCTGCATCATCCTGTCGCTGATCTTCGCCGGCGCCATGACCGCGGGCGCCCTCGACCAGATCGTCCACGGCTCCGGCAAGCACGCGTGGGACATCCCGGCCGGCAACTACACGCCGCTCGCGCGCGCCAACTGGTACACGGTGCTCTTCTACTTCCTGTCGCTGGCCTTCTGCAAGCTCTCCATCCTCTTCCTCTACCACGGCATCTTCACCTACCAGAGCGTCCACATCGCCGTCTACGTCGTCGCCGCCATCGTCATCGTCACCAACGTCTGGAACGTCATCGCCACGCTGACGGCCTGCATCCCGCTGCGGGCCTACTGGGACGTCCGGGCCATGCCGGGGGCGCGCTGCTGGGATGCGTCGGTCTGGTGGACCAACCTCTCGCTGCACATGGGCACCGACTGGCTCATCTTCCTGATGCCGCTGCCCGTCATATGGCGGCTGACCGTGCCGAGGAGGCAAAAGTTTATCCTGGTGGGCGTCTTTGCCCTCGGCTTCTTGTACGTACACACAAAACTTTCCCTCCGGTCAACCTAGCGTCTGATGTTCTTTTCCCTTTTTCTAACCTGAACCAATGTTTCAACCGATCCAGCGTCTGCTTCGTCTCCGTCTTCCGCCTCGTGAGCTTGATCCAGGCTCAAAAGGAGATGTCCCACGACTTCTCCTACCACAACGCCAACCTCGGCTACTGGACCTCGGTCGAGGTCTCCTTCGCCATCGTCTGCGCCTGCCTCATGACCCTCAAGCCCCTCGTCTCGCGCTTCTTCCCGTCCTTCTTCTCCCCGACGCCGGTGCACTCGGTGCACTCCCAGGGCGGCAGCACGACCGCCGGCGGCGGCGCCTCGTCGACCCGGCAGATGCGCCTGCGCTCCAAGTTCAGCAGCCCGCTGGACAGCCCTCTCTATGGCGGCCGGGGGGGTCTCCGTCGAGAGTTCGGCCGGCCGCATCACTACAACGAGCAGAGTGCGCAGGAGAGGGGGCTGGAGAGCTGGTTCGACGATGACGACGCTCGTCTGTCGCAGGATGATGGGAGGAGGGGAGCGCGGCACTCGAGACGGATGAGCATCGAGGAGATACCCATGGACAGCCGTGACACCGACCGGTCACGCGAGGAGGCCGCCGCAGCCCAGTTTCGGGACGGGGTAGACTCGCCTTCCGACACAATACCGCGTGCTTCGCTGCGGCCTCCGCCTCCAGTCGTGCGGACGCAGAGCAGGGATGGCCCCGGCGGCACGTTCCTCGCATCGCTGAGCGACGCAGGCGGCCGCAGCCCGTCGGTGCTTCCGCCGCCATCACCCGCTGGCTCGGTAGGCGGCTCGACGTTCGGCGGGAGCAAGGCCGAGTTCTACGACTCGTCCTCGGAGAAGACCTCGCAGGAGTTCGGCACCGTGACTAGTACTACGGCTACTACTACTACGACACCGGCGGAAACATTTGGCAGGCGGAGGTAGCGCCCGATACGTGCACCTCCACACACACCCACGGCTTTGTCGACCTCATACCCTTTTCGAAACAGTCGCTTGTGTATTTCTTTTTACGATATGAATGCTACGAGATACCCCCTGGGATAACATGGATGTTTTTTTTTTATATTGGGACAGGCGGAAAAGGCCACAAATGTATATAGGGTGCAAAAGATATTGTGTGCATGGCCAGGTGCCCTCGGTGTGAATTTACATAGATAATATCTCTGTTTTTACAAACGTCAGCCCCGGTACCAGACTTCCTTCACCACCCTCGAAGCTAGACAAGATATGGCTGTGGCGGCCCCGCCTGTTTCTTGATCACTCCTTTGAATGAACAGCGATTACTGTTCTTCCCTCCGTGTCATAGAGAGAGCACCGCTTTGTTCGTCGGGAAAAAAGAGGCGTCCTCGTGAAGGCCTTTCTTTAGCGAGCCCCCCCTGACGTTACATGCATGCCCAAGACAAAAGACCTGTCAGACTCGCACAACGTCGCATCGTGGGGTGGAAATGCCACTCGACTTTAGGCGAGAGTGCCTGATAAATAGGATTTGCGGGGGGGGAGATGAATGTTGTGCAATTCTGCAAGTCCCGGGCGCGTAAGCACTGGTCCCCCTCCGCTCAGATTGAAAGAGGTTCGGTGAGTGGTAGTGTGTTTGCGGTCACAGGCTTGCCTCTCCGTAAATAGGTCGCAATTTCGCGGTCAATTTTTGCAAGCTTTGTCGTCGCTCCGGAAATGTAGTGAGGCGCGCGTCGTCTCTCAGTCGTCGTAGCAGTTGTGGGCACAACCGACGCCCGTGACAAAATGTCCGATTGCCGGGTTGGCCCTTTTGAGTCGCCATGTCAGATTGGTCGGACTCTTTCCCGCGGTGCCCTTCGGACTAAAATGCTGTCAGTCCCGTAGGTAGCTCCATCTTCTTCCGAAAGGAAAAAAAAAGGCGTTGCCGTTGCGTTCACCCCCCGGCAAGCAAGTCAACCGGCGGGTACCGCGACACGGCCAACCGCGCCGCCAGCTCGCGCCGCGGCCACCGCAGCGGCGGGTCCCACTCCGGGCCGAGGCCGTACATGGCGGCGCCCGCCGTCCGCAGCACCCAGCCGTCCATGTACCAGCGGCGCGGCGCCCGCGCGACGGCGGTGCACCAGTTGACCAGCGCGACGAGGGCCGCGGGCTCGCCCCGCACGAGCAGCGAGACGAACTCGCGGCTGACGCGGCCCGGCCACCAGATCAGGTGCTTCCAGGTGTGCGGGTGGCCCTGCGTGTCGACGGCCCACTCCTGCAGGGCCCGCGCGGCGTCGCGCAGGGCCGCGCGGTCGGCCTGCCTGCGCGGCAGCGTGCGGCCGCCCCCTTCTTCGACGGCGTGCCGCAGCTCCTCGGTCGCGTCGAAGCAGGCCTCGTCGAGGGGCTCCGTCTGCCGCAGGATGTTGCCGGCGATGACGTGCAGGAGCGGGCTGCGGTCGAACCACGGCTGCAGCTGCACGGCGAGGAAGGCGTTGCTGCGCAGCGCGAAGAAGGTCTCGAGGTGGTCGTGGAAGTAGGCTCCCGCAGGGTCGGCGGCGGCGGCGGCGGGCCCGCCCTCGACGACGGAAAAGTAGAAGAGGGTCATGGAGACGCCGAACATGTAGGCGGCGAGCCAGTTGCGCTCGTTGAGGGCGACGACGGCGGCGCGGAACAGGCGCGAGGCCTCGGCGTGGTGGGCGCAGGCGGCGACGAGCAGGTCGCGCTGCGGCAGGGGCGCCGTGCGGTACCGCTGGATGGCGGCGAGGGCGTAGACGTTGTGCCGCAGGAAGGGGTTGGCGGCGAAGGTGTCGCCCAGGGCCTGCTCCCAGGTGGCGCGCTCGGGGGCCGAGAGCACGAGCGGCATGGACGGCATGGCGGTGAGGAACTCGATGCTGTCGAAGTCGGCGATGCCCGGGTCGAGGCAGAGCGGAGGCGTGTCCCCTCCGTCGGTCGCCGAGGTCGAGGCGGTGATGCCGGCGCGCCGGAGGGAGGCCGGGAGCGGGTTCAGCAGGTAGTCGCACTCGTCTCCCCTGCGGGCGCAGTTCCCGCAGATCGGGTGCTGGAAGTCGCATCGCTAACGAGATCGCCACGAGTGGGAGTTAGCCTTCCCGGATGGCTGGCAAGACAGACAGACAGACAGACATGTGCGGGGTGAAGATTGACAGGACCGATTGAGAACGTGATATGAGGGACAGGGGGACACATACCTTCCTTCTCCGCTTACACTGGCCGCAGCCATTGCGAGACTTGGTGTGAAATCTCCGAGAGTTGCGGGCCACGGTATTGGACGAGGTCATGATGGGCGTGACGGCAGTGGTGGTGGCGGCATCGTACAGCGCTTGGATGGCAGAGATGGATCACACGACGGCGGCGACCTCGTAAGAGCTTCCTTGCCTTCCATAAGTATGCAGTCGAAGGATCTGGAATTAACTACTGCTTCGGGCCCGAAGGCGTCTAGGGGATGACGACAAGGCAAGTTCCGTCGGTCGCGACATGATGCACCCCAAGGCAGACACAGCGTCCTTTTAGGGAAGGTCGAGCAGTCAGAGCGATCAATGGCCGTCAAATTAAGAACGTAGTCGACCCTTGCAAGCTGAAGAAGGTGAGTGGGCGCAGGCGGGACGGGGAAGCAAGGCAGTCCAAGCAGCAATTGGGGCGGGTTCATCGACCTGCCCAGGAGCTCGGCTCCAGGGAAATCGAGATGCTTGCAGGCAGACTCTCCAAGAGGCACCCCAGTCAGACCAGGCCCATCCCACGATTCCAGCACTGCCTGCCATCCCCGGCTAATTTTGCCGCGACTGCCCGCATCCATCATCTTTCTGATTTGGACCATTTGGAACGGCGCGGCAAGGGGCCTCATGACAAATAAGCAAGCCCCGGCGGCTATCGGTGGATTCGAATAGGTGCTGTATTTATGGAAAAAGAGCACCTGTAGCTCGGATATCATAAGTTTCGTCAGTTAAGAACGCGCGCCTCTCAGCGACCCCTGCATATATGACCATCATGATCATATGGGGGAGGGGGGCCTCGATTTGGAATGCCTCTGCCCAGGTCTGCAGGCCATTTCGACTAGTCTGATCCATGGCAAAATGACAAAGCTATGACAGAATTAGTCGGCGACCGGATGAGTCTGGGTGGCCAATGAAGAACCCCTGTCAAGCGCTCAGAAAAATAGCCCGTCCATGTCAGATCCGGATCAGGTTAAGCAGAGCCTTGTACACGAAATATCATGCACAGTCAGATCACTGCTGCACCTTAGACGCAGCTCCACTCACACCCGCCGCAACAGTGGAATGCCGCCATCTGTTACACAAGGGCTTGTGTGACGGTCAACTGTCTGTTCCGCAGTTCTACTCTGCCTCTTTGAGTCATGTCGAGATGGATCCCGTGATGTTCTCTTGCCTCTTGGATGAAGGAAAGTTGGCCAGCCCTTGGCATGCCAGTCTACTTGCCAACATGATTGCTGAACTTTGCAAATGCTTGACATCAGCCTTTAGTAGTAGAGCAACAATAACCCAGGGAAGTATTCAGCGGTAGGTGGTACCCGATTTTACGATCCTCATCTGGGCATAGCACGGTGCGCGTCGCGTCAAACGGTTGAAGGAAAGCTACTAGGAACATCTTCACCAGTCAAGCCAAGCCAGAGAGACAAACCAAAGTTCATCATTCTCACTTCTCGAGGAAAGTGAGCACGTCCAACGCGTATCGAGGTTGCCATGTCCCGTTGACTGCGTCCCGGAGTCAGTTGCGATGCATTTTCAGACGGTGCTGCGATGGAACTTGCAAGAGCCATGCTGCTCTTTCACTAATTGTGCGATCTCATGCCCTGAACGGCCTTTCAATGGAGCTCAGACACGCCATCCATGCATTCCGAAGCCGGTTTTGGCTGCATCAGGCTTTCGCAACTATATTTCTGGCACGCATTGCTACAAGACAGCAGTTCTTTCGCCCAACCAAGTCGCTTTGCATGGCAGCACGGCTGAAGCACTCCTCGACCAGGTTGAAGGAACAAAGGGCTAGATCGACCACAAGCAGCAGAGCGCCCACCAGCGGAAGAATACTTGAAAGAGCGACTGGCCGATGTCCGAGAGAAGCAGGCCACAATGAGCGCCCGCACCTCGAACCAATTGCACCCGGATGAATCACAGTCGAAACAAACGCAGCCGGATTCATTACCGCCGAATACATCACCGACGAAGGCGAGGACCGTCGCAGCGAACCAAGCCCCACCAGCAAATATTCCAGCAACAGTGTATCCCGAGGTAGACTTTGAGCACCAGAAATGGCCCGAGGAGCAGAGGCCGGGCCGGGAAGAGCGCCCAAACAACTGCATCACCCGGCAGCTGTGCCGCGACATCCTGCGGAACTACTACGAGCATCTGGAGAACGACCCCTCGCCAGCATACCTCGAATGGGTGGGACCCGGGGTCAAGGTCGTCCTGGTCTCGCAGGACGAGACGGTGGTCCTCGTCGCGCAGTCCGACGGGCCGGTCCGCCAGCTCGACTGGAGCCCCGGCGGCCGCCTGCGCACGTTCCTCACGCTCATGGCAGACGACAGCCTAATCAACGATGTGGAGGAAGAGACGGAGTGCTGGGGGTTCAAGCCCGACGAAGACGATGACGGCATCGTCCGCTTCATGTTCTGCATGGGTGGGCTCTCCCACGGGTTTTCCCTTCCCCTTCTTCGCTCCTTCTGTTTCCTTTCTGCTAATGTGTTTCGGGTGCTGGTCTAGTTGAAGAAAATTGTCACCCGCTCTCGATGGGACACTTTTTCGGTGAGCTGGAACTCACGAGTACCCTGGAGGAACAGGCAAGGAAGATGAGTCGGCCGGAATTCCCTTGAAATGGGGCTTGTTGTATCGGTCGCACCGGAAGCGTTTGTGACTTTACGATAGCATAGCGAATGGAAAAGGGAGAAAGGCTAGCCTTGCATTTCCCTGCATGTTTTACGCCATAGGCTTTTCAGCTTCAGACATAATATTCTTGCATATCCCATCTCCGGGCTTCAAAAGTTGTGCGATTTGAATGTTCAAGAAGGTTGCATCAGGCAGGTGAAACATCATGAACCACAAAGCCAACGAGAATGAAACTCGAGACGGTAGACAGTTTTGCGAAGCAAACCTGCGTCCTTGTATTTCGTCCAACACGTCAAAAAGACATATATTTCTATGGGAAAATCTGGCAAAGAGTAACTCCGGTTCTTCACACTTGGTCTGCCAACATGCCCTCCCAAAGCCAATATAGTTGTGTGATGCATTGTAATATACAGGTATCCTCCTCCATGTGTGACACATCCCCATCCTTCCCTGCGACTAGCGCTGCTCGTGGTTGTCGGCTGAGTTGCAGGACCGGGAATATCTTCGTCGCTCGCTGGTGTGGGCCATCGGAATGCTCGCAGTCGTTCCTAGATAATTACATCTTTCCCAGGTCAGCAAGCATGCTTACTGGTAAGTCTTGCCCACCCACATCCGTCAAGATGCCTTAGATCAGTGTGCCGTTGTCAAGCGGCTGCCCATCAGAGTCTAGACAGTCGGCTACCCATGGGATAGGCCGAGTATCATCATCGACCTTCAGGAGCGCAAGGCAGTTCCACGTGGTCCATTGGGGCGCGGGAGCCAGGACGGTGCCATGACTGCTGTGGGCTTTTTCGGCTTCAGGGCTCACAAGCTCACCATGACGAGATATGGGCCTAAGGCTCACCATATCGACGCATGGGCCTATTGAGGGCTGGGTCGAAGAAAGCACGGCACGAGCAAGACGTGGCCACCACCCAGATGGGCTCAAAGAGCACGCCACATGGAGGATGGCCAGGCGGTCATGACCCAAAGGTGCGTAGGAGTGTGCGGGCCAGAGGCTCACCGCATTCACTACGATCCAGAAGTGTCCGGAAGTGCGGGCCAGAAGCTCACCGCATTCACTATGACCGCAGATACGGCGAACGAGGTCGGGGTTCGGCGTAACCTCCCTGAGCGCCAGCCCACCCAATGGTAGTCTGACTGCATCGATTGCACGGTGGATCGGTAGGCTCCCAAAAGCCCAACGTCACTTCCACCAACCCAGGCGCATGGTCTGACCTGACTTGATCCCACGCCCGGCTGGACCGTTGTGGAGTGCCTCTCCGAAGGACGAAGGCACAAAGAAAGCGACGGAATGGGTGGACCCTGGGGCGCCATGGGGCGGACGGACTTACCGAAAATATATTTGAGCCGGTGCTGATATGCTGCTGTGGCCACATCAAAATGATGAAAGGGAGGGAGGGAGGATGAAGAAAGATATGGGAAGGGTAGTGGTGAGGGAGGCGGGCTGTTGAAAAGGTTGATGGAAAATGGTTGGTGAGACAAAAGATGGAGAAGTTGGTGGGAAAGTTGGCGGCGAAGAGGGGAAATTAGGGATGCAAGAGTAGAGGGAAATTATTGTGCGAAGCAAAAAATGAAAAAGGGAAAGCTTGGGCCAGCTTGACGAGTGAGGGGCAAAGTGAAATAGGATCAAAAGGAAAAGTGAAATGTGTGGTGAGAGCAGGTTGAGATGGCAGAGAAATTGACTTGACTATGGGCTGTTGGCCTGAACCCGAGGCTTTTGGGTGACAACCCGAGCGGGGTTCAAGGGACGGGAAGGAATGCGAAGTAGAAGAGTTTGGTGTGGATGAAATCTAGCAAAAGACAAGAATGAATGTGCTAATCTGAGGAGAGGAGAAAGAAAGAGGGCAGTGGTGGATGGTGAGATCGAGAGAGGCCGGATCCAGTTGTGATGTTGGAAGAGGAAAAGGTTGGAGGGCAAGCTGGGTGGGAAAGGTTGTTTAAATACTTTGAGGGGGCCCAAATCAGGCAGGGAGTGATTTGATATTTGGACCGCAAAAGAAAAGAAAGATCGAGAGAGAGATAACGAAAAGGTGAAGAAATATAGGAAAAGGAGAGTGAAATTAAACAACTAGTTGCGGGGTAAAGTGCGAGTGCATGTGAAAGGGAACTGAAGAGCAAAGTGGAAACTGAGTGGTTGCTTTCTCGTCAATGTATTTACGTAGGCAAATTCTAACCCCAAGAACGCATAGCAACAACCAACAGAAACTGTCATTCTTTTCAGTGTTTTAGCAACTACGCAAGACAAGTTCGACCCTCTCGTTCCCTCTCAAGTCATCGTGAACTTTAGACTCAACACCATGGTTCGCAAGACATTCAAACGCCGTCCCAAGCCTGAGGCTCAGGGCCAGCCAGCGGCAGTCCTCCGGAACAGGGCCAGGACTATCCAGAATCCGATTCGATACGTCGGATCTCTCATTGGCGCCTCCAACAGTCGGGTTGCAGTGCTGCGCCTGCTCCACATGCTACTCTTGGTCGCCCTGGTGGTCCTGATCGCACTGCTGGCTCGCTATGTTCACGCGTTGACGGGTGCCATTCGTTGACTCGAACAGAAATTGTTTGTAGCCTTCAATATTCTCTGAAGGGCGAATGTATGCTGACTACGACATCTGGCAGGACCTGCATTCTTGGCTGAAGGATGAAACGACTTCCGACATCGACATTTGCGGAACTCCTCTGTGGTACTGATGAGGCTCCGCAAGGTTGTGGAATAGGTAGCCAGGAAGGGACAGGAATTTCGAACGGGAAAATGCAGACAAGCATGGATTACTTTGGGGTCAGATGGGAGGATTACTTGGTCGTCTCTGATGCTGGATGTCACTTAAACAAGTCGTAATAAATAGGAGAGGTGTACCTCGATCAATTTGACGATATGACTTGAATCCACAGCAAACGCGAATTTTAGGGGGTACATAAACAGTGTATGGTGCCTAAGCGCGACTTTGAAATCAGTATCACTTACTTCCTACTGACTTTCACCTGGCTTTTCCTTTTTCTGAGGTTTTTCTTTTTCAGATAAAGTCCAAAGCTCGCTGTTCGGTTTCGTCCCTATCCAATCTTTACCATTCCAGACACACCACCAGCAGGTAACCATTCTTCATCCTCATCCTGCAGCCAAGCTGGTCACTACCATGCCTCGCAATTCGATCCGCCGCACCATGGTTGAGGACCACGACGAGCCAGCGGTACAGAACCTCACATTTCTCTCAAAGCCATTTCTCAAGACCCTGTAGCTAATGCTTACTGGAACCCAGGATCCCGCTCCTCCGCAGTCCTCCGGCCGTCCCGCCGAGATGGCTCGCAGCCTTGCACGCCCCCGTCAGATGTCGGTTGTTGCCGACGAGCAGGTATGTTCCCAAAGTTGGTGGTCGTCCAGTAAGACACCTAACTTCCTACAAATAGGACAACGGCAACGGCAACGCCCTCATCGCGCAGCAGACGAGCCCCTGGGCCATGGCCGCTAACAGCTCCTCCGAGCGTCTCGCGCATCACGGTCTTTATGCCGCGAATCACACGATGGCTTGTCTTAGGGATGTCATTGGCGACTTTCTCAGATCCTCAGACCAGGTCGTCTTCGTTCTTACCGGAACTTTCGGCATCCTCGTCCTTGCATTCATGGTCCTGTGCTATCTGATCTGCAACATGTTTCGCAGCGGTTGATTTCCGCGAGCGGTGCGACCAGTGACTAGGGAGCTTCGTAAGTGACTTCGAGCTCATGAAACACCATGCTCGATCCGGTCAAGCTACCGAGCTGTCATCAAGGTAAGCCATGCAATCTCGTCTCACTGCGGAATCAAGGCTAACGCCTGTCAATTGCAGTCTTTGGGCGAAAACCGATTGTGGGAAGGGAATTACAAGGAAGTGGACAAGAGGTAGTACACTGTCAATGCAGAACTTGATTCGATTTCTATCCTTGTTGCGATATCATACTGGGCCATTGAGCTTCCTCCTTGCAGTGACCATGCTAAAGTTCATACTGGGATCGCACTGAGACTGCTGCACACACATAATACACACACACACACACACCACACACACTTTCTTTACTGGAAGTGCTTGGCCTCTTCCTTGAACTTCCGAGCCGGCACTCTCTGGTGGAACAAGTGATCGAGCGTCTCCGGAGTAAGACCCTTGGTCTCTGGCAGCCTGAAGAAGGTCCACACGAGAAGGATCACCGTCAGCCCGAAGGCCGGGAACGCCGCCTTGCCCTTGAGGTTGCCCGCCGTGGGGTTGAGCATGTAAGGCGCCACGACCGTGTTGACGACGCTCAGGAAGTAGTACGTGTTTCTCCCCAGTGAGATGGTCTTGGTGCGCAGCCGAGACGCGCCCACCTCGGCGGCTATGGCAAATGGGATCGGTCCGATGGTACTGCCTGTATGTCGGGTTAGGAGTTCCGTCAGCACTCCAGGTCTAATTCTCTTGGAACAAGATTGGGGGGGAGGGGAGTGGAAGTGGTTGGTATTCAGGTAGGGACGTACCGTAGCAGAAGAACCACGTCAGCAAGAGGCCGGACTGGGCCCATCGGATGCTTGCGCTCGGCGGCGCAAGGTCGAGGAAGCCCACCGTCGCCATGAGCGGCAGCATCGCTGTCAGGCCCGCCAGGTAGATCTGCCGCCGCCCGAAGCGGGTCTGGATGAACCACGAGAGCACGGTGCCGGTGAAGGCGATGCTGTAGTTGCCGAGCGTCATCTTGAACGAGTCGTTGGACGACAGGCCGGCCATGGTGAAGAAGTAGGTCGAGTAGTTCTGGATGGCGAAGCCCGGCAGGATCTGGCAGCCCCAGCTGATCATGGCGATCTCGGTGCGGCGCAGGTTGGTGCCGCGGAAGCAGTCGAGGTAGGACCCGCCGATCTCCATGGCCCTCTCGGTCTGGATGGTGTGGTCCATCATGGCGATGATATCGTCCTTGTTGAGGGTGCCCTCCGGAGCGTCCAGGATGCGGTCCATGGTTTTGCGGGCATCCTCGAGCCTGTTCTGGCGGACGAGCCACCACGGCGACTCGGGGGCGAACCAGCAGGCCACGGCGAGGAAGGGGGGCCAGATCCACTGGATGGCAAAGGGAAGTCGGTAGGACCATTCGGTCGGGTCTTTGAGCTTCGCAATGAGGACACCTGCTCCGATGAGGTGACCCATGACCCAGCACAGGTTGACCTGCAAGGGGTGAGAAAAGGTCAGCACGAGTCTCTCAGATGCGGGTAAGCATTGGCGATATTGCTAGGGCCACAAACATAAGTAGTAAGGTATCCTCGGAGGGCCATGGGGCAGACCTCGGCGGCATATCCGGGAGTGGCAGCAGCAAAGACGCCACAGGGCAGGGAACTGGTCCACTCTTGATCAGTAGGAGCTCAATAGGAGACGATGAATCACACGGGGGCATACATGAGGATGACTCCGACAGTTAGCACCGCCGCTGAAGAGGCAAAGAAGGTGCCAAAGATGGCACCGATGAGGAAGATGTGGGACGCAGCCATGACCTTGCGGTACCCGTAGCGGTCGACGAGGATTCCGTTGGCAAAGACGCCGGGGATCAGGCCGACGAGACCGGCCATGGAGAGGCCAATCTGCCACTGCGTGCTGAGAGTGTAGCCTCCAGTTCCGTTGTTCAGGGGCTGGCCAAACTTCTTTTGGAACTGCGGGTGGGCGAAGAAGGAGTTGATGAGGATGAGGTCGTACGACTCCATGATGGTGGCCATGGAGATGGCGAGCGACCACATCACGGCCTTCTTGTAGTACTTCAAGGCAGCGAGGACGGTGAGCTCTGTCTCTCTCTGCGTACCTCTGGCGGCAGCATCCTGCTCCATTTTGCCTGTCTGGACGTTGTGGACCCCGGGGGCATCCTCGACGAGGTCGAAAGTTTCCTTATCTGCCATTGTGGATAGCGTGATGGGCTTGGGGCCTCGACGGCGTAACTCAAAAGGATGGAAATAGGGGAGTTCAATGAAGTCGCCAGGTAGGATCTCCGCGATGGTCTTCGAGAATCGGCAAGGAGGTCAGACAGCCTTTATAGATGGAGGTCAAGGTCGGGAGAAACCCCGGAATTCCCCAGGCCCTCGGTCGGAACACTGCTCTCATCCCCACACCACGGAATGGAGGATCGCGCAACGGTAGCGCAGAGCAGACCGGCGCTGCTAACCCATTCGGATCACGCGCGCACCAGAGCAAATGGTGTGAGGCTATTGACTCGCTGAGTGCGCAGGCTTACTCAAACAAGCTTTCGCCTGTCCTGTTGCGCACACTAACCACAACGATCACTGGCTGCACTCGAGCTTGCGCGGCTGGAGGCTCATCACAGCATCGACAACGACCCTTGGCAATGTGGGAATAACCCCAAGACGGCAGACGCTTGACGCTTTCTGGGGTAAACTTGGGGTCCCGGTGGCACAGGAAAGTGGGAACGATGCCGGTCGGCGTGTGGGAACCGGGTCGGTAGAATGTCGGCATCGGGAGTCGGTCGGCATGGCCGCATGGGGAAAGGGAAAGCGAACATCGGCCCCCCTTTTGGTGCTCTCAGCTCATGATGCCTTGACGAATTCAACCTTTCGTTCATGACTACGCTAAACTCTATTGATACCATCCCTTGGTCCAGTTAGGAAGCAAATCAATATCCGAGGTTCCTCGATCCCATCCAAGCCTATCCCATTGCTGGCAATGTGTGCCTACGAGACAGACCCGTCCAACCTCACTCAAGAGAAATACAAGATAAGAAATTGACTGTGGCCTCTCTCCTTCCAAAAGCTGTGGCATCAGCTCAGTTACCACGAGGAGGCGTAAGAGACGTACTTTCAATACTTGAACGCATGACGCTCATGGCAACAAAAACTGGAGCTGATGCCACAGCACTTAAGAGAACACAAACGAGGCCCCACGCCCCGGGAGTTGGATCGGCACGGGCATACTCGCGTGTGAAAGTTGCATGGGAGCAAGGGTGTTCTGGGCATTCTTAGCGCTCCACCTGTCGTCGAGTGAGATCGTACGGTAGGTATCCCGAGAGGAGGTCTCGGAGACAGATCCATGTCAGTCTAGACCCCCTTCTCGCAGTTTTCTCCGCCTCATTTGCAGTTTCTCCGCCTCGAACTACCAACCCAAAACCGCATCATATTTTTTCCCAGACCCAGTCGTACGCAGCCCAGTGGTAGTTGAGGACGTAGCAGTAGAACGCGACGGCGGCGATCAGGAAGGGGATAGTCACTGAGGCCTCGATCAGGCTGATGAAGGAAATCTCCTCTCGGTGCTGGGCGAACCAGTGGCGTGTCTTTGTGGCCGACGCTCGCAGTGTGGAGAGAGTCCAGATCTGTTTCATGCCTTCATTATTAGTGACATTGCCACAAAGCTAGCGTGTTCGGGACTCGGTATACCTTCGCGTTCCAATAGGAGATGTAGACACTCAGCAAGATGCTGCTGAGGATGAGTCTCCACGGCATCTTGATCCCCTGCTGGAGGATGGGCTTCTCGATGTCGGGGTCCCGGACCTGTGGGAGCCCGGTTAGCCTTGAACGGTCGAGGGGGCTGCACACCTTGCCCTGGGAGTACATGCCTTGCAGGCCCGGGCCTTGCGAGCCTGGGACTTGCGTTCGTGGCGCTGGAGAGGGTCCCTCTTCTCACGCAACTTGGCGGAGACTCTCAGTCCAATCTGGGTGATTTCCATCGGGCGTTTGAGTCCTTGGCGCTGTGGATGCCGAAGTCGCTCTTGATGCAACTTTTTGTTCGGGTACTCCTTCTCCGCCTCAGTGACGACCGGATTCTTTCGCTTGATGACGAGAGAGCGCTCCTTAGCGCGCTCAGCGGCGAGCGCACAGGGCGTGCCGAGGAGTTCAGGTGCGTCCTTAGCCATCTCCGATCGGGTGGTTTTGACTGGAGTTGCTGAAGATGGCAGCTCAGATGGAGGTGCTGTGGTCAACCTCTGGCTAAAGAACATCTTGTCCAGACCCTTCATGGCTGCGAGCCAAGTCAAACTTTAAGTGAGATAATGAAGCGGTTCATTGGGGAAGTAGTCGCTGTAGGGAACGCCAAGGAATTACTGATGGATCGGGTCGAAAGTGAATCCAGGCTGAAAGGTTAGGGAGCACTGATTCACTTTGCAACCTGCGCTGCTAAAATTTTGCAGCACGTGCGATTGTATAGAGGTTTCAATTCTCATCTGCATTCAATTCTTCTCTCAAAAATAGCCTTTTGTTAGTTTTCGCCTTCCCTTTCTGGCCATTATCTTTGTGACCATGGGCTCTCAGTTGTGTACAAAGCCGTTGAACCTCTTCTTGGCAATCAAATGAAACGCCGTATCCCCCCCAAAGACCCAAATGTAGCAACCACCCAGGCAAAACAACGCGTCACAATGCCAACAGCCAACAATCAATCGAATTGGAAATAGCTTCGCTGTGCAGTGATGAACGTGCTATTTCCCAGCGCTGATCCCCTCCTGGCACTTCCGTGTAGCATATCCTCATCCTCGACCCTGTAAGTCACGGTCTTCCTAATCCCACCAAGCGGAGTGTCCATGCGGGGCGACTGCTCCTGGATCGAGTCGTCGGTTGTGTCCTGGGCCGGCTCCTGGATCGACTCTCCGTCTGTGTTTCTTCGGAATCGAGGGCTTGGCTGGCCATCCCATCGGCCGTGGACCACATAAGTGTGATTGCCCAGCTCGAGGTCTGGCAGACCTGTAGGGGGGCGTCTGGGTGATTCGGGATAGGTCCCGGCCCTCCGAGACGTCAGGATGCCCAATTTCGTCAGGTATGGCCCGAACCATTTCCGCAACAGCGGGACTACCATGGGCATGTTCGTCGTGACGATTGCGATAAACGTCTCCCTGCATCCCCAAGAGGAGGTCTGGAGCGCGTCTGTGGCAGGGTTCTATAACAGCGAAGGTCAGATCATGGTATGCAGGTTACGGGTCGGAATGAACCAAGGACATACGTAAATGATCTCGACACATCGCATGACTCCAGCTCCCATGACGAACAAGCCTCCGGAAAAGAGCAGGATTAACCCTGCCTTCCGCGCTGGCCGGAGCCTCGCGGTCCAAACCATCGGTATAGGAATTGTCATGAGGTAGATGTCCGTGAGAACGTTGAGAGTCAGCGTGACAAATAAATTGGCTCGCGACTCGGCAGGCTGGCAGTGCCCTAGAGTGTGGTTAGCCTTGGTCCTGGGAGAGCAAGGAAAAACTCGAGCTTACTGCCGGGATTGGGGTAGATCTGCCAATTTTGATGAAGCGGAAAGCACCCCAGCAGGATGACAAACACCACCGTGATCCAGCTGCATATGATGAAGATGAAACCAAAGTTGATACGCCGCGAGTAGTCCAGGCCATCGGTCAGGCGGATGTAGAAGACACACATCGCCGCTTTGAGGATCCAGAGGAGCAGTGTGTAAATGAGCCACAAAGCAACCTGGAGCTTTGAGCCCGACACTCTTTTATAACAGTCAGCTCTCGGGTCTTGCGGGTGCTTAATTATATTGATGACATACCTGGACTGGTACTCCCATCCATCCTCGGCGCTGATCAGCCACGCCCTTTGTGTCTCCGTCATGGCGTTGTTGGCGATGCCGTGCCACTTAACACTCACTTCGTAGGCCATTGTTGTCTCGATTGTATAAATACACTGTGACCAAGTGTGTTAGCCTTTACTCAGTGGGCGAAACATGCAGGAGGGACTGCGAATGCTCACCGCGGCGACAAGCATGAGGTAATCGTCAGGCTGGAATTTGCGGATGCCAACCTGACCAATGCGGGAGTATGTGCGCAGCGCAACCACGCAGATACCGACCCCCAAAAGTGTGAAGGCCTCGGTCGCGAACGGGGTCGCATTCTTCATCGGAGGTACGGCCATCGTATACCCCGAAATGGTGAGGTTCGCCGGAGGCCCTGATATGGTGAGATTCCGTGCTGCCCGGGCCGCGTCTTGATAATCAAGCACGAGTGAATCTGAGGCGAAGGCGCGTGCGTGTCACAGAAGTGAGAACCAGGTGAGGACCTTGAAGTGGATTGCAAGCAAGATCAACATTTCCGAGGACGACGAGAGCTTCTTTGACGTCCTTGGTGCAGGCGAGAGGACAGTGCTGGGTTCCTGGGAACGCGTCGAGGCAGATTGGGCTGATGGTAACGGAGAACGGACGAAAACACACCGCCGTGAGGCTCTCAAGTGAGATGGATGTCGGGTGTTTCTCAGCGTCGTCTCACCTTTTCCCGAGGTTCTCTTGATAAAGCCCGCAGAATCTCGAGTGTGAATAATAGCTCTGTTCTCAGGCTTGGCATCAGACTTGAAAATTTGGAGGAAGGCACAACCTGCACCTCCAGCGTCACAATCTCAGCCTCGGACATGAGAGAACACATTTGATGCACTGGATATTTCGACGCCGATTCCATTAGCCAACCCATGGGTAGCTCAATTACTTGGTGCATAGCAGCAAGTCTTCCCTCGTCGATGGTATTCAGGACTAGGCCCTGCCACCATATGCCGAATTGACACCATCTGGTACCGATTGCTCTCATGTCCCTCCCCCGGACCATCTTCCACCTCGTGGTCGATCCATTATCGGCCTACCAATTGGAAGAGTCCTGGACGTTGTCCTCCATGGTCCGGTTGACACACACTAGGTAGCTCCAATATTCGCTACCACAATGTTCATTCAAACCCACTACAAAGCGGAGGGCTTCTTAAGCCTGCACCAAAGCCATTCCAGATATCAAGACGCCCGTTGAATAGAACGAAAGGAAAGCAAGGGAAAGAAAAGCCCAAAGGAAAAGAAATATTCATAGTGTTCCGCAAATTCAAAGCGCAGAGAGATGGAGATGCAAGACGTAGAGATAGGGGCTTGCACTCGTAACACTTTCGCGCATCAAGTCTTGCTCATCGAAAGTCCTTCTCGTCTTCTCGCTTGCATATACTCCAACGCATCTTGTACTATTTTGATGTGAGTCATCTCCCTCTCTGAGTGATGGAGCGCACTTACCCTGAGAATCCATCTTCTTACGGCTTCTTGCGTATTCTTTGTCTTCTGGAGAGGCACTCCCCCGAACGCAGCACGAACAGAAGGGAGCATCTAACGAGAGAGGCTCAAGGTCTGGTGTTTTGAGCCTCGGGATTCGTGGCGCTGGCGGCGGTGACGGTGCTCGAGGTTTCCGCCGCACTGACGGAGTCTTCATGATACTGTCGGTCCACGGTAAAGGAATAGGATGGAAATCCCTAGCGGCCTGATGATATGCGAGGTTTGGGGTCTTCCTTTCATTCAAGCAAAGGTTCTGGGACATTTGTGGTTCTGTTTCCTCACAGGGAGTGGGATAACCCTGCAGTACTCTTGGAACCACTTCGCCATGCTGGTAGGAGTAGGAGGCAGGCCGCCAGCTCGACGAGCGTAGCGAGCGCGAACTTGGGCTCTTTAAGAATGAAATGTATTCAAAGCGTTCCTTGACAAGGTCATCGAAGCCCTTGGTGAGATCGCCTTGGTCACGTGGGTAGGCCGGGGGGTGCGCCGACCTTGTCTGGATATCAAACCATGGACTAGGCATGATGCAATGTGGTTTTCAAAGAAATATGCAATGATAGGCGAGTCTCTATTAGTGAAATCACGGAGTATCGGGACGCGATGGGGGCGGCGAGGAGGGTGACGCCGGCGTGGTGGCCCCTGGCTGGGAGATCAGGGGTTGAAGGGTCCTAGGGGCTTCCAGGGGCTGGCTCCTGATGGGCTCGGACCTCTGAGTGACTCCAATGATGATTTTGGGGATTTGTCTGATGAATCCAGAATTCCTGAGATGAAGGAGGAGAGTGTAGGAAAAGGAGGGTAGAGGGTGGACTCGAGTTTTATATGTCGAGGAGCAGGGGGAGTTGCCTTACACGCGTCTGGCCAATCACATTACAGCGTTTCGAGCACCTCCCCGTCTGGCCACCTCTGACCAACCACACCCCCTCACGTGCCCATCCTTCTATGATATCACTCTCCTGCTTTCACATATCAAACCAATCCATTCTCAAGTCAAACAAACGCTTCTCTGACTCGACAATTGGAAGTTTACAACAAGCTGGACCCGTCAGACTGGCTTCAGAGACATACTCCAACCAGTGACACTCCCACATATCTGAGTCCAGAGAGGCCCTTGTCCAAATCAGCTGAAATAGCTGCAACCTTTCATTACCGGATTTGGTGTTTACATAAAACCCAGGGAAAGCCCTAGATGCTATCCAGCATACTGTGATGAAGATTGTGTGGTGGTTCAACAGAGCCAACGCGGCCTGGAGCGGTCAAACTTCAAAATCTGTATCTCTCCACTCAACCACGCTTTGCTGCGAGCTCTAGCCTGATCAGAACTCCATTTGAAGTGCACATTGGCATTGAGATGGAAACAATTGATATCGTTGCCATCATCCCTCGCTGCAGTTCACTCCAGGTCTCATGAACTGAAACTTGTGGAAGCCACATGCGCCAGTCGATCAGCAAAGCATGACTTTCACTGGCTAGTATCAAAGACTAAATAGAACCTAGTACTTCACTTCCTTCTTCTACAGTCATGCTGCATAGTGCGGTCCATCCGGATGCCATGTTGTTGCTTGCTAGGGGGCACGTGACGAGGGAGCAAACCGCAGAAGCAAACCTTCAGACGCAAGCCAACTTGAGAGTTGATCTTCCAGATATGACTTGGAGGAGTTTGGGTGACTTCAAGACTCAATTGACTCATGTTACAGCAGCCAACTAACAGTCAGGCATAGACAGAGATGGGTTTGTCGTCCAGCGCCAAGCCAACGCAACAACGAATGCCCGCCCATGGTCGCCATGCTTGGCGCCAAGCTTCTCACTCTCCTCAGGACCAGACTCGTGTCCAGGGTCGGAAAATCACGGACTCAATCTTAGATCCCCACACCAAAAATGGCAGTGCATAGCAAGGCAAAGTGGGGGGGGAATTACGACGAGTGTCATGTTCTGGTTCCCAGCTATCCAGGTACTCAAATAAGATTCAGACTTTCCAAGGTTCGAAATCTCCTCTACCAAGAAATCAACAAACGTATATCAAACAAAGCTCTCTCGCATTGCACCGAATCCATCGCATTGGTGAAAAGCACACCGCATCAGCCGCCATGATCTGCCTCTCCAAGCCGGACGAGAATGCGTTCCGGCATCTGACCTTCAACCAGAGTCCGTCGCCGTTGGCCGCAGGCCACACGACCCGTCAGGACTTCAATGGTCTCTGCAACCTCCGGGCCCACGTCGAAGGCGGCCAGGACGACGGAAGCGGAGGTGGAGGAAGTAGTAATGGTGGCCAATCGGGCGCCGGATGTGATGAGAAATGCCAGTCCCTCTGCGCTCAACCGGAGCCCCTCGGCAATCACCACGGCACGGAAGGGCTATCCCAGGTCTTGGGTTCGTCTTCCCCTCACCGTGAGATGCTGACAGGAAGAAAGTACCAATTGACACCCATTCAAGGACAGCCTCCGTGCCGAGAAAAGGTGGGCAGTGGCGAGAAGAACCACTCCCACCCAACCGTCCAGCTCTCCTCCCCATCGTCGCCCTGCTACTCCCGCGTCTGGGGATGGATTGTCTGGGCTCTCTCCGTGCTCGCGGCCGCCTCGCTCCTCTCCTGGTGGAGGTCGCCGGCCCCCGCGACACGGATCTCTGAGCCTGCACACACCGCCAACTCCGCCAACCTCTCCAAGCGATCGTCTACCTGTGCCACCGGCGGCGCCAACGAGGCGGAATACAACACGCCCCTCCACGTCGGCGCGCTTCTGATCATCCTCTTCGTCTCGAGCCTGGCCTGCGCGTTCCCCATCCTCGCCCGGCGCTTTCCCGGGCTGCGCATCCCGGCCCGCTTCTTCTTCGCCGTCCGGCACGTCGGCACCGGCGTGCTCATCGCCACCGCGTTCGTGCACCTGCTCCCGACAGCCTTCACCTCCCTCGGCAACCCTTGCCTGAGCAGCTTCTGGACCAAGGACTACCAGGCCATGCCCGGCGCCATCTCCCTCGCCGCCATCTTCCTCGTCACCGTGATCGAGATGGTCTTCCACCCCTCTCGTCACGTGCCTCCGGCCCCGATCATCACCCCCGCTGGAGGTGTCCAGCAGCAGGGATCGGCCGAGACGCCCGGACATTTCGGCCGCGGGTGCATGGGCAGCGCCAACGTGATGGCGCCCATCCGTGACATGGGCCCGCTCCGAGGGAGAGCCACGAGCATCGGCCAAGGCCTGACCAGGCTGGACGCCGAGGGTCGAGAAGTGGAACAGCAGGCTGACGACGAGACCCGTGATCAGGAGCAGCCCAAGCACAGCTCAGAGGAGCCTGTGGTCGAGACTATCGGCTATGACGGACTGACTCCGGAGCAGAAGCAGCGCAAGGACCTCATGCAATGCGTTTTGCTCGAGCTCGGCATCCTCTTCCACAGCGTCTTTATTGGCATGGCACTCAGTGTGTCGATAGGCAACGAGTTTGTTATTCTACTCATCGCTATCGTATTTCATCGTAAGTCATCTCCTCGTGCTATGGAGTAGTGGAGAGGCATGACTTACAATCCACATAGAAACTTTCGAGGGTCTCGCCCTCGGATCCCGCATCTCCGCTATCAAGTGGCCGCATGGCAGCAAACAGCCGTGGCTCATGGCACTGGCATACGGATGCACGTACGTCACTCTATCCTCGTACGGGTTGACCCCTTGACGCATGCTTACCTCATGACGCAGAACCCCTATCGGTCAGGCTATCGGCCTCGCCACCCATACTCTCTACAGCCCAGACTCGGAAATCGGGCTCATTGTCGTCGGGGTCATGAATGCCATCTCGGCCGGGCTGCTCACTTTTGCCTCTCTGGTCGAGTTGCTCTCGGAGGACTTCCTCAGCGACGAGAGCTGGCGCTTTCTGCGCGGCAAGAGACGTGTCTATGCCTGCCTCCTCGTCTTCCTCGGGGCGTTCTGCATGAGCCTGGTCGGCGCCTGGGCCTAAATGCACGGCCGAGGCTCTACGGCCAACACCACCGTCGATGGATCACCGGAGCTCATGCAACGTCGGTCCAAAGAGGCAGGAGGCACGGTTGTCATCGGCGACATACTGGGAAACTGAGGCCGGATTTAGTAACGAAGCGCGTGCTTGCTGCTCTCTTGTTCCAATCATCAAGTAGAGCCAGCCACACAACCAACCTACAGTAGTAGTAGTGAGGAGAGAGTCTAGGCCGCCAGGGGTATTTCAAAAGAGGAGGTGGCGGGAGTGGCGGCGGGGGAAAATGCGGGAGTACCTGCGGGTGCGGAGGTCTCAGTCACTAGCGGGCGCCACTTGAACCGCCCTTCTTGCTGTTCTTTCCTGACATTCAACATGATCAGATGAGTCTTGGGACATATTTTCTTTCAGCTTTCCGTATTTAGGTACACCACTATGCACATCTTAAGTTGCATCGAGCTTTTCCCAAAGTGCCCAGAACGATCGGGCTGTTCTCGTTTACCAGGTCGAGATGGGGCTTGCAGTAGGTCAGACGCAGCCCCGTGGCCAATCACAACCCCGGTCTTCGGCCTCGGATTGCCCCGGCGTTGAGACCTCAAAGCCAAAATCTGGTGGCGGTCTTGGCGAGATCAAGGGCTCTTCGAATACAGATGTCGACGAGCTCCGTCATGTTCGTCTTGGCAGCTTATGATAGATGCACTTTGAAATTGGCTTACCCGCAGATCCAAGCGGTCAAGGAGTAACGCCAGAGCTCAGACATAAGAAAGGTCAAGCCCACCATGCAGCTCGAGAAACCAGACAATCAACTTGATTGATCAGTTTCCCGAACAGCTTCCATTCGGGCCATTGTATTGACGTTGCATTCTCCACTGTGACCTGGTTGTTCAGCTCGAAGCGTAAGATATTGAGGCAATACAACCTGCAACACAGCAGCTCATTCGTGGCCTGGCTGCCAACACCGCCTCAAGGACGATCCCTTCTTCCGAATTGCAACATGCAGGCACGGTAAGACAACATTGGAGACCCCAGTGCCAAGAGAGAAGTGCAGCCATGTGGCAGCCCTTTTGTCGTGCGACTCGTCCCATCTCGCATGTTCCCCAGACTCTCCCGAGCCACCGATAACAAGCAAATTGACTCTTTAGAGTTTTCATAAGCTAATGATCTTGACCTGCAGACCGGCTCCAACGTATCATCGCCATATTGCCTGCATCATATTATCCCATTCGATTTCTCAGAGGGTGCAGGTAATCAACTCGATTTGTTCCACGACGGTGTAAGACGGAGGTCATGTTCATCCATATCTGCATACCAAAGACTGGGGCATTGCTCATCATGAACTCGAGGATCCCGTCTATAAAAGGGCCCGGCTGAACCTGTCAAATTATCCTATCTGTCGTAGAAGCCAGCCACAATCACCAACCAGCAGCACACACAGTTCCAACCACTCCACCTCTTCTTTTTTTATACATCCAATATGCAGCTCTCCAAGCTCCTCCTCTTCGTCCCCCTCGTCCTGGCAGTCGCCTCTCCGGACGCCGGCGCCGACGACGTCACGGCCGTCGCCCAGGTCGAGGCCCGCAGCGGCGCCGCCCCGGCCCTCTTCGCCAAGCGCGCCTGCAACGCCAACGGGTGCAGGTGCAGCACCAAGCACAAGCTCAAGCAGGTGAGTAACATGAGCATCTCGAGCAATGGGAGAAAATCACGGAGATCATGGTATGCTGATCAAATTCATTTTGAAATATCTGCAGGGCCAATACTGCGGCAACTGCGTGTGGTCCAACGGTGATGGGTACATTATCACCAAGAAGCGCGTCAACAACCACGTTTATGAGTGCTCGCCCAACGGTGACTGCTGCGACTACGGCGTCGCCAAGGACTGTGGCAGCGGCACTGCTCGCTGCGGTTGAGTTGAGTCGTTGATTCTGACTGTTGGGAACATGGCGAGGGCCAGGGCGAGTTGTCATGTCTTGGGGTGCCGGAGCGTGCTGAAAGCAGTGGGAAGAGGATAAGAACTTGAAAATGAACAGGGATATTCATATGTTTCTTCTTCTACATTTGGATACGTATTCGTGACGCTCGTTACTTCTCATAATAAGAAACTTTATCCTACAACATATGTTAAAGACACATTCTTTTCTATAAAAGAAAAGGAGAAGAAGGAACTGGCATGACAAGTGCCACCTAGTCGCCAGAGAGAAATTGTGTCCAGCAACTCAAACATTTGAGGTTTTGCACCCGATTAGGCCTGTGACCGTTGATAAATAATACGGGCAATATAGACGTAAGATTTGTGGCCAAAGCTCATTATCAAGGGCTTATGTCGAGTCCTCTAGATATTTCACCATGATCGCTGCACTCTCTTGCCAACCACTCTCTTAATATCTTCTCTGATGTCTTCGCTCGCTGATGCACCCACCAGCAATCCTTTGCAGGCGCCAGTATCCTGACAGCACGGTAGAAGTGATATAGCACGAGCAAGGCATGGGGATCGCACTGCTCGACCATCGTTGTGAAGGGCCCGTGGCACATGACCGGATAGCAGTGCATGTACCTCAGCAAACGCTCTAGCACAGCACCGGCGACATTGACCAAGGGCTGGGACTCTGGAAGCAGTAGCAGGATGGGACCAAGATGTGCGATGGCTGGGTTGTAGCCATCCCTCACAACATCTGATGCTTTTCTTGAGTTCTGCGGAACATTACCATCGTAAAGTCGCGGTTCTGTTATGGGAAGGTCCCCACGAATTAAAGGTTGCCGGGTTGGGACGTTGAGCAGTTCCATCTTCAGCGGGCGTGTGTAGGAGAAAGCATTCTGATATGGCGCCAGCGCGTCGCCTGTAACGCACGCCGCGTTCGCCAGTGGGCTTGGAAAATCCTGTCGAACGTGTGGCATAAAGACCGAGTCTTTATGGGCAAGCAAAGGAACACTCTTTAGAAAGACTCTCTTGAGGCTCGAGTTGAACGTGAAGAGGTGGTCACCCATGTTGTCGGGACGATGATGAAGAGATACGACATCTGTACCGATCCAGATCTCGTATTGCAGTAGTAAGGATGTGGCAACGAAGGCGTCGATGTGCATAGATGCGAAGTTGTTGGATAGTTCGTGGCGAAAATGGGACAATGCGCGGCAAAGATGGTTGGCCGCCAGGGCCGTGTATGTTGGGTCTTCCGGCTGCAAGGTGCTGAGGTGGCGGGCCGCGATGCATAGAAGAGCGTCTGCTAAGAATTCGAAATGGAAGCTGAGCCTGAGAGTCTCGGCCCAGAGGTCTGGACTGAGAAGAAGGGTGTAGCGGGTGCATCTTTCGAAGTGACGCAGGAGCTTCAGGCGCAGGAGGCTGGGTACCGTATCACCAGATCCGGGCGTTGTCACGATGATACCTAGAGTTGACTCTGTCGAGGCAGGAGCAGCCTTCTCACGCCTGAGAACGCAGGGTCGACACTTGTCTCTTCTCTGAACGCAATTATAACAGGGGTGGGCTTCGTCACACTGCTCTGGCAAGTTAGCTGGGTATGTGAGACGGGTGTGCGTAAGCGCTGAATAGGATGAACGACGACCTTGACCCGTCTTCTTTTGCAGTTCTCACATCCCTGCCGAGACTTTTGATGAGCCCGCCGTTGCCTTGCTAGGCCATGCTCGAGCGCTCTGGGGACTCTACAAAGGACCGAGCCACTCCCTGGTGCGGTAGAGAGCACAAATGTGTGGGTGAGTTCTTCAAGTGAGTGTGCTGGCTTGGCCTCGCGAGATGCCGAATTCGAAGTCATGGCCAGGACTGGAGCCATACATTGGACGGAGATTACTACTAGAAGGTCCTGGCTGAGGCAGCTTGACGGGGAAAAACACCTTCGATGGTAATACTGATGGATGTATCATGTGGGCGTCCACTCCGTTATCTCCGGATCCATTTGCTCTGATCATCCTTTTCCAAATTCAGCGATACGAGACTAAAAGGGAACAGCGCCTTCTGTCATGGTGTACGTGGGTAATGGCCAACCAATGAAATGCGACTTTCCCCGTGTAATCCGGGAGGAACCTGCCCTCTAACACGCTCGATAACCATAGGATATAAAGCCGTGAGATCCAGTACTGAAAGGATAGGGTATTGTGGGAAAATTTCTGTCTAAATTGTGTACTTGAACACAAGCTCTGCGATAATGGTGGCACTCTCCGACGTCGAAGCCTCGAACCGGCGTATTAGCTCCGTGTTCCAAGATGGGCTCGTGGCCGTCTTCGTGGGCGGAACGAGTGGTATTGGCGAGTATACACTGAAGCAGCTCGCAAAAGACACCCGAAAGCTACGAGCCTATATTGTTGGGCGTTCCCTGGAAGCTGCTGAGCGTATCATCAAGGAGTGCAAGCAGCTGAACTCGGCCGGCGAATATATCTTCATCCAGGCCGACGTGAGCTTGCTCAAGAACGTTGACGATGTGTGTCGCCAAATCAAGGCCAAGGAGAAGGCCATCAACATACTCTTCCAAAGTCAAGCAACAATGGCGACTGGGCAAGGTAAGCTTAAGATTCCTTCTCGCTTTCTACCCACGGTACCTATCAGCGCGCTAACTTGATCAAGCAGTTACGTCCGAGGGCCTCCCTTTAAACATCAGCATCATTCTCCATGGTCGCCTTCGCTTCCTGCTGAACCTGCTCCCTCTGATCCAGAATGCCAACTCTCTCCGTCGAGTCGTCTCCGTCGCCGCAGCGACTCTCGAGGGGGCGATCGACCTGGAGAATATACCCGGTGAGGGGTACACGCTTTTCCAGCTGCGCGACCAGACGGCCTCCATCATCACACTGACACTGCAAGAGGTTGCTCGCAGGGCTCCCGGCGTGGCCTTTGTGCATGATGTGCCTGGCGTCGTGAAGAGCGGGATCATGCGGGACGCCCCCAGCGGTTTCGGTCTAAAGGTCATAATGGGCGTGGCCCGTCTCCTGGGCCCTTTCATCAATACTTCCCCCGAGGAAGCTGGGAAGCGGCATGTCTTCTTCGCTACGAGCGGCATGTACGCCCCTCGTCAAGGGGTATCTGGCTCTGGAGTGCCGCCTCCGGGAACATTGGACGCTGCCCGGGGGGTAGATGGCGAGAAAGGGAGCGGCGTGTACTCGATTAACAACAAGGGGGAGAGCGCACCGGTCAGGGTCGAGCAACTGATGGTAGAGTTTAAGGCAAATGGGGTGGCTAGTGGAGTCTGGGAGTCCCTGACCTCTGACTTTAGGAAGGTTACTGGGACGGAATCTATTAACTGAGTAACACTTGGTACCGAACATTTGGAGATGAATACATGTACTGCATAAACGCTTATCCCCTTAGGGACCAAAAGTCGGCTTTTTGGTTTTTAAGTGCACCTAGATAGATTGCTGGCAGTTGCTGTCATATTCGAGGGAGGGATTATGGGTTCTAGCATCACATTCCTGGTATGAACATCCAGGTCTAAATCGATGTTCATATGCTGCTTCGTCTTCTTCTTCCTTTGAATATGATCATTCATAACACTCGTTAGCTATCATAATATGGAACCTCAAATAACACCGGAAATAGCGGCCGCCTTGAAAAAGTCTCTACCAACCCCCCTCCCCTTTTCTTCTCTCCTCGTGCATTCTCAACCTCTCAATCCCTGTAAACCCCCCATCCTCTCCCTCCTCTTTCTCCCCGCATGCTCATTGGCACTGATAGAAATAATCGCTCAGCTTCACGCACGTAGCCGGCGGCATGCAGTCCGTGGGGCCCTGGTAGTTGGTCCCGCCGCACTGCGAGTACCGCGGCACCGAGCCCGTCGACACCGTCGACGGCGCCACGCCGGTCGTGACCGTCACGTAGACCACGGCCGTGCTCGTGGCCGTCTGCGTCTGGTACACGAGCGAGGTCCGGCTGACGGTCAGGTTGAGCGTGGCCGTCGCCGTGGCCGTCGCCAAGACGAGGCTCGTGCTGTTGACCACGGCCGTGACGCTGCGCACGTCGGTCAGGACCCGCGTCTCGTAGACCGTGTACGTCGCGTCGAGTCTGTGCGTCTCCGTCTCCGTCTCCGTCGCCGTGGTGTGGTCCGTGCTTGTGACGATGGCCCGATCCGTTTGTGTCTGTGTCTGTGTCTGTGTCTGGGTCTGGGTCTGGGTCTGGGTCTGGGTCTCGGTCCGGGTTTCCGTCTCGAGGTGGAGGCTTGTGCTGCTGATAATAGCCGTGGACGTTTCGTGCTCTGTCTGAGTTTGTGTTGTGAAAATTGTATTTGTGCTATTGAGAGTCTGGATCTCTTGCGCTGTGGCTGTCGAAGTAGCTAACTCTGTCTGAGTTTGTGTCGTGAGAATTATATTTGTGCTATTGAGCGTCTGAGTCTCTCGGGTTGTGGCCGTCGAAGTAGCCAATTCCGTCTGCGTTTTTGTCGTGAAGATAAGGCTCGTTGAGTTGAGCGTCTGGATCTCTTGGACTGTGGCCGTCGAAGTAGCCAATTCCGTCTGCGTTTTTGTCGTGAAGATAAGGCTCGTTGAGTTGAGCGTCTGAGTCGCTTGGGCTGTGGACGTCGAAGTAGCCAACTCCGTCTGCGTTTTTGTCGTGAAGATAAGGCTCGTTGAGTTTATCGTAGCTAAAGTCGTCTGGGTCTCTAGAGCCGTACTGGTAGTTGTCGTCTTCTGGATCTGTGTGGAAATTTGCGTGTCGGTTTCCGTTTCCAAGACCGACGACGTAATAGTACTTGTGAGATTGTGGAATAATGTCGATGTGAAATTCTCAACTCTTGTCAGTGTGCTGGTCAGTGACAATATTTGCGTAGTCGTCGTGGGGATCACGGAAATCAGATTTGTTGTCGAGGTTGAGGTGGCCACTACATAGCTCGTAGCCGTGCTTGAGATCGTCGAAGTGCGAAAATGGACTCGCGTCGACGATACAGTGGAAGTCGAGAAGTGCACTTGTGTTTTCGTGGATGTGACCGTGGCCGAGTGCGTCTGGGTACTGATCGCCATAGAGGTACGTGTGATCAAGGTTGGTATCATAGTCGTCTTGGTCTGAAACGTCGTGGCCGTCACGACCTCGCTGACCGTAGAAGTCTGATAAACGACTGACACCGACACGCCAGGTTGTGAGGAATTGCTTGGCGTACTAGCCGGTGGCGGCGGGCGAGGCCGTATCGTAGTCAGTCCGCCCGGCGGCGGAGGCAGATCATTGCACACTCCGAACAATGCCTGGCAGCCGACGTCGCAATGGTCTGGAGTGCTGCCGCACCAGCCGTGCTCCGAGCAGCAATTGCCGAACTCGGAGCCTCTGCAGGTGAAGCCACCGGGTGCGCCGCAGGTACCGTCCTCCGTCACGTTCTGCTGGCCCAAGGCCAGTAGCGGAGACAGAGCCGCCAGCAGCGCGGCCAGGATCACGGGGGCTCGCATGGTTGGATCATGAGGGGTACACTCGCCTGCGAAGACGAAAAGGTGGTGGCCAGATGGCTGTCTACCATGCGGAGACCGACATCTAGGCGGCGCTCCCTTTTTAAGGTTCTCCAGTAATGAGATCTTAATCTAGCCATTGCGACTCTGCTCGTCGGAGGAGGTCCCATCTTCTTATGCAGGTACCTTGACCCCTGCATGTCGCAAAGAGGCTCAATATGGGAAAAGAGGCACGCGCTCTATCGACTGGTCGAGATGGGCAGAGCATTCGTCACCCTTTGCCCACATATCGACAATCGACGTCGATAATGTAGTCGAAACGGCCGTGATGGCTCTTTGAAGAGACTAGAATGCTTCAATGTTAGTGCACCGGGTAAATCGAACGAGGCCCTTTGCCCCAGAAAGGGTTCACTTGGGGCAATGTGCCGCAGACACTTGGCGAGTCCGTCTTCCTGGCTCAGACGAAAACTGAGATTGGCAATCGAATAGCTTGCATTTCACTCCTTTAAGGTGAAGGGCTACCGGCAGCAGCTCATTCGTCGCGGCAAAACTGACCGAAATATCGGGGGAGCGCATGTCATTTGGAGCCTAAGATCCGGCACTGCCAGACGGGTCGGCTGCAACGTCTAGATCCACAAGGGCCAGAACGAGCGGCCGAGCCAGCGATAATTGAGACGATAATTTGGCCGCTTGTTTCTCCACGCCTCATTTGTTACGCTGGGGCAGGCTTCACGAGAGTGTTTCGTAGTTGTGCTGGCCCCAGGACATCCAGAGAGCCAAACATGTGAGCGCCTAGACAGGTGTGTCAAATCTTCATTTGTAGTAGTTACTTCGTGTCTTAGCCTGGGAATTCCCTGGCTCCTTGTATCATCTCTTGCGCGCCATGGCGAAGAAATCGCTGTTCATCATATCGTAATCTTCCCCTGGACCCATCAGGGAGCTCGTGCCGTCACATGTGTGTCCAACGCCATACATAGCTGTATTGACGACATTACTGGGTTGGCAACTCTGTACCAATCCCCGGAATTCCACCATAGTTTGCCTCCGGAGCCAAGTTCAGGCAGCAGTGGCGGAAAACTTGGGTTCTCCCGTCGCGTACTTTGACGTGTACTGCTTCGCAGATTGCTCAAAGCCCTTGCGGTCATTCTTGTACTGGTCGGCAATGCGGGCCTCGAGAGGGTCGTCGGGCTGCGGCTCGACGAGCAGGCTTCGGATAGCCTCCAACACGGCGAGGAGGCGAGAGGCGGGCTTCCAGTTCTCGGGCTTGAGGAGGCCTAGGCAGATGTTGCCCAGGTTGTCGTTGGTGACGTTCGGGTGGTACATGCGCGTAGAAAAGGTTACGACGGGCGGCTTGAAGGGGTATTCGGTGGGGAGCTTGACGACAAGGCCGAACTTGCCTCCGGCGTAGGCAGTGTTGGGCGGTCCGTCCAGCACGACGTGCCAGACGTGCAGGTCGTTCTCGTTGGCAAGTCTGATTTTCATGCCCGCGGGAGGCTGGGCCATGCACTCGCCATACTCCTAGAGAGACGAGATACTCCGGTCAGTTCTGTTTCGCGAGGGCAAAGCAATAGGGCACGTGTGGGGATGGGCAGCAAACCTTGGAGATGCGTTTCGCTCCAGACATCTTGGTTTGATCGTTGGCCGAGGGTTGAAGGTGAGCCCAATAAGTGAGGTAGTATCTACGATACTTCTAGGATCCCGGGAAAGTGCTTTTAAGGAAGCGAGCAGTGATGTTTCCACCGTTGTGTTGTCTTGGGCCGTGGATGGGAGCGTTATGGATCGACCAAGGGCGGGCCGTCGGAGGATTTGACTGCCTCGTCGAAAAGCCCAACCGGGTGCTTAGGAATAGAAGGTATCGACCAGAGAAGGAGCCAGCCAGGCTGGAAAGGAAAGAACCACAAACTGCACCCACTGGTTGTCGCTGCAGGCATCGACGCGCAGGTAAAATGCACGTTGAATGGTTTAGGCCGGCAGGAACAGGCAGGATCAAGTCAGCGATGACGGCTTCATGGTGGGGTGTCTACCTTAGGTACCTCAGCTACTTGCAAGCCCCACTCAATCCACATCCCCAAGAAACTCCCCGCACCGAAATCCAGCACTCGAACCCGTTGATCGCCAATTCGTCGTCGTCCTCCCTTTGATCCAGGTGAAACACCCGCGTCTCAGCCTCGCCTTGCCAAAGCGACTCGGCCCTCTCTTGGAGCCAGATCGGACCATTCGCCAGAGAGAAACCCTCAATTGCAATCGCGAGCCCAGCATTCGGCTTCAATCTCATAGGACATCACACGAGATCCCATCCTCTCTCCGACTCGATCGACGACACACAAGACCGAACCAACCGGACCACCTGAAACCACACACACAAACCACGCCAATCATGTCCGGCATCGACTCCCCCGAGATCCTAGCCGCCTACGACGCGGTCCGCTCGGACAAGGACCCCACCAACTGGCTCCTCGTGTCGTACAAGGCCGCGACGGGCAACGCCCTGGCCCTCACCGCCACGGGCCAGGGCGGCCTGCCCGAGCTGGCCGCCGCCCTCGACGACGCCCAGGCCCAGTACGCCTACGCGCGCGTCGAGTACGCCAACGACTCGGAGAGCACGCGCGTCAAGTTTGTCCTCATCGTCTGGATCGGCGAGGGCACAAAGGTCATGCGCAAGGCCCGCGTCAGCATCGAGGCCGGCGACGTCAAGCGCGTCCTCGCCCACCACAGCATACAGGTCGACGCCCGCGAGAAGGGCGACCTCGACGAGGCCGACATCGTCAAGAGGTTACGCAAGGCCGGGGGTGCCGACTACAACGGCGGCCGGGGCTAGCTGTTGCCGGACCTATCTTGATGTCGATGTGGGTTGGCTGTGTCCATATGGCGCTTGGGGAGGCATACTTGATTAGGGGGTTAGCGAGGGAGGGAGGCATCGTAGCGACATTTTCTCCATTTTTTGCATAGAACATCTCGAGAGACAGAAAGCCATAGACCGTTTTCTTGATTGGCTGCTGCTGTTGGTATAGAACAAGTATCGATACAGGTGGTACAAAAAGGCACGAATGAATGTTCATGGCATCCACAACAAGGGATGACTCGCCTTTCGGCACACTGTCCGTTTATCCATTAACGCCGGTCCCCAGGTCAAAAACTCCATATACCTGCATGACGTCCCTACTCCCGCTCCTCTTGCTGCTCCTCTGGTTCCTCATGTGCATCTTCCTGGCCCTCCGAGTCTTGGCCCTCGTCAGGCTCATCCTCACCCTCGTTGCCATCTCCATCTGCGTCTCCGTCTTCAACTGGAGCCGGGCTCGAGCTCTCCGGGACCGTGTCCTCCGCACCGCTCTCATCGTCCCGCGCAACAGAAGCCTCGATACTCCTGCGCAGATTCGGGAAGAGCGCCGGCGCATTGTCCTCGTAGTCGGGCGGGACATCGCTAAGATCGCTCTCGTCGTCCGCAGAGTCGTGCACGCTGCCGGGCGGCGGCGAAGACATAGCGCTCGCGCCGCCATCCTCCTCCTCCTCGTCTCCATCGCCGTTCTGCGCTGCTTCTTCGGCATCGCCGTCCTTCATCGCGACATCGCCGTCCTTGTCCCCTTCCTCCTCGGCATTGCTGTAGTGGTCTTGGGCCTCGCCGCCGTTGGGTGTGCGCCTGTTCCGGCTGCTCGACGCAGAACCCATCCGCGACTTGCGGCCCTCGCCGCGCGCCGACGTGGCCACCGCCGACTTTGGGGGCTCGGCGATGCGCATGACGGCCTGTTCGGCCTTGCGCGTAATGTCCGGACGTCGCAGGCCAAGTCGTCCACGCCGAATGGTAGGCTCGCCGGGCTTGTCCGGCGCCTCGGATCCCGCTCTCGAAATGTTCTCCTTGTCCCCAGGATTGAGGAGATTCTGGAGCACCTTCGGTATCTCCAGGCCGGCCTCGGCCTCCTTGTCCGCCGCGGCTTTCTCTGCCTCGGCTTTCGCGGCGCGGCTGCGGTCCTCGATGATCTTGCTCGGTTCTTCACCCGGTAGCGTAGGGCCGATCTCAAAGTAAAGGATCCCATAGCAGTCGGCGATAAGATCGTCAACCGCGCCGGCCTTTGTCAAGCCGCCGTTGAGTTTCTTGAGCTCAATCGCATCCTTCATCGCGTTCAGGGCCTTGTGCTCCATGTCCGTCTTGCCGACCCACTCAGTAATGCGCTCCGACATAATCTCGAACTCTTCGAGGCTTGTATTCTTGAACACCTCCTCTTCGGTCGCCTTGATTTCGTAAGTCTGCCTGAGCAGCTTGACATAGAGCATGACGCAGTTCTGCCATAGGTCGTTAAAGTGATAAAAGTCTGCCCCCTTCTTGCGGATCCTACGCAGCAGGGCTTCCATGTTGGCACGGTCATTCATCACAAGCAGTAAGCGCGTCATTAGCCTCACATATTGCTCGGTGTAGACGTGATGTCGTCCGGGTCGCTCGGCGTCGCATTTCCAGACGTTCATTACCATTGTCTTGGTGAACATGGACTCTTTGAGGACAGAGAATGCAGCGGTGGCCTGGACAACATCGCTGTCAGAGACAGGCCTGCTCTCCGCCCCATCCGTCGGTTCGTCAGTGTCGTAAAGTATACGTGCATGCCGGATGATCAGACGATGCTGCCAATTGGACTTGTCCTTGTCCTTCAGATGCCGGATGGTCTTGATGGCAAATGCCTCCCAGTCATCGGCATCCTTGATATCGATGTGCTCACCCTGTTGGATCGCGAACGGCTGCCGTTGCAGTATGTCTGTAGCGCGCTGCGGATCCAGTTGCTTGCGCGTGACAAGCTTGTAGAGGATCGAGAAGATCTTGTAATGCGGTTCCAGCACGGGATCCTGGCCCGAGCGGGGCTTTGGTAGGAGAGCGACGATCTCGACAGCGGACTCGAGGGCTTCGATCACCCTATCCACTGTCGGCTTTGTTCGCTTGTCCAAATCATCTAAAAGATCATCTGACTTCTGATACATCTTCCAGATGCACTTGGACAGCATGTAGTGGTTCTTCCAATCTTTAGGACGGTAGCGGATCGCCCTAGAGAACAAGCCAGCTGCGAATTTCCAGACTTTGTAGTCGCTCATCTCCACATGCAGAATCTTCTTGTACGTCCCCGTTCCCATGACTTCGATGAAGAATCGCTCCTGGTCGGCATGTGCGAAAGGCTCCATGGCGAAGGGCTCCCTGCTCGAAGCGTACATCCTCATGCCAAAGTTGTGGTACATGTCGGTCAGTGCCTCCTTGTCGTTCTCGCTCAGGCTGTACAGCGCCGAGTGAGAAAATGACAAAGCGAGAGTGTAGCAGTGGATGATGTTGCGCTGAAGCTTAACTAGCTCACCCCGGTCCTTGTTGATCTTCTCGGCGCTCCATAGCACAGCTTCGTCCAGTTCGTAGTCAAAGCATTCGGCGAGTCTAAACCAGGTATCCCAGCGGTCTGGTGTTAGCTGCAGCTGAAATCTCAGATACTGGGCGCCCAGTCGCAGGTCATCCGTGGCTCCCGGTGTCTGGCGACGATTGAGGTCCACCGTCTTGAATCTACTCAAGGCGATCATTCCCAGTAGGAAGAACCAGCCGTGAGTCGCCAAGACGGTGTCGGGAGTCACGGCGGCAGCAGCGTCCAAGGCCACGCAACCCCTCCAGGCTTGATACAGACGCATCGGGTGGATTGGCTTCTTGAGTTGCTCCGTAAAGTATCTCAAGTTGTAGATCATCTGTGTAGTTGACTTGGTCGTGCCCATCGACTGCTGCATGTGCTCAATCGTATTCTTCAGGTCGGATTTGAGCAGATCTTTCATCGGCATGCGGTTTGCCAGATCCATAATCTTTTCCACCAAGTTCAGTGCGCTCTTCCTCTCCAGCTTCTCAGGGGGGCAGCCGTGTTCTTGGACCTCCCAAATACCAGCACCGAGCTTCAGGCCATTCAGATCGTACAGAACTTGTCCCAGATAGTCCTCCCAGTTCTCGATGTTCTTTTGTTTCAGCAGCTCAACTCTCATCATCTTGAGGAAGATCTTGTTTGAGAATTTGCAGTACTTGCGCAAGCCTAAGACCTGATGAATGGCAGCAAGGTACTCGGCCAGATCAGTCTCCAGGGTCTTGAAAGTCCCCTTATGTTGATGCATGCCGACTTTGAGTACGGTGTACTGCAGCGACCAGACCCGAACCTGCATCTCCCGCAACTTGAGTAAGAATGACTGGAACGTTGAACCAGTAGCTGCGGGTTGGGAATATCCGATTCGAACTTCGTCTTCGTACATAGCTGCTACGTGCAGTATGCAGTTGAGCTTGGCCAATACGGAGGCGGTGGATCGTATGTGCTCTTCCTCGATGATGTCAAATGCGGTATTGTCATTCAGTGCCAAGCTGAGAGCGTTGATGATCAGGTCGTCCAACGATTTGAATATCTGCATGAACATCTGCCTCCGTGCCTCTGGAGAAGCACTGGTGAGCTCTCCGCCACTTAGGTCTGCAATGATCATCTCAATGCTACGCAAGAAGCATGAGAATTGCTTAGTCGGGTACTTGATGGCGTGGTAGGCATCGCCCAACCGGCCCCAAACAAACAGCCTGAGATCCGTGGTGCTCCGCTCCAGAAACTTCCAAAGGTCGCGCAGACCCTGGCTGGCACACTCGGTGATTGGCTTCTTGGCCACTCGTTGCTTATTGGTATCTCCATTCGCGTCGCTGTTAGGCGACTCCTTGTTGGTTTTTACGTAGACGGAGTCAGGATTGAGAACAGGTTCAAGTGTATCGATGACCGTGACAGGGTCGCCAATCTCTTCTTGGAAGAGTCCGAGGAAGAAATCCATCGTCGTGAGCTTGCTGATCTCCAGTTCGGCGGCCTTGGCAGATATCTCTGGCATGATCGCATTATTTGGCAGCGAAATCTCGCGCTGTGGCATATCCGCGAGAAAGTCCCGGACACTTCCCCAACAGCTCAGGATGTGTTCCCTCGAGGTGTCGCTTGGAAGGGTGGTGGAGAAGACCGAGGCCCAAACAAAGCGGATTGACAAGTCATCGTCAGCATCCCGCGAGAACAGGCGTCGTACATGTGAGGCCAGATCCTGCCATCTGCTCAGTCGGGCCTGGGTTTCGGCACGTATTGCGTAGTCTACCACGCTGTTTGGATTGGTGATCCGTTCATAGACGTCCAGGTAAAGCTCATACAGCATTTGCACTAGAAGCTCCAGGTCGTGCGATTTGGACGCAGCGCCATCCTCGCCTTGCAAGCGGTCGAGTTCGCAGAATACCCGTTGATATATCGCTTCATCAAGCCTACTAATGAGTTGAACAACGGACCTTTTCATGTGGTCGGACCATTTGAGACGCAGGTACGTCTTGGAGAGGGCACAGATCCACTCGTAACCAACATCCTGGATGGTCATCCAGTCATCATTGATCTTGCGCACGAAGGCCTTCAAGCCGTGAATTTCGTCGAAGCTCGGTGTTTCGGGTCCTCCCTTTTGCGGACCCTTTGTATGCTCAAGAAAGGCGTTGAGTCCAAGAGCAGGTGCGTCCTTCTTGTTTAGGAGGATTTTGGCGTTCTGGTCATTGAAAGAAGTGATTGCCTCTCGAAGATCGAGTGACACGGGATCCTGAAGTTTGATTGTTGTCCGGTCGCTGGCCTTGAAAAACTCGAGGGTATTTGTCAAGGCATCCATTGTTGACCGATCCGTGACTCCGATATTCTCGAGTATGTCCTTGGTCATCTCGAACAGAGCCTTGTCTGCAGCCTGCAGAGGCTCAAGCTGGCTGATGAAGGCAGCATTTGGATCCACAACTTCCTCAGCAGCAGTATCTCTCCGACGAGTTCGCTTGCTCCTCTTTGTCTCGCCGTTCTCTTCTTCTGCGGCTTCCTGAAGGCCCGCAGCAGACTGCGACCGTTTCCGAGATGGGAGGGAAGCACTGCGATCCTTTTGGGAACCCTTTTCCGTGTCCTTCTGGGGATCATCCTTGCCCGTAGTAGCCGGGGTAGGTTCCTCTTCAGCCGTGGAATCCTTGACCTGCTTGCTGTCGTCTATACCTGCAGCCGTGATGGTCAAGTCTTGAGATGCATGATCCGAAAGCTCCTGGGGAGATGCTGCTGTGGCATTCTCGGCATACTTAGACGCAAGCTGCTTATCAATCTCCATTTGGAGCACTTCATCCTCATCTGGAATGTCTGGGATATCAAGCACCAGAGCCTGGCCCGAGAGTCCCTGCTCGTTGACAAATTGAACGAGCGCCATTCCCAGATCAGCCCAAGAAGGGTTCGAGACCTCAACTACAAATCGAGCCAGGCTGATGTCCTTCGATGCTGGCTTGGGGATGGCCAGGTTCTTGGTAGGGTTTGGAAGCCAGGGTAAAGGATCAAGGTATCGCTTGAGAGCTGCCGACAGCTCTCTCCTAGTAAAGGGGCCCATAATCGGGTGAGACAAAGCCGTCTCATCACCAAGAACTTCCAATTGGGCTTTAAGCTGCTGCCCAGCGAAGCCCTCAGCGAGAGAAGGTGGCTCCACTTCTACCACCGCTGGGTCGTCGTCGAGCTCGATGGCTGCCTCCAGGCAGTATCGACCGATGCGAGCGCTCTTCAAGAATGCAGCCACTCGTGCGGTCTTCCTCCAAAGATCCGCATCTGAGGGGTCTCGATCCAGCGCTGCGTTGAAGTCCTCAAGCGCATTGAGCGCCTCATCGACTACCTCCGGGTCGTCGAATACAGCCGCTGGTCCCTCTGGTGAGGCGCGTGCTTTGTATCGTATGCCATCTAATAGGAACTGCCCATGGTTTTTGAATGACAGGTATAGGGCCTGTGGTAAGCTGCTGCCGGAGCCGTCCGGGTCAGCGCCGGTGACATCGAGGCCACCAACGAGGGACGATTCCAATGCAAGCAGGGGATCGGGCTGTGCTTCGGCGCGCTCGTACTCTGTCGAGGCCTCTGGGTACTTGAAGATCTCGGAGTTGAAGAGGTTATTGTAGGCATCGTTGGCTTCGTCGTGGGAGCGGGCTCCTTGCGCATGTAGCTTTAGAGCTGTCTGGAACAGCTTCAGGGCATCCTCGACCTGATCCAGGCCTGGTTAGAGGACATTGCTTCCAGCATGCCATTCGAATACAATCGACGTACCTGAATCTGCTTGGTGTTGTCGACCTCCTCGTCAATGTTCTCCTCGGGCTCGAGGTTGATCGCCGAGAAAGCAGGCTAGAGAGGTGTGAAGTCAGCGAGGAACAAAGACACCGGGTTGTCGCAAAGGGCTTACCATCTTGGCAGACAGCAGAGAGGTCCCGGACGCTGTACTGCATGCCTACTGGGGATTTAGAAATACACCATAAACTGTTTGTGGTGTTTTGTGCGATGTTGAATGATGGATAGACAGAATGCCATGCACCTCAAATGTGCGCTGGCTGTAGCCTCGGAGCCTCTTCTTTATTCGCGTGCTCCTCCCCCAAAGACGCGCTTCCATTTATCTTATCTGTCTGGGTCGCCAAGGGCGGGTGCAGCTGTGGTCGATAAGTACCTGAGCGAGTACCTGAGGCTTGAACAAATGCGCTAAGTTGGGGTACAATGTGGCGTCCCTTCAGGCAGGCGGGAGGTTAATGGTTAATGGATGGATGTTCATTTTCTTCCAGCAAAGTGGAGTGGACAAAGCACAAGCGGTCCGTGCTTTCTTTGGGAGCTGCTCCTGAGAGGACAAATATTAGGCCCAAGGCGATCATCTTGCGATCACCACCTTGCTCAGTCTGGTGTCAGCTTCTGTCGATTGGTTTGCCATCTTTTTAGTCGGCGTCTACCCCGAGAAGCAGCGTGTCCTCAAGCAGGAGAGTACCCTGAAGCAAACCACATCGGACAGACCCAGCCGAAGCTAGAGCCCGGCAAGAAACGCCAGCCAAGCTCGCTGGCAGCAGGAGCTTCAATTCATCATGGTTGCGCCGGCTGTTCCCGAGTGCGTCGCCCTGCCCAGAGTGTCGCCCTATTCCTCTCACTAACAATTGTGCTATTAGGATCACCGAGGAGGTCCTTCACGAGGCGATTGAAGCTCGAACTGAGCAGTTAATCGCTCTCCGAGAACTCGGCCCACCAGATCTCGTCCACCTCCTCAAGCAACCTGTCCGAAATGCTGGCAAACACGTGTGTACTCTCGCAAATTGTCTATGAAGCTTGGGGGCTCCTCATTGCTAACTTGAATACTGATAGATTGGCGTCTACCACCATGTGACTGGTGTTGATGCATCGTCCTCAGCCAGCTTGGCAGCCTACATCAACACCCTGACATACAAAGAGCACGGATCCTCTGCATCGACCAAGATAAGTGAAGGTCTTTACTGGTATGTGGCCCGGTAGCTCTTCTTTTCCTGACTGGCGCTAACCGCCTACCAACCAGCTGCTACAATGCTCTGTCGCGCCTGGATATGCGAGTCCACGTCACCATCCCCGGAACCGTCGAGAGTTACTGCGTTGATGAGCGCGGCGAAAAGAAGAAGGCTACCGAAGATTTGTGGCTCGAGACATATCTTTGCAGTGTCCTTCGTGCCTACTCCTATGCCGACGACGGAAGCGGAGAGACGATCCGGAAGATCATGGGAGTGCGCCGATTCAACCCTGTTACGAACACCGAGACAGAACATAGATTCCTGAGTGCCGCAGAGCAGCTCTTCTTCAGGGGTATGTACTGGTACTTTTGCAGAAACATGGGCCTCGCAGTTACTGACCTTGTGCTAGGATGGCAACTCGGATCCGACTCGACCGTGCAGGTCCCGAACCTTGTTTCCAACCATCTGGTCAGCGGCCTTCTCAAGTATTTCGAGACCACCGGACGATATGCCTCCGGCATCAACTTATTCGAGAAGCTTCGATCGCAAAACATCGAGGTTGCGTCGCTGCTAGCCAAGATCCTGTTCATGGGCAATGAGGAGGTGGAGGGTATCCGCATCCTTCATTCCGCCTTGGCCGAGACGCCCATGGATTATGTCATGCTCGATACCCAAGCGGCGTTTCTCCTAAAGAAGGCGCAGACAGCTGCGTCCCCTGAGCAAAAGGAAGAGAGGCTGCGAATGGCTTTGGGCTGCGCAGACCGCAGCACGATTGCTGCCCCGAGCGAGTTCAGCACTTGGGCGAGGCTGGCGGAGACCTATGTTGCCCTTGAAGACTGGGAGAACGCTCTCACCATTCTCAACTCCTGCCCAATGTTCACCTACCAAGACAAGGACGCACCCATCATGCCAGAACCCAAGGACGTTTACCTACCAACCCTTCCCGAGACGAGGCTTGACGAGATTGACAGTGAGCCAGAGTCAAGGTACTCTGAGCAGGTCGATCCCAGTCTGCTCAACCTGCGGGCTGCATCGTATCGCGGTACATTCAAGCAGGCGTATGCCATTCTTACTGAGATGACAGCAAAGATCGGCTGGGACCAGCTGCTCAAGATTCGGAGCCAGGTATTTGTCATGGAGGACGAGTACAGGACAGAGAAGCAAGAGGTCGGACATCACACCTTCCCTCCGAAGCGAAATCCTAGTACCGATGGTCTTCGAGGTACGCCCAACGCCTCCCAGAATGGCGAGAATCACGACGACGAGGAGGGATCCGAGACCGAATCCAACGTCGAGACCAAGGACGAGAAGCAGGGAGAGTCCAACGATGACTCCGAGCAAGCCGAGGCAGACACAGGCTCAACCGCCGCAACATTGGTTCCTAACGGTAACCCGGTCGAGAAGCCGTCCAGCACCGCAGACCCCGGTGAACTGAAGGTGGACGACAACGTAAGCCTTGATTCTTCTTGTAGTAGCCCAACACTTACATCTTTTACTGACATGCTTGAACAGGGCACCCCGGACGAGAACCTGAGCCGGCTCAACAACAAGCGGCTCTGCGAGCGCTGGCTGGACAGTCTGTTCATGGTGCTCTACGAGGACCTCCGTGTCTACACCATCTGGCGGACGCAGATGGCGCAGTACCGCGCCCAGTCGATGCAGTACAAGAAGTCGGCCGAGGAGTGGGAGATCCTCGGCTCGCTGGCCGAGCGCCTGCAGCACACGGACGAGGCGGTCGAGGCGTACCGCGCGTGCCTCTCGCAGCGCTTCAGCCCCAAGGCGCTGACGGGCATCCTGCGCGTCTTCGAGAAGACCAAGGCGACGCGCGAGTCGGTCGGCGCCATCCTGCGGCTCGTCACGTGGCAGTACCGCTGGTACTCGGAGTTCTCGCCCGAGCTGCTGCGCTCGATCCGCACGCTCATCGAGGACGAGGGCGCCGTCAAGGTCCGCAGCATCGTGCAGGCGACGAGCCTGCCGCAGAACGTGCTCGACCTGACCCACCACTACGCCGCGCTGTGCGCGACGTTCCGGAGCAGCGGCACCGACGGTTAGTTTGGGCGGCTATTGGGAGAATGTATTCGGGGCTTGGGGAAAGGGTTGAAGAATAGCGATGTCGTCTTGTGTTGCGTGTGTGGCCCGGGAGCCGTTGAAGCGACAAGTAGCCCTCAGATATTGAGGCATGTGAGCGTATCACTCGTACCGCAGTATGAAATGATGGTATCATCATCCTTTGATATCCCAGTGTGTAATAGATTCACGTTAGCTTACGAAGGACGATTTCTGATTTCGAGAATAGAATTATTTTATTCCTTTGAAACACTTGACACAGCTTCTCATACGCGACTTCATTGAAGTGAATCCCTGAATACCACTATGTATGGCCAAGGTATGGTACTGTTTATTGTACTTTAGTTTTAGACAATTTTGATCAATCATTTATTGGTTAACTCGAGGCGAAGTAACTAAACATCATCATCATCGATGTAAGAAAACAGAAGCGAGATTTAACGATCGCTCGACACAGTACGGATCAGCTTAATCACCGCCTCACATCTCAAAATGCTGCCTTTTCCCTCAAGAGCCAGGCATCGTCCATGCAGTCCCCTTAATAAGCCCCCAGGCATGCCTTTCCAACCTCCGCAAAGGTGCATGCCGTATCCACAAAGAAGAAGCAGTGTACAAGTAGAGCCTCGAAACTCGCAAAAGCGGCCAGTGGAGACCATCAATTCAATAACACGCCCGCATGACCTAAGTGCGAAAGGGGCCTAGCTGTGCGAGGCCACGGCCAACCAGATCGGCCTCGCGCTCCAGCAATACGTTATAAGTGGTCGCGCAGGCGAGAGGGGGAGGGGGGGCCGCGGCCATGCGATGCGGCCCAAGCATTATGAGTTGCTCCCCGATACCAAGAGAGGCGATCCCAAATGTTTCTTTCAACGTCGTTCCTACAAGGTCACAAGCGGTGGTCACACGCAATAGAGGAGAAAGCAAACGAGTTCTGAGCCAACCAGCCGACAACTTGCGGCTGTTGGGTTTGACATTACTTCGAACCGACGACCCTCAAGGTCCCAATCGCCATGGACAGACGGTTGGGGCTAGGATCGAACAACGAAAACTATCTTGGAGTGGAAGCAGCGAGGATACAGGATAGCCCAGCGAGATCTAGACGATCAAGATACGAAGTCTGAGAAAATACGCCAGAGATTCATTTCGTGTACGCCGTTTTCTCCATGAGTTATACTGCCTGGACTTGGAAGCCTTGATCTACCCAGAGCGAAGCCGCCAGGGCGACTCAAGGAGTTGGGAGTGAGAACCCCTATGCAAAGGGCCACCAACTCTTTTACTCCTCCTCCTCGCCGTTGGCAGCGATCTCCTCCTCTTCCTCCTCCTCGTCAGCGACGGGGGCGTCAGAGGCCTTGGCCTGGGCTTTGGAGACGAGTTCATCGTCACCAGCATCCTCGTCTTCCTCAGCGTCCTCCTCTTCCACTTCTTCCTCCTCCTCTTCCTCCTCTCCGTTGGCGCCGTTGGTCTCGTTGAGGGATTTAACAACGGCATCACCAGAAGCGCCGGCGGTCTTTTGCTTCTTCTTGGGAGGAGCTGGCTCTAAACCTCGCTGTTAGTAACCGAATCAAGTATAGGAAGGATGGTGATGATGATACTGCCGGGGCCTCGTAGAGGAGCCCGCACAGAGGAAGGACATACCGTCGGCACCCTCTTCGTCATCCTCGGCACCCTCGGCGCCTTCATCGTACTCCTCCTCTTCTTCCTCGTCCTCTTCCTCTTCGTCCTCCTCATCCTCGTCGGAGATGTACCTGTTCACTAGAGATCAGTATTTCGTTATCACCAGGGCGTACATCCGTGCTGATAGCTGAGGCCGGAGGATGGCTCTCGCCGCCGGGGCGGAACTTGAGAGCTTTGCGCCGGCCACCAGCCTCGAAGATGCCTTTTTATCAAAACAGAAATGCAGTCGCATTTGTATAGTGATATAGGGATGTAAAAAGCGCATGGAGCAGCTGGTTGTGGTTGTACTTACTCCTCCTCTTCCTCGTCGTCACTGGGGAGGGAGACGAGCTCCTCCTCCTCCTCCTCCGCGTCTTGCTTTCTCTTGCGGGAAGACATGGCGATTTTTGGTTCAGACGGTATCAATTGGAAAGGTAAGATGTCAAAGAGAGGGTGATATGTGTAGTTGAAGAGTTGTTGTAAGAACAGGAGGAGAGAGGACAGAGAGAAGGGGAAGAGAGGGAGGAAAGGCTGGGGGGATGGGGGAGCTTGGGTGGGCTGCGGGTCGGTGCGTGGACCAAGACAAACGCAAAGGTACCAGCCGGCTTAAAGGCAATAGAGCTTACAGAAGGGGGCAATGGGAAGGATGGGGGGGAGAGGGAGGGAGAGAGGACGGAGATAGAGAGAGGGACAGAGCAGAACGGGGGCTCTGCACCATCCGCCTACCCTACCAGCAGGAGGCGCAGAGAGCGCAGAGATCCGGAAACACAGAGAGGACGGGGGAGGAGGGAGGGAGGGAGGGGGACAGAGCTGGGAGCTTCAGCTGTTGGCTGGGTCTGCGATCTGCGCCAGGACCAAGGACAGCTTGCTCACCTCGACCGCGATCGAGTGCGCTACCCGAGTACCTAGTTATTTAGACATTGTATTCTCTCACTGCGATCGCGAGGTGGAGTACTTCGGGATGCCACCAAGACCAAGATCAGAGAGACAGAGAAATGGGGGAGGGGGGGAACTTGGTCCGCGGCCAGGCCATGTCTGGGGCTGTTGACGGCAAGCTTGGAGTTAGGGTGCGGGAAAAGCAGCTCGAGTGCGGAGCCCACACCCTGGCACTTGCCGGCCAGTTGCAGCACCCAATGGCTCGAGTGCTCTCTGTGTCCAAACAAACGCCGCCTGGGATTGGACGCTAATGATTTCGTCGGCTTGCCGGCTGGTTGGGAGAGAAGCTTGGACCTCTCAGGAGTTCCACCCCTGTCCCAGTGTGACGGTGTCATACGTCTTGTGTGCGTAATGGGTTTGTTGGACACTGGCTGACCAGCCTGCCCCTCGCTCGCCGGTCTGCTTTCCATCGAGGACTGAGCTTCTCTCTCCCAACTTGCGCTTTGCCTCGCTAAAAAGGGTAAACCACCGAGGGAGCTTCAGATGCCGACACGCTAAAAAGTAAAAGCGCTCGATCCAGAACGTCATGGATTGGAGAGGAAGAGGAGCTCCGTCCCGAGGTTTGCTCGACAAGAGATTCGCCCGTTGGTAGGACAGTCCAAAGCAGGCGGCTGCCTGCTGCATCGACACTGGCCGCCAGCAGGCCAGACAGGCAAACAAGCTACCTATTTAGGTTGTAGACCAATAGGTAGCTGATGGTTCTCAAGCAGCAGGGACGACTACTTCGTATCATGTGCTTTGTACGGAGCTTTTGTAAGGCTTTTTGGCCAGTCCTTGGCACGTCCACTATGCCGGTTTGTTTTCCGACTGTGTCATCACCGCACATACTGCCGGTGCTTGATTGCGGAGGCGATAAGCTGAGCTGACTTGCATTCTTGGGCTGACTAAACGCAACCCACAGCCCACTTCCAAGACATCGTGATGCAACGACGTTGTTGTTGCAGACTGTTATCACGACAGGATGTCATGATCGAGGTAGCATTGGAGTTTCACACTTGAGATCCTCTCGCCCGCCGTTGAATCCGTCCGTGCTCTGTCGATAGAACGGCGATCAATAGTTCGAGCTCCGAGGATGCAATTTCGAAATCCACGGTCCAGTCTTGGTCACCTCCAATCTAACGAGATGCGGGGCAATGCCATAGAAGAACACCCAGTGGTTTGACGCGTCTGAGACGCGTTGAACAAGCGCGGCCTAGGACCTCCCCACCCACATAGCCTTGTGATAACTTTCCTTTGGCTGGAAATGAAATTTGTTTTAGCCGTGCTGCTATTGCTGATCGTCGCGGCCGAGTCTGGCTTCAACCCCGGATTTTAGAGTGGATGCAACGTCGCTTGAATTATCTCAAAGGAGTGGAAGCCATCTGTCCACTGAGACATGGCGTTCTTCAAGTCCTCAGTATCAGCAACACGACAACGTGAAAGCACGCAGACCACGCGGCGGGCTCCCTGGTCAAGCACTCGCCAGCCAGTGTTCGACACAAGGAAAAGAACAGTTTGGCTTGCGAGAGAGAGCAAGTACCTGTACCGACCAATCCGACAAGCTGCATTGTCCGGATGAGCAAATGCAGGCCAGCCATCGAGCCGAACTGGTGTGTAGAAAGCTCGACCTATCAGACCGGCATTCGCTGCCTCGTGTGCTCGATTGAGACCGTATTGCAGACCTGTATGTCAAGGGAGCTTTCGAGCAGCCCTCTACGATTCAGATGCGATGAAGCCGGTTGGGGAGAGGTGAGAATTTTACCCACAGGGAAGAAAAAGAAAAACCTTGCATGATCAATGTACGGCTCGGTACTGACTGCTCTGTATCAGGACCAAGATTGAAATCTGACAGAAGTGCATAAGCCAAGAGAATAGACTCTTTGGTGCGGGTTAGTACGTCAGAGCCTTCCCTTGCAGGGCATGATCTCTGCCTTTTTGGGGGTTAGTTCAGGCACCAAAGGCCATGGGAGCAACGGGGAAGGAGCCTAGGAGGGCCCCGGAAGTCCCAGGCCGCCGCAGCGGGAAGACCCTTGCCCCCTGTCGACCCGGCCAGAGTGTGTGTGGCTCCCCGTGCTGGGACGCGACGAGCTGAAAAAAAGCGTTGGTGGTGCAAGAGTAGCGAAACGTAGGATCTCTCTCCAGAGCCCAATTAAGTGAATGATAACTGTACCTATCAAAAGAGATGGAGCATAGTTGATCAAGGACAGAAAAAGAAAGCAGACAGAATCACGAACTAGTAGTCTAGGTAGTGAGGTCAGGGCCACGATGGGAGATGAGTTTCTCATCCCTTGCGTCGCTTTGATACCTAAAAGCCTGCAGGTGTCAACGCTGCCCCAAAAGAAAGGTTTATCGACTGTCTCATTTTATTAAATGGGTCATTGTTTTGGTCTGCATTCCAGTCATGTCTCACAAGGTCAGATCCTAGTAGTCCCAACCATCCAAGAAGTAATGAGCCCTGACATCATCTTCATCTGTTGTCGGGGGCTGTTGTTTGTTTTCGTCTTTGACAGACCCGAAGCGAGTTTGCAATGTGTCATGAGGTTGACGAGGGCTGAGTGATGTTAGACCAAAGACAAAGACTTGCAGTACCCGCTGTGGAACGTCGTGTTGTGCCAAGAGCACACAATATTACCAGTATTTGCACCGGATGGCTGGACCTGGGCTTGTTCCATCCGTGGCCTCCCTTTTCCCTGCCGTAGTGACTCGCTCTCGTCCTCGCACAGAGAGGATCTCACGATGCCACTGGTCCAGACTATTGATCCGTAGCAAGGAAGGGGGCGAGCATGATAGGCCCTCCATACAAGCCATGTAGAATTAGTGGGTTGGTTGTAAAGCCCAGTAATGTCACCCAGAGACATCGGGTGGCAGAGACTGTTATCTTCAACCCGTCTGCGGTAACACAAGGAGCAAAGTTCCCGTCGAGCCACGTAGTGGTACCTATCACTTTCAGCGGAATGTAGCTTACTGTTTGCCTTGGTAGACAAAGTCTGGGCGCCCCCTTCACGAGCGAGACAGACTCGATCTTCATCAACTAGGTACCGCGGTATGACCTTCCAGTAATACCGGCACGGATGCAACAGGGCATTCACCCTGCATCATGCCGCTGTAACCCCCTCAGCTCGGACGGTACATGCTGGGCAGTGTACGCTGTACTTGTAGGCTCCCGTCGACAGCATCTCTCCCTTGCGCAAACTGTCACTGAACATGCGCCCTGCAAATCCTCATCTTAAAAAGCGACCCAACGGCAAGGTAGACTATGTGAGTATGGGGACGTTTTGATCGCGGCGCTGAGATTGCCACACCTGCGATTGGATCATTTGATGTCGATAGGGCCCCGAGCCACCTGAAAGGTGGTGTCTCGGGAGACCGATGGGGCGCTACGCTTCGGTAGGGTGGGAGCTAGGGAGCCCGTAGCCCGGATCACAAGGACACGCTAGGGCGCACACTGCTGAGCCAGGGTGCCACACCCCCCCTGTTGTACACCCACTAACAGGTCTGTAGGGCACTCACCCTGCTTTTGTGGTATTGCCTGACGCGACTGAACCGCCCTCCCCTGTAAGCCAATGTCCGAGTAGAAAACTAAGGCCTTCCCCACGACTTCCAGAAATCACACTACCCACAATCATGTCGTAGGCGAGCACAGGCGAGATCGCGCAGGAAAAGAAGAGACACCGAGAGGACAGGAGACTGGCCCCAAGATGGCTGCCCTCTCAGAGGCCGAGGATGCATACGCAGCCGACGTCGAGGGCAAGGCGAGCACTCCCAAATCTCGGCGCCAGCGCGGCATGAAGAATCGAGAATTCGGCCTGTATGCGAGTCGGCTGCGACACCGGCCCCAGGCGAAACGAGAGTCCGCTGCCTCAGAATCGGCTGCTGGCTGGCCCCCTCAAACGCAACACCAGACCAACGACGACCAGGGTCGCCTCGGTTTTTACCAGGGCAGTGCAGCAGGCCTTGCAAACCGCCAGCATCTTGACCCCGACCCCTACCTCGACGACTACCACCACTACACAGCAGACTCTGCGCCGCAATTACCGCCTCTTCCCATTTCGCCCATATCCCCCCGATGGGCCTCGCTTGCCAACGGCCACACAATCCCCTTTGACCAGGCGACTGCGTCTCCCAGTCCGCCAATTGCCTCTGCTTCATTCGAGTCACGATCGCGCGCGACGTCGACCTCGTCTTCTTCCAAGTTCCCGGGCCTCTCCTCGCATCCCGTCACCCCGAGCCTGGTCCAGTACGCCTCCTCCGACCGCTCCTCCTATTCCCAAAAGACCTTCTCCCCTCTGGACGGACGAGATGAGACCCCGTCCACAGTGACGACCTCCTCCACCCCTACCTCTCCGACTTTCTACCGGCCCGACAGTCGGCAGGCTGGCGAAGCTGTGCAGGTCGACAACTTCTCCCGCCCCCGGAAGCCCAGCATGAGGCAGCAACAGTATGTCGAGACTCCGGTGCGATTCCGCCAGCCCGATACGTTTCACGTAGACGGCAAGGCGCCGCCGCCGGCGATACAGTATTCGCATTGGCCGCGAGAACGAGCCAGGGGCTTGTCCATTTCGTCTAGCAAATCTACCTCCACCACCCACAGCTCTCTCCCTCGCCAACGGTCAAACGACCATCTGCGAGGCAACCGCCCCCCAGCGCCAGCTGGGATTATCTCACCTGGGCTGCCACGACCTCCGGCAGCCTACAGCCGAGCAGACCACCATCCGGGCAATCCAGATCATGGCAACCGTGGCGGTCACGGCGGTCACGCCGGCCACAGCGGCCATAGCGGCCACAGCGGCCACAATGGCCATCTTCAAACCCGTGAAGCAGCACCTTGGATGGTCGATGACGAGCTCCGTTCCAGCTATCGCTCCCAATGGACCTCTTCGACGGCGCATGCAACGCTATTTACGGCCAGCGGGACGGAGCGAAGCAGTGTACTCACCAAGACGAGCTCGCGAACTTCCTATTCACTTTGGGGGGCTGGCGGCGCAGCTGCAGATGAGGGTTTGGGGGTGGATGATGTCCTCGGCATGTATGAAAAAGGGTTTGCCGACTCCACTGGAGCAGAGGACAATGATTTTGATGGACATGATGACGGTTATGAAACAAAGGACGACATGACACGCGACCCAGAGCAGGCCCGTCCGGACACCCGGCATGGCGAGGGCGACCGGCTCGAAAACAGAATATTAGAGGCCATGAATGAGCCTCTACCAGCACCGGTTCCGGTACCGCCTCGAGGCCCTGGCTTGTCGCAGGAGGATCCTTACATGCTGCGCGACTCGGGTGCTTTTTTCCGCAACTCCGGACTACCGTCGTCTTTGCCGAAGGACATAGGCCTCAACCTAGCCACCAGGCATATGGAGAAGTCATACCAGGCGGAGAGCGACCCGAGTGAGAAGCATGACTCTGGAAAGGTGCTTGATGACGATGAGCCCTCTGTCGCCCGAGAGAGTAGCACTCGATCCGCGCGAACTACACCGTCACCGCCTCCTGCCGAGACCACGGAACAAGATGGCTCCAATGCACCCGCAGCATCCCAAGACAAGAGCACCGAACGAGGTCTGGAAGTTCCCAGTGTGCCACCACCGCCCCCTCCGCATTCACCTACGCTTTATGCAGCAACCGAAGAAGAGGACCCGTCTGCAAGGGACCGATATGGCTTCCGAAAGCATAACCAATATGTCAGTCGCGCCCAGTACGACGAGTGGAACAGGATCTACACCGAGTACCTTGCGAGGCGGCGGAAGAAGTGGGTGATGTACTTGAAGGACAGTGGATTGATGACGGACAATCCCAATCGCTTCCCACCTCCATCCGCCAAGACGAAACGCTTCATCCGCAAGGGCATCCCGCCGGACTGGCGCGGCGCGGCTTGGTTCTACTATGCTGGAGGGCCTGGCATCCTTGCCAAGCACCCTGGCGCTTACGACAAGCTACTGAAGAGGGTGGGCAAAGGCGAGGTCAAGGAGGTGGACGTCGAGGCCATCGAGCGCGACCTGCACCGGACCTTCCCAGACAACCTCAAGTTCAAGTTTGCAGCAGGCCAGCCGGGCAACGGTGACGCAATAAGTGAGCACACGAGGGTCGAGGAACCCGCGATTGTGTCATCGCTACGGCGAGTCTTGCTTGCCTTTTCTCTTTACAACCCCCAGATTGGGTACTGCCAGAGCCTGAACTTCCTCGCCGGCCTGCTCCTACTGTTTGTCGAGACGGAAGAGCAATGCTTTTGGCTGCTTAATGTCATCACCCGCGTCTACCTGCCCGGCACGCACGAGATGTCCCTCGAGGGCTCCAAGGTCGACCTCAGCGTCCTCATGTCCACGCTCAAGGACTCGATGCCCAACGTGTGGACCAAGGTCGCCGGCGAGATGGACGACCCGAACGGAGGGTCCGTCCCGCCCACGCCCACGACGCCCAAGTACGGCACCCTGGGCCGCAAGGCCCGACGGCCCAGGGGCCTCATGACCCGGTCGGCGACCTCGTCGGGCGCGGTGGCGTCATCGGTGGACCGGCTCCCGCCGATCACGCTGTGCATGACGGCCTGGTTCATGTCGTGCTACATCGGCACGCTGCCGATCGAGACGACGCTGCGCGTCTGGGACGTCTTCTTCTACGAGGGCAGCAAGACGCTCTTCCGCGTGGCGCTGGGCGTCTTCAAGCTCGGCGAGCAGGAGATCCGGGCCGTGCAGGACCCGATGGAGATGTTTGGCGTCGTGCAGGCCATCCCGCGGCGGCTCGTCGACTGCAACCGCGTCATGGAGACGACGTTCAAGAAGAGGGGCGGGTTCGGCGACCTCACGCAGGAGTCGATCGAGGAGCGGAGGCGGGAGGGCAGGACGGCGCTCAAGGAGTCGCGGCGGGCGGCGGCCGCGGCGGCCGCGGCGGCTGGCGACCAGGCCGGGGCGTCGCTGGCTCCCATCTCCCGGCCGGACAACACGGGCGACATCACGGACGTCGAGGGCGCCATGGAGATCCGGAGGAAGGGAACGCTGTTTGGCCGCAGGAGGGCGAGAGCTGCCGAGGCTGTGTGAGATGGCGCCGTCTGATGTCCCAAAGAATGTGGCTGAACTTTCTATACCCGTGTTTGCTCGATCGGGGGCCACTTTTCGAACCCCCCTCTTTTTTTCCCTCTCTCTCGATCACAAGGACAGCCCCGTCCGTCGTTGTCTTGGATTACTGAGCCAGCAGGTCGCCAGAGTTCCAGTGTGAAGGGCTTGTTTTCTGGGGCCGGACGAGTACATACCTGCATGCACACATACATACATCTGTTTCATTACCTACCATTGTTCACAACTCTTCGTCAATGGATCTCCGAGGGCTGGCTCGGCATCGGGAATACTTCACAAACTCGTCATTTTGCGGGGGGAAGGTCTCACTCATGGCACAGTACTGGTCTGTTTCAGACATTGGTTCGGGGAGGAAAAAAACCAAGACACATTTTCTACTCTGTGCAAAACAAACAAAAACGGTGCATCGGGAACGGCGGCGTTTGCATGTTTCTTCCTTTGCGTCATCATTCTTCACACTGTACCAATCCACAGTCTTCTTTTTGTCGATATCATACAAGGGGAAGGGGGGGAGGTTGACGATTCTCATGGCCCTAGAGGAGGAGGAGAAGCATAGTTGGGCATTGCGAAGATGGTAGAACTAGATAAACCAACGACATGCAGAGACGTGTCTAGAACAGGGGAATGGCAAGCTGCCAAGCATCGAAGCCATCTAGAGGTAGCTAGAGGGTTTCCTTTTCCCTTGGCACAACAGCCCAAGGGATAACCTCACTCCCCAAAAGAAGCAATTAATATGAACGAATACACCCAACCTGGGTCTCCAAAAACGGCAATTGAATCCAACCATTCAGGGGCGCTGTTTTTCACGTGCCTGCATTCCTGTCGAGGAGAGGGGAGCTGTTGTTCTCGCTACCTAGGTAGTTCAGGGTCCAGCTGGCCCGCCAAGGAAGCCAACCAGAGCAGGCGGGATCCGTTCCGGCGAACTCGCTACGTAATTATGGCTTGAAGGGGGACCTCGAGGCGCGGCCATGGCTGAGGATGAGGCCGCTCTCGAGAAGTTTGTTCAAGATTGGGATGCTTGCCTGGGGTGGAGAAAGAATGGTGTTGGTTCCCATTTGGCGAAATAAAAAGCTGTTTCTCCTGACTTGCCGTCCCTCTTTGCTTGACAAGAAGCTAGGAAAAGTCAATCCCGGGAGGGCAAAATGGAAGCTCGAGCTCGGGGCCAGAAACCCCGCGCCGTCCGTTTGGCCAGATAACACGACTCCTGCCCGTGGAGGCTTCTGAATCGGCGAGCTTTTGTGGCGACATCGAACTTGGGCTTTTCGGGAATTGGGTTTTTGGCTAGGTACACGTCTTGTCTAGGAATTATGCTCTTCTATCTTGAACGAGAAGGGTCCGAGACACCAGGCTTGTCGTCTCGAGAGTGGGCAATTCATGGCAGAGCTTATCACTACACTCCCTTACTAAAGCACGTTTCATTAGCTTACCTGTTTTTTTTTTGAGTTTTGTCTATCTTGTTCAGTCTTTGATTGATTGGTGTTGGCTCTGGTGAGGGGTTGTTGTTGCGTCTGGGGCGTGTTGCTTTGCTTATCCCTCACTTAATTAGTACTGCAACGCCGTGGGCATTTTTAGGTTGGGAGTGTTGAATTGAGGCGTTGAGCGAGCGGCACGAGGGTTCCAGGCTCTCTTGGCTCGGGCTTTGCTTCGGTTTTTGTTATGCGAAAGAGAACTGCCCAGTCTTTTTAGGGTCGGGTTTTGGGATCGCTTCCGTGTTGCGATTTCCGTCAGGATGGGCTGGAGCAGTCAGAGGTACTAGTACCTAACCTGGAGGGCCATCGGCAACGGTCTCTCTCTCTCTCTCTCTCTCTCTTGATTCAACGATTTCCAATATGCCCGGGATCAGAAACCATGGTGGCATAGAGTCATCCTTCATCCAACGGCGGCGGTTCCGTGTGGGAATCGCGGCACAGCAGCAGGAGAATGTTGATCAGAATGGAGTTTCCGGCCAACCTCCCAAGCCCCCCTGACATACCTTATCAAGGCCCAATAGTTACTCTGTTGCGAGTCTTGTTCGGTAAGACATGAGGCAGGAAAGTCCAGGATGGATCGTTGGATCGCGATCGAGCCGCATAAAGTAAGTACCTGGCCAATATCACGGGCGGGGCTACTTGACGTCGAGCCTGGGGCAATGTGACGCAAATTGTAAGAAGCGATAAGCCCTATTACTCCGCCCTGCATGCTCGAGTATGGGTCGAGGAGGAGGGAGGAAAGCGGCCTTTCGGAGGAGGATTCGTACGAAAGCTCGCAAGAAGAGCGTGGTGGGTGGAGGGGCGTTGATCCTGAGTGTGAAGTCTAATCTGTTGGCTGTTTGCAGATCATCATGAACAAAAAAAAAAAAGCCATGACTACTGCAGGCATTCCCTGCATGCATGCATGAGCCGGGGGGTTCTGGATTGTGGGTGATTTCAATAGGTGTCGGATTCCCCATCCGGTATGCCGCGAAGGCAAGGGATTGGCCATATGTCCAACAAGTTTTGCGTCAGTGACCCAGTTGGCTGTGCCCACCAGTCCGATTATGGTAGTGCGATCCAGAGAGCTCCCTTCGTCGAAGGGACTGGCTCGACGCTATTCCCAGGAACCTTTTGGCCGTTTGGTTGGGGAGTTTGGGCTAGGTACGCTGATGTCTCAGCGGGGGGTACAAGTACGGTGGTCCCGGTTTTTCCGGCAATAATTAGCCCCCGTATCATCGTAAAGACGTTGGTTAGGGCGGAAACGTTGGCTATTTCTGACGATTCGTGCACGTTTCCCATCTGAGTCCGTCCCGACGTTGTTCGGTGTCTTTGCCGCCTCGTGCCCGATTCGCGAATCCCCTCGAATGAAACTCTGTGCCAGTGGCATGCTGTCGTTTGCCAATCTCTTGGGTGCCTGGGTGGTTGTCCGTGAGTGGATCGACAAGAGCTGGGTCGACCGGGCTGGTGCGAGGCCAAGAGCTTGGCCCAGCCAGGCCGCCGTTGGCCTGGACGAGAGTGTCTGTAGGTATTCGAGATCGCGATCGCGAGTGGGCGGGCAGGGTTGGTTGTTGGCCGTTTCCATTAGTTACAAGCAGATTATGATGATCCATAGCAGGCCGAGGCGTCTTTGGTTGTGGTGTCTGAGTAAAAAGTACCGCGTCGAGATAAACTTCTCGCTTGTTGTTTGCTGTCTGGTGGGCCGTGGTTGGAAGTCGGAGTCGATCAAATGCAGCATTGAATCTTGATACCTACCTTAGGTAGCACAGTCACCTACCTACCACAGGGTCAGCGCTGGAGTGTGCCCGAGTATTCCGATGGCCACGCAATCAACGAGTGAAGAGGGGACATGGACGTTCCGGCTGGCGGGCGTGTGAATGACGAGTCGGGCCGCCGTTTGGTTTTATTCAGTGCCCGTCTCGAATGCATATTTCCGGCCCCGGGTCACTTTGCCGTTTTGGGACGGGAGGGGATTTTCTTGTTCATGATGCTGAAGTGACTTTCTGGCTTTCCTTTCTGTCGGCGAGGTGCGACGAATCCGGGGCACACGTGTTGTTGAATGGGAATGCGAAAATCCGCATGGCCGAGGGATGGCAGTTGAACATACAGTTAATCACCAAATTGTTCGGCCAGGCTCGTAAGAAAGCGGACCGACAGAGCGGATTGTACTTATTGTTTGCATGATGGGATGCTTCGATGAAGGCATTCCCGAAGCTTGGGTGCGGTCTAGACTGGCGAGCCTAAGAAAAAGATGGGCTTGGAATGGGTGTGAATGGGTGGTTCCTGTGAGAATGGCACCACTCGAGACGTGCCATGGGCCCATTCCAGGCGTGTCTGCCAGGGGGGTGCGCCCCGCAATGATCCCACTGCTGGATGGGCCGATGAACGCCTAGTCGAACCACGAAAACCAGTCGATGGCTGCCAATCAGTGGGGAGCCTGCAGTGACTGAGGTGAGGGGTGTTACTGAGCTGTCAGTTTGGGAGGTTTGGGAGGTTTGGGAGGAGCCCTGGCTGACGGGTCACGGCAGCTATGGAGGGAGGAGGGAGGGAGCTTTGGCCAATCCGCGGGCTGGATGATGAGGCACGGGCAGAAGGCGGAGCTGTACACGAAGGTGTTCATACCCCTCCCTCTCCTCCACTCCCTCACCAGTCTCACCCCTCAAGCTCGCTCTCCTCCCTGATACACTCCCCTTGACTCCCACACCTCCTTGTACACACACCACACAGACACACCAGACCGGGATGTGAAATACCTTACACCACGTACCAGACAGCTTCTCGCGCCACTCCCCACCCCGAAAGTCAAGTTCAGAGACCACGTCTTGGCCCTCGCTTGGCACCATCGCCCATCCCCCACCGCACCGGCCAGTCTAGACGAGGCAAGCAAGGGTACAACGACCAAGAACGCCGTTCTCGAACTGCCCACCCTCCCATGAGCCCATGTCGACTCGACTGTTTTCCCATGGCGCCATCGCGATCCCATATCGGAATTCTGCGTCAATGGGATATGAGGTCATTCCTCCTCTGGAACCCAAGGGTCCTGGGGAAGCCCCTCCCACGGCCGCCTCCCCCTGCTCCCATTGGCCTGCCCGTGTCGTATCGACATTTGCCCGCCTGCCGAGCTGAGTCTTTTTGGGAGCTTGGTTGCCCATCAGGTAAAAAGTCTCTTGGCGGCACAGCTCGCCGACTCGTCCAGCTTATCCGCAGATCTGCCTCTGGTAGCTTGCTTATATAGGAGCGCGCCCGAATCAGCAGACCACGACCGAGGAGCTGGTTACACATCGTCATCGACTACTAGGTCTACTACTGTGAATACCTTCACTCAAGCCTTCCAGCTCACATTCCAGACCATAAACATCACCCCATCATCCTTTGCTCAGGCCACACATACCCTGACCCATCTCCCTTGCCAACAGCAACAACAATGCCCATCACCATGAACACCAACCTCTTCCCCACGGATCTTGATCTCGATCTTGACATGACCAAGGTAAGCTTAGTCGGAATAAGCAATTTCTCAAATTGCCACACTCTCCTCATGACACCTGCAGCACAGACAGCTAACACGCCATTACCCCAGATGAACATGCCCTTCAATGGCGGCTACGGCGCCACTGGCTGGGACAACGGGCTCTCTTACTCGCCCGACGTCTTCATTGAGGACCCCTCCTTCGACTACTTCTCCATGTTCTCCAACAACGGAGCTTCCTCCAATGACTTCATGAGCTGGCCTGCGAGCCAGCCCTATGCGGCTGCTGCCCCCACCGCCACCTCTCCTGCGGACTTCCTCAACTTCCAGGACATGGACTACCTCAGCGAGAGCGCCGGCTCTCCCGGTGAGATGACCGACAGCTCTAGCTCGCGCGGCACTTCCCGCAAGCACAGCCGCGCCGACGACAGCGACTCGTCTGCCGCCGAGGAGCCCGTGTCTCCCCGCACCACCACTCGCCCGGCCACCAAGAAGTCGCGCCCCTCCCCGCGCTTCGGCAAGCCCTCCACCAAGATCTCCAAGTCCTCCTCCAGCAGCAAGGCCTCCTCATCAGCCGCCTCCGAGACCAGCAGCAAGCCCAGCGTCGCTCTGCGCACCGCTCCCCGCAAGGTCAAGTCGGAGAGCAGCAAGAGCTCGCCCGCCACCCCTGAGGACGACCTCACTGCTGAGGAGCACCGCGCTCGCCAGAGCCACAACCTGGTCGAGAAGAAGTACCGCAACCGTCTCAATGCCCAGTTCGAGCAGCTGCTCGCCGTCCTGCCTGCCGATCAGCAGCGCGAGGCCACCACCTCGTCCAAGCGCGGCTCCCAAGACGCCGACGAGAAGCGCATGAGCAAGGGCGACGTCCTCGACCTCGCCCGCCGGAGGATCAGGGCTCTCGAGCAGGAGAAGGCCCGCCTTCAGGCCGAGCGCGCTGCTCTCCTGGAGACGGCCAGCTCTATGAGGGGCATGACTTCTCCCATCATGGCTTGAGTTGCCTGTTTTGTTGTCTGCTCATGATGATTGATGACGCTCTGGCCGAGAGCCAGTTTCTCTTGGTTCTTTGTTCAATGGGATATTTTAGCGAGGCGTTCCGGGGACGAGCGACTTGGCCGGGCCGCAATAAGCGGAAACCCGCAGACCAGTCAGCTCATGCGAGTTTTGGATGATGAATCTTGTTGTTTCTATCTGCGCTGCGATACTTGCGCGCACAATCTTATATACCAGCCTTATTAAAGGCAAGGCAAGACTGGCTAGAGCCGGCATAATTTACAACACTCATAACAACCACTTTGCCCCTGACCATCTCTTGCGATTATTATTGATAAGGTGAAGCTCGGTGAGCAGCGAGAATCGTGCCGGGGCCAACTTCACCGTGATGAATCATCTTTCCTGGCTGCTAGATGCAGAGCCTCTTTATTGACGTTACTGCCACCTCTGATCAATATGGTAGGGAGAGATAGAGCGACTCCCTTTAAAGCCAGATTCTCCAAGCTCTCAACTGAAATAAGCCTGGAGCTACTCATCGATGATATATCGTGACGACAAGGACAAGTCTGTAACGCAGCTCACCAGTAGGAAGGAGCGAGATCAAAGACAGGGGTTGTCCATGCTCGCCTCGTCCGCTCCCGATGATCTAGATGCACAGCCGTATAGGGCTGACAAGGGCCATTAATACGGTTAGACAGCCACCCGTAAGCTGCAGGCCTGCCGTCGATGACGATAGAAACACGGCACCGAACACCCCCCCTACCTAGCTTTTCGCACTAAGGCAAGGAACGAAGCTCGGGCTCCCGGGAACAAGCATGCAACCTAAGTGCCCGCTGCCATGGGACGTTTGTTCCGTGTGACGCTTAGATGATGTGCCCCTGGGGGTGTGTACCAGCGCGGTGGGAAGGCGCCAAGGCCTTCAGATCATACGTTTTTTTTTTCTTTCGTCGGTGTGGTCGAGGGAACAGGGCTGGCCGCCTAGGCGAGCCCCCCCCCCAGCAAATCGGAGCGTCGCAGCCTCCTTCGATAACCCCTGGATCTGACCCTCAAGAACGGAGGCAAGTGGGCTTTAAATCCGCCGGGGTGGTACGATCTGTGTTGCGAACCCTCGGCGGCTGACCCATCGAGCCGGGACCAGCCGTCTGGCTTGGGGGACTGGCGGGGGGAGAGATCGAATCAGGGTCCGGAGATCGTAGCGAAATGGAACACTTTGATCGCTTGGGTGTATATAGTTGATAAGATAACAGCAAGAAACCCGATTGATTGTGTTTTAGTGGTACTTGTCCAGCCAGTTGTATCCGATTTCCCCCCCTTTTTGGCAAAGGTGAGGCTGCAAAATGGGGCCCGGGCCGTGATGATTCATCGACGGCGTCATCCGCTTGTGGGCGTCATCGACCAACTCCCTTTACAACGCCGTGCAGAATGCTGCAATTATGCTTCAAAAAATGGGAAGGAGAAAAAGGAAAGAAAGAAGAGTCATGATGCTTTTGAATTGATCGATGGTGCGCCCTAGTGCTGAGCTTTGTGAGATAAAAAGGGGGGAGTATCTCGCGTCGAGCATCCAACTTTAACGCAACAACTCGAATCAAAAAAAGCTTCATCGATCACCAAAATTCTCTTTCCCCCAAAGACTAGCATCATTAAAAGAATGTCTTCTAAGCGCAACCTCGGTGAAGTCCCGGCCGACGTGCCCACCGGCGAGGACAACGACAACAGCTACGTCTCGCGCTCGGGCCACAAGGGCGAGGAGATCCCCGTCGTCTCGGACCAGGAGCGCATCGAGGACCCCATCGATGCCGACGTCGCCGACTCTGACGAGCAGCTCGGTATGTCATACATAATAACGGGGGGGAAGAGATAGACTCTCACCGTCTCAAAAAAACTCATACTAATCTGTGTTTTATGTGTATTCTATAGAGCGTGACGACAACGATGCTATCGATACGGACAACATTATTGACGAGCGGACCCGCGGTGCCAAGCCTCGTGAGGGCTATGCCGAGCCCGGTGACGAGGAGGGTCTTCCCGGCCCGGAGGACGGCACCAGCTCGAATTGAGTTGCCGGCGAACAGATATATGCTTGATTAGTGCGCCTATTTTCTACCATAGTTCCTCGAGGCGCTGTAGACACATAGGCAATAAACAACTGAGCGGGCATGTCACATATACTCTTCGTCGGGGAGGTCTTATTCTTATCGACTGATAGCAGATATGGAAACTTGAGGTTTGAACTGTGATGACATAAGACTCGATTTGTCTCTGCCAATGAAGGGTTGTACGTCCTGGAGTCAAAAGGCATGTACGGAGTATGGGGCCTTAATCCTAGTCGAGTTGTTGCAACCACAGTCAAGAGTATCCGTCCTATCCGTGAAACCTCGTGACAAAGGACGCCATTACGAAAGCTTTGTAAAGGTTTAGTGATGTTTGCGGGTATCGCATCTCGACACGAGGTTGCATTCTGTCAGCGTTGGGCCTTCAGCCGCGGTCCACACTCGGCCGAAACCGCCAACGACGTCTGTTTCAATTGGGTGAATCTTGGCTTGAAAAAAACGCTTCGATTTAGATTCAGGGTCCGCAAGGAGTTAGCGATCCTGCAGGCCACTAAGTGCCGGATAGCGACTTGATGCTTGCACTAGCATTGCCACTGGAGGCTTGTTTAGACTGTCGAGGGCGGAGGGCCGGTATCGCGATAGAAAATGCTCGTACCATAGACACAGATCTGATCCACTTGCCGCTCTAAGTAATCCCAGGGCCGGTTATGCGGCACGGCGTACTCCGTGAGGTCGATTCTACGTCGAAGGATTTGATTCCGACTTCCAAGCTTCCAATCCTCTGGAATCATTGCGGCGTTGTTGATGTTGGATATCTCTAAGCAAGTGATTGTGATAAATGCTTTGAAGTGAACAAATGTTTACCTTGACCATGAAAGCGTCCAACCAAATCGAGAATGTTCTGAGATGCGCGAGCAGGGTAGAGACACCCTGACCGGAGCAGCCCAGGCGTCGGCCGGCGTTATTATCACAATTCCCGGGAGCCATGTGGGACGGCTGCAACGCTAATGATCTTATCTTTTCAGGGTAGAGAGATCCTTCCTGGATCTTGACTTCTATAAGATCTCTGTCGATCTCATCTAATCAATCTAATCTGATCTGATCCGACCGTCCATCCTTTCATCTGTTGCTCTTGCCTACAGTTCGAGATGGCTTCAACGACCCAGAACGAGGAGCCCGACGTACGGGATGAGAAGTCCGATATTTCTGTTACTGAGGAGCCACGTTGTATGCATGCACCCCTGCACCACTTCCACCTTCTGATCAGAACTGACTTTGTGCGTCCAGCCGAGCCAGCCTCTTCAACCGAAGAGATCTTGTATGCCGCAGGAGTAGGTCTTCAGAAAGATGACCCTACCCTGCCATGCCTCACGCCCCGGATGTGGGTGATCGGCATTTGTTTCTGCCTGTTGGGCAGCGGCGTCAACACTCTCTACACCTTCCGGTTTCCCTCCGTGACGCTCTCGCAGTCAGCCATCCAATTCCTTGCATATCCGGTCGGCAAGGCCTGGCAATTCATCGTGCCCGACTGGGGCTTCACACTGTTTGGTCGGCGCCATAGCCTGAACCCAGGCCGTTTCAACTACAAGGTTTGTATCCCCATGAGGACTATCTGACCCTATGCTAGTCGCTGATGCCCCGGGCAAAGGAAAACATCCTGATCTACATCTTGGCCAACTTGAGCTTCCTCACCAGGCTCAGCGCTGATGTACTGACTGAACAACGCGTATTTTACGGTCTAAAGGCCGGCTGGGGATTCGAGATATTGATCACTCTAGCAACTATCCTGTACGGATTCGGCCTGGCTGGCCTTGGTCGCTCGCTCGTGGTAGAGCCCAAGAGCCTGGTCTGGCCTGGCGTTCTCGGCAACACGGCCCTGAACGCTGCGTTGCACACTGACAGTAGCGGACAAGTGGAACAGTGAGTACTTCATCTCGTGTGGATCTTAGCTAGCATCACTGATCAGAAATGGTTTTGAGGGGCCGATGGAAAGCGTCTCGGTACAAGTTCTTCCTTACCGCCTTCTGCCTCTCCTTCTGCTGGTATTGGCTCCCCGACTTCATTTTTCCCGCCCTGGGCTACTTCACCTGGGTCTGTTGGACGGCGCCGAACAACGCAGTCGTCAACCAAATCTTTGGGATGAAGAGCGGTATTGGTCTGTTACCATTCACCTTTGACTGGTCGCAGATCGCGTATATCGGGTCGCCGCTGGTCGTTCCAACCTGGGCGATCCTCAACGTCCTTGCTTCTCTCGTCTTTTGGATCTACATCATCTCTCCGGCCCTCTACTATACCAATACGTGGTACACTGCGTATCTCCCCATGCAGAGCAACTCCATCTATGACAATATGGGTAAGACTTTCAACGTGTCGAGAGTGGTCAACAAGAAGGATGGCTTTACGTTCGATGCCGAGAAGTTTGCCCAATACTCCGATGTGAGTTCTTTCTGTGACGCTACCCGCTCTTCGCAGCTGCAGGCACTGACCTTTCGTTGTAGATCTATCTCCCCGTGACCTATGCCCTCAACACATTCGGCCTGTCTTTTGCAACTATCGCTTCGCTCTTCGTCTGGTTATTCCTGGAGAAGCGCAAGGAAGTTGTCCAGAGTTTCAAGGCCTCTCCTCTCGTCTCTCTCTTCAATAGACAGTCGACACCCAAGGAGACGAAGGATTCACCCTATGAGGAAGTGCCGACGTGGTGGTATGCAGTGGCAATCGCGATGGCTCTCGGCATCGGCATGTTCGCGTGCGAGTACTACCCGGTGCAGCTGCGCTGGTACGGCGTGATCTTCGCCATGGTCGTCTCGGCAGTCTTTTACATTCCGGTATGTTGCCCCAATGTGTACGCAAAAACCAGGCCCTGGGCTAATTAATACCTTTCACAGCTTGCTTGGGTCTATGCTGCTACCAACGTCAAGATCCAGATCGATATTTTCTGCCGCATTGTAGCGGGGTACGTCTGGGAGGGCAAAGTCATCGCAAACATCTGGTTCTTTGACCTGGGTTACATTTCCGGGATTAAGGGCCTGGCGTTCTCGCAAGACTTGAAGCTGGGCTTATACTGCAATGCAAGACTCCTCTCATCTCGTCTCCCTTGTGTGTGTAATTGGTTCGCTAACATGTGTAATCTCGTACAGATCCCACCGAGGAGTCTATTCCTCGTCCAGGCGGTCGGCCTAGTGATGGGGACCTTGGGCCAGGTCTCCGTGCTGAACTGGGCGCTCAACCACATCCCCAACATCTGCGACCTGAAAAAGGCCGAGAACGGCTTCACCTGCCCCTTCTCCCGGACGCACTTCAACACCAGCATGGTCTGGGGCGCGCTGGGGCCCCGGCGCTTCTTCGCCGAGGGCGCCCTGTACCGCTCCCTGCTGTGGTTCTTCCTCGTGGGCGCCGCCCTGCCCGTCGTCGTCCACCTCGTCCAGAGGAGGCCCGCCCTGCGAACCGTGCGCTGGCTGCAGAACGTGCACGTCCCGCTCTTCCTCGGCGGGCTCAACTTCATCCCGCCGGCGTCGGGCACCAACTACGGCAGCTGGGCCATCGTGGGCCTCGTCTTTGCCGTGCTGATCAAGCGGCGCCAGCGCGAGTGGTGGCGGCGGTACACGTTTGTGCTCAGCTCGGCGCTGGACTGCTCCGTGGCCATCGCGGGGATCCTCATCTTCTTCGCCATATTCTACACCGGCGCTGCCAAGCACTTCCACTGGTGGGGGACCACGGTGTATCAGGTAAGTCGGGACAATTATTCTTCGCTTTCGTTCTCTCGTTGCTAACACGCCCCGGAAGAACACTTGCGATTGGAAGGGATGTCCATACAGGACGATTGCGAAAGGGCAGAAGTTCGGGCCATAATACCTCAGATGGCCAAAGAGTTTGGTGTCGAAGTATTCATGCTGATATTCCATATGGGAAGAGGCTAGAGGCTAGAAAGAAGGAGGCTGCTCGCGATATTCAAATATTCAGAGGGTGAAGATGCCGGTGCCCAGGAGAGTAGAATGGCGGATCACAGCACCTTCCAATCCAGCAATCGAGAGAGAATTGCATTTTATATAGCAAAACGTTGAGATTTGCTTTCAGAACACACGTTTCCCTTGACCGAAGATGAAGCGAGTCCCTGGTTGGTTGCATAGTAGCCCCGTGTAGGTAGTTTTCAAGTCACTATCCGCAACTCCTGGATCTTTTATCGTTTGCGAGCCTGGTAGCATCATGACCGAGATTTTGTTCATGCCATCCTGATTCCATCCCGATGACACCCCGAGGCCACTGATGCAAAATATCCCAGATAACACGCAGACATTTCCATCCCCATCCTTTCTATAACTCTTAGATTAATAATTCTGTAGAGATAGTGCCATCCGGCATCGTTAATGCCGACCTGCATCTGCATGACCTTCCTGGCATGGGAGACATATTCGACTCCGCTCTTGTCAGGTCGCCGAGGACTTCCGTGAGGAATCGGATTAGGCCGACCGTCCTAGGATCGCGAATCTGCGCGAGGGCCTTTTTCCCTGGGCGGCCTTGAGGAGGTCGCAGATGTCTTGCCAGACCATTCGCATCTTCGCCAGCTCCATCGCCTCCGCCAGCTTGCGGAGGGCAGAGTCCATGCTCGCCTGCTTGACGCTGCTCCAGTGTCGGCAGAAAGAGTTGAAGAGAGCCGGGGCTCTCGGGAGGTCCACGGTGTTCTGCGCGGCCATGGCAGAGGTCCAACCCTCAATGCTACGGAGTACTACGAACTTACGGATCAACCAACACCTGGTTTCCAAGATTGAGCTTGCACAAATGAAGAGATAACTTTTGAAATCACATGTATCCTATCTCTCGACATCCAGGCCGTAGATATGCCAAATCGACAGGGGGCAGTATCCAAATCACATCGAGCTATCCAACCGAACTTAACTACCCAAGACTACATGCCTGGGGGCATCTTGAATCTCAAACTTGACCAAGAGCGAGCACTTTGTCTCGCGGCCCTTGAGGTCCAGCATGCGGATGAACCGCCACTCGGGCTGCGTGTACATGAGCCGCACCGCCGCGACGGCGAACTTGGGGTTGCGCGCGAAGCTGTCGTCGCTCTTGACCAGCAGGCGCAGGAAGACGAGCTCGCTGTCCTCGTAGTCCCACTCGAGCGTCTCGTCCCACACCGGGTCCGTGGCCGGCGGGTTCTCGCCGCGGTGCAGGAACCCGGAGAAGTTGTGGTGGCGGTAGGGCGACGTCTTGCGCTTCATGGCCGAGATGTTGGAGTAGTCCTCGCCGTCGAGCATCTTGGGGTGCACGAGCGTGCAGGTCAGGTACGGCTTGATGTCGTCGGCCTCGCGGCCCGCGGGGAGGGGCACGCTCGAGGCGCCGGCGACGTGCAGGCGGAGGCGCTTGCGCTGGCCGGAGAGCGCGCCCGAGCCGCCGGCCCGTAGCTCGGCGGGCTTGAGGACGTAGCCGTCGGAGCCGGAGAAGAGGGCCTCGTTGAGCTGCATGCTGGCGTTGAAGGTCTGCCAGTTCAGGGCGCAGACGTGGGCGCCCACCGCCCAGAACGGTACCGGGTTGAGGTTCTTTGACGAGATGCGCGTGCCCTTTGGGTAGACCCGCATGAGATGGTGCGCGTTGTGGTTGGAGATCTTCTCGGCGTGGGTCGGCAGAAGCCCAGAGAGGCCAGACTCGGACAAGTTGATGAGGTGGTGGTGCGGACCGTTGGTCATCTTGGCTTGCGCATACCACGAATCGTCGCCGGGCTTCACGGACTGAGCATAGACACCAAGCTCGGCGAGCTCGGGAATGATGACGGCGCTCTCGGCGGCCTCCTTCTGGGCCTTGTACTCCCTTCGGGCCTTCTCCGCCTCCTCATCCTCGGCGTCCGAGCTCGAGACGGAGCTGGTGCCATCATCCTGCCTGAGCTCGTTCGGAATGTGGTACTCGACAATGACGGCGATCTTGGACCCGAGCTCGTCCAGCGTGACATGCTCGCCCGTGCCATGCTCCTCCTCGTGACCTTTCTCCCGAACGTGTCTGCTGAGCAGCCGGTCGCCCCAGGTCTCCCTCATGATCTGAACGAGACGGAGCTGGCCCTCAGGCTTGCAGTGATTCTCGAGAGACACAAGAATCGGCGCGGCACGGTAGCCCTGAGCATCGACGGCCTCGGCGGCCTCCTTGTCCACCACGTCGCGGATGGTCTCGCAGACGGCCCGGAACGGGATGTGAGAGACGAGGGTGTACCCGTGCGTCACCTTGGGCTCGTCCGCGTTCTCGCTATTGTCCCAGGCGTCGATCTCGATGCACCGCGCCCCGGCCCGGAGCGTCGTGTCGTAGGCGCTGGCCGCCGAGGTGCCGTACAGCTGGTGCGCCATGAGGTACGTGTTGTGCGACGAGCTGACAAAGTACTCGGGCAGCGGGCGCGAGCGGTCGGTGACGCTGGGCGGCACCCTGATGTGCGGCAGCTTGGCGAGCTCGCGCACGGCCGGGGTCTGCTCCTCCGGGTCGTCGAGCGCGGCCTCGCGCTCGGACAGCGCGCCCACGTTGACGAGGAACGAGCGCAGCGCGTGGCTCACGCGCAGCTGGCTCCTGGTGATCTCCGACTCGCGCGAGCCGTGGCCGCCGCCGGCGATGCTGCCGCTGCCGACCTCCTCGCCGTACTCCTCGTCGTCATCGCCCCGGCGCGAGCTAGTGAACGGATTGAGCTTAGCGAGCCGCGACGACAGACCTGATTCAGCCATGGCCTGGTGGTGATTCTGTGCCCTAGTGTTCTTTTCCTTTCCCTGCTTTTTTTCCCTTTTTGACGATTTGTGCTCGATGAAAGACCATGAAGCTGCAATTAAAAAGGCCTCGGAACGACCGAAACAATCAATGCTGGCGGTGCTCGGCTTGGCTGACGACGTGCGTGTCTAGTGCAGCTGGAGGTGTCATCTAGTCAGCAAGGATACTCAGCTCTCACCCTATGAGGACGAAATGGAGGGGCTGGAGTCGGTGGGGGCCTTTTGCCGGTCTTCCATCTTGGTACGGGGCGGCGAATCATCTCGAGTCGCGGAGTAGCAGCAGCAAGTAGTCGCCAGCATGACACCTCATTAGGTTCGAACTCTAACAAAAGGACGGCGTCCGCTTCCGCCCCGTGATGCGGCGTGTGGAGGTGTTGCCAGCAGCGGATCTAGCTGGTGAACCCCGAGATCCCATTCAACGGCCCGACCTTGTCACACTTCATCGGAGACGCAGGCACATGCGTCTGGGGAATCACAATGCTATTAGAGGCAGGTATTATGCATGTGTGAACTTTGCTCCATTTTGCCCCGAAACGGGGCCCCCAAAACGCCATCGCTCGACTGAACCGGTTATCCATGACAGCGCCTCACAAAATCTCATCCATGTCCATTTCTTCGTCTACCCCTGCGTGGTCCAATCCGTGGCTGTCATCGTCGTATTGGAGGAATTCATGCATCGCGTCGTTGATGAATTGATCATCCAATGCAAAGTCCAACATCGCATCGCCACATAAAGGCGTTGGGCGATCCTGCTGAGCGACTGGAGACGATGCGGCATTATTGTTGATGACTGCTGATGACGGCGTACCGGCCAAGGGTGACAACCCATCGGATGTTAAATCACCACCAGCAGAGGCTTGCGGCGAGGTAAGACTTCCGGAAGCACTTGCGCTGCCTGCGACCGGCTGCGGTCCCGTGTAAGACGACGGTTCACCGAGCGCAGCCCGGAGGATCGCAAAGGCATCGTCGCCAGCATTGTAGGTGCCTTGCAAGTCGATAAGCACGTTCATGCATTCGCGAAAGTACTTCCCAGCCAGCGCCCTAGCGCCGGGGGCCGGGTTCTTCATCTCGATGAGATGAATGATCATGGCCGGCAATATCGCGGTGACACCGGCTGGCGGGAGAAACCTCTTCAGGCTCAAGTGGTGCAGCTCCGTGGCCATGTCGGCGATGTGTATCGCTGCGTCGAGGACCTTCAACCTGGAGCGCTCGCGGTTTCCTGACCGCGCCGCCAGCGAGTTGTTTGGGGACTGGCATTGCGGCCGATGGAGCGTTGAGATAGACGTATAGTATATCATGAACAGCAGTGTTCGCTGGACTGCGATATTGGACCTCCCGCGCTTCACATCTGTCAGGACGGAAGTGTGCCCTCGGCAGCAAGGGGGCAGAGACTGAATCCATTCGTCGAGCTCGATGTCGAGCGTCTCGACAGTGGCAGAGGTGGCCTTCGGATTTGGATACAGCAGCACCCCATTCGCTCCAGGCGCGGTCGAGGATCGGAACTGGGGAGTGTATATCGTCTCCAGAATGTGACCCACGCACACGCACAGCTTGGCCATGGCGATGCACATGTTGGCCAGATCTCGGCGCATCTCAGAGTCGAGCAACGATGAACTTTCGTCCTCCATGATCATGATAGAGGTGGTCGATATCTCAACGTCGAAATCGCTCTCCTCGAGCATGGGCACCTCGAACGTGCCCTCTTTGATCTTGGGGGGTCTTCGAAGGCCGAGGGCTATTTGCCGGTCTCTGATATAGCATGACCACCATATCCGCTTGCGAAGGAGTTGATCCGGAGTGCTAGCAGGTGTGGGCTGGTAGTGGAGGTCCATACCACGGGCCAGGCTGACCGCGAGACCGATCCAGTGCGAGAGGTCCTTTTCATCGTCGAGGCCGTCATGCCAATAAGTCATGAGCAGAAGCGCCTGTAGCTGAACTAGAGGTTCACTCTCGCAGTCGAAATCGTACAGAAGCTATCAGACCATCAGCATTTGGGGGGAGAGAGAAGATCATGGGGACATACCCTGGTCCTGCGGAATAAGACTCTCCTCGCATCTTTGCGTGTTTCAAATCCAGCACTCCGGAGAAGGCCAAGGTCGACGTAGGCGGCGCCGGCGAACATGACGGCTTGGAACAGAAGTAGACTGATCTTTTCAGTCTTGAGCTGGAAGGTCGTGTCGATGAGATCACCCGGATCGATGATAGGCATGTAAGGGTAGACAAATTCGACAAAAGAGTGTAGCAGACTGTTCATCAGAGACTGACTCGGCACGTCGAACACTTTCTTTTGTTCAAGGTACTCAAGATCTTCAGGGCTAATACGTCTCGACAAGGGTCGGATGAAAGCAGGTAGCTTGATGGGATCAGAGGAGGAGGTAGCACCTTTAGGCCGGGATGGCTTGATAGCAGGTTTAGCCACATCGTCAAGGCCGTAACTGAAGACACCATCTTCGGGCAGGAGCGTGGCTATATCGATCTCCTTTGCGTAACTCTCCACTCCGCCGAGGCGAATGGACGGTGTCCATTGTACATCGGACTTGGAGCAGATACTCGAGGACGGTGAGCCAGCATCCTCAGTAGTGGTCGTCTTGTCCGTTTCGTCTCGAGCTCTGTGCACGGTCAGCAGTCTGGCCCCGGCGTAGGATGGGTGCATTGTATGATAAGATTTCTCGAAGGCAAGGTGGACTCACTTCTTCTGGGTCCTCTTTTTCACAACGCACTAACAGAACCCTGTCAGATCATATCAACACATCATCTGGGGGAGTGCAGCGTGGTACCTACCTCCACACCTCGAAAGCGGCAGTTGGAGCACGGGGACTCCTCCACCACGTTACAACGGACGCGGCGCTGGCGACAGGCCAGACAGGCACGGCTGGCCCGCTTGTTCTGCGATTTGCGTGTTTCTTTGGGGTCCATCTCGGCAGGCTTGTGACTCTGGGGACCCTCGCCGGGTGCCGAGGCATGGCCGATGGAGGCCGGAGACCCTGAATCATCCGGGACTAATTTTATCTCCGGGATGGTCGGGATTTGGGCTTCGTCATTCTGAGCGCCAGACATCGTCGCCAAGATCGGTTGACATATATACAGAAGCGCGTTTTGATGTCTTGAGCCTCAATTCTTGGAATCGCAAATTGATTGGAGGGTTCAATGTGAAATCGCGCTGTCGAAGGGCTGGCGGGAGTTTCGTCTGGGGGGCTTTAATGGAGTGGATTATCATTAAGCCTGGGGACGACGCTAAGTCGGGCAGTGCCGGGCCTGGAACGTGCAGTCTGGGCGGCACAGATGCCGGCCGGCGCAGCCGGTGGCTCCTCGTCCAGCCCCACTGGCATCCAGTACAAGTACAACTTCCCCACGCGGTCGTGCCGCAGACTAGACGGCTAAAACAACCAAGGTTTGGACCACCTCAAGCCTCTTGGGTGGCTTGCATCTGGAAGGGTTCTAGGCATGATATCATGGTTTTAGGTTATGTCTCCAACATATTTCATATTAATGTTCCATACGGAGCTCACGGAGGCCAGTGGTCAAGTGGAACAACCGTCTGGCTGGTTTTGATGATAACTCAGCAAGCTGGAGCTGTTCTGGCTTTGGTTTGCTCGAAAAAGGTGACGACGAAAGGCCTTGGCCTATTGCCATCGGATCTTACATTCGATAGAAGATAAAACTGTAATTGCATGATTGCGCAGAATATAGTATGGGGTCCAAGCTGCTTCCGAGGTCGCTGTATGCACAACCATCTTACACAACCGGCTTTGGCTCCTCGTGAAATGATGTCCTAACCAAGTCTACACGCTTTGAAATACCACCCGTCTTGCACGGCCCCGTAGTTTCGCCATCGCTGTCACGACCTCCCACGCTCCCTTTTGTCGAGTCAGCGGTGAAGATGTATTGTTCGTCGCTCTTCCGTCCTGGGTCTGGCTTCGCCGGGCCGGAGACGGAGGTAGTCTGGCGGCTCTTGCCTTGTCCTCGCCACATTTCGGGGGTGGAGTCGGGGTTTGAGAGATGCGACAGGTTGTAGCCTCTGCCTTGGCGTGGGTTGTCCAAGTAGTACGCCGAGCTGTTCTTGGTTGAACCGAACAGGCGAGGGAACATGCGACCCAGGGGCTTCTTGAGCACCGGGAGACACGAGCAGATGATGCCGAGGTTCGCCTCGACGAGGGTCCAGATTCCGCGCGGGATGAAGTTGAATGTAAGATCGTCTTTGTTCTTGAGCGAGTTCTGCACCGATGTGACTCGGATGATGGAGGCGATGGTCACACTGGATGTGATATGAAGGTTAGCTTCCTTGCTGAACTGGACTGTCCCATTCGGGGGCGCAGAGGCGACGTCGTGCAACTTACAAGCCACCAAGGCAGAAGATGCCGCAGAGCAGCATCTTGTCCCGCACGCTCAGCTTCAGCCTTAGGATGGAAGGAATAGGGAGTGCCAGGACCATGACATCGGTCACGATGTTGCCGACCGCATAGGCGATCCAGAATTGGTCCGAATCAATGCATGTCGCCTTGATAGACTTGTCCCACGCTCCTTGAATGGGCACGCACTGGCCGATTGTCGCGCCGACCGTGGCAATAGTCCATGCGGTGATGATGGAGAGCACCACGTAGGCGGCAATGCGAAAGCTCCGGGTGACGAAAATGCCAAGGCAGAACAGGACGATGGCTACTTTGTTGAGGCCGACGGTGATCTTGTAGGGCGTCTGGGCGATGAAGAACTGCCTCAAGGTCGTTCTGAGCTCGGCCTTTGTGAGGTCGGCCTTGTGCATACCATAGCCATTCGAGATGGCGAGGCACATCATCGTGGAGAGCACCACGGAGAAGCCCTGAGGATTTTAATCAGCAAACACAGTCAGAGAGCTGGGGTCTCGGCAGCCGGCAGACGCCTAATCGCAAACACTCACCAATGAGACGATGATAGCGACATCATCCCAGCCGATTTTGCCCAGCATCCAAATGCGGGTTGTACAGCGGGCGATCACGAACAGGCCTGCGAGGATGATCATTACCACAGCGGTGATGGACATCTGCCAGCCGTGATTGTCGATCCCATTCTGGGGGAAGCCCATGCCATACGGCCCCATCTTGTCAGAACGTGTGCTTTCGAGGGTAAGCCCGTCTGACTGGGATGGAGAAGAGGAGAGGGACGAAGATGGAACGAACCAGTCCCGCTCGAGGCCGCATATATGAAGAATTTGACAGCTTCTCACATGGTATGTTGTGTGTGTGTTGTACCGCAGGGGGTTCGTCCAAAAGCGTCGATGCAAGAGATTTCATAAAAATCTCTTTGACAGCCAAAGTAGATAAGTGCTGCAAAATCTCCTTCAGCCCCCAGACAAAGATTACCTGCAAAGGGCCTAGACAGCGGACTGCCTAGTAGCAAGGATGTACCTGGTTGTACAATAGCTCGGTTGCAGGTCGGGTGGCTGTGGCCGGGGGGTTGGATCTCTAGTGGTTTCTTCTGGAGTAGTTCCAAGGAGGTAGCGTGCGCCAACAGACCACTGGGAAGCTGATCCTGTGAGTCGGAGTACTCGGTAGTCCTCAACCTTACCGATTTCGTACAAAGGAAAAGGGGTTCGTCACTCCTTCAAAGTGTTCACTCTGATACCAGCGTGGAGGCAGTTCATGCCAAAGGATCGATTCCTCGCCCGGTTTCATACCCGCGCCGAAGTCTGTGCTGAACCGTTGCTCCCGAAACGCCTCCTGTCGTCCCGGAGGCACGAACGGGTCCAGGTCCTCTCGGCGTCGACTGCTTTTCTTCGACTTATTCCTCAAATTGATAGCAAGCCCGACCGGCTCCAGCGGTAGTCAGATTAGTTTGATGGACGAGCTGGGAACAGGGCTGGCAACAGAGGTACTCGACCCATTCCATCGAGCCCACCAATCTCAGGTAGTGGGATGGCCCCTGTGGTGGTAACTCTTGATAAAGTTCTGTCAAACATGCTTATCCCTGTCTGATCGGCGAACCTACCTTATGTACGGAATAGGTCCCACGTTTGCGCGATTTTACCCCCCAAGATACCCACTCCACCCTCGAGTCCCGGGCTCGTCAGGATTATAGTGCTTAGGCCAAGAATAAGGGACCTTCGTAGTCCCCTTTAGCGGCCTTCACCTTTCTTTTGATCATTCCATTTTTCCTGTAGGTCACGCTGGACCACGAGGCCGTCGTCTTGTGCAAGCAAGGGGGTCAACCATGGCAGGAGTGGAAGCAGGCCTGTAACCTGTAAGCAATGGAGTCGAGACCCTGGCTAGCAATCTTAGGATATGGTCGGCTGGGCCTTGGGATTCTCGATGTGACAGTGCCATGCTCTGGACCCCGGGCCCCGCCCCCTTGCAGCACTGCCGATCTCCTTGTAGGTACATACCTATCCACAGAGCCAGACTCTCTCATTCTCAGCATCAAGCTCCTGAAGACCCTGAAGACCAGACCGAGCCGAGATATTGCGTAGGAAGCGATTGGCAAGCTCCTTCTACTCGGTCTTAGGTAAGCCTAACAATAAGAAGACCTTGATATGCATGGCTCTGCCATTAGTTGGATCCTTGATCTATTTATTATCTAGGATCTCTTCCCAGCAAAACCTGGACGGGACGTCGACTAGATCAAATGCGTACACGAAGTATGGCTAGAGTCGGCCGCCCCCCGCCCCCCGACGCCAGAGCCGGGGCTACTGAATAATAAGTAGGTAAAGTTGCATGAAGGCCGAGCTTCCCATATTCCAATTGTCGCTAGTTAGGCGGCCTTCCAAGGCAATTAGTCGACCGAAACGGGGAGCGCGGGCTTCATGTTCTCCATCACTGTTCTTCGGTCTCCACCGGCGTCGCATTGCAGGGTTGGATTCTTTGCATGCGCGGCGCCTTAAATACTGGTACTCGTAAGCCTCATTGGCTTGTTGACATTTCGTTCCTCACCCATTCACCTCTGTGTGTTGTACCTGTCTGGTGTTGCCGTCGTCCTCATCATGTTTTCGACACTGGTGCTCGGAGCTCTCACGCTGTGCTCGACCATCGCGGCCGCCCCCCCTCCTCAACCTCCTTGTGGCAATTGCCGGGATGCGGCACAATACCTGACGGTCGACTCATCCAATGGGCCCATCACAGGACATTTGGCGCCAAACACCTCGTGTGTCGTCGAGTATCTTGGCATTCCCTATGCGAAGCCTCCAGTGGGCGACCTGAGGTTTGCGCCTCCGCAGAGGTTTGTCGCCACGGACCCGTACGAGGCCGCTGCGTTTGGCAATGATTGCCCTCTGACGGCGTCGAAGCCGGTCAACTACCCCGGCTTCACCCCGCAGGCTCAGAGGGTCATCAACTACTTCGCATCTGCAGCTGGCACCCCACAGAGCGAGGACTGCTTGACCCTCAACATCTGGTCCAGGCCTACGCCCAACTCCCGCAGAGCGAACAAGCCCGTTCTCGTCTTTTTCTACGGAGGACGTGAGTGCTAAACACCTTGATACGAGTTGCTGTGCTGTGTGCTGACATGCCTATGACTGCTAGGTTTCACCATTGGGAACACCAACAGCCCGTTCTACAATGGCAAGTACTTCGCGGAAGCCGAGGACATCGTCGTGGTCACGGTGAACTACCGCCTCAATCTCTTTGGCTTCCCCGGTGCTCCAGGCCAGCCCCAGAACCTGGGTCTGCGCGACCAGCGCGCCGCCGTCGAGTGGGTTCGGGACAATATTTGGCGCTTCGGCGGCAACCCGTCCAAGATCACCATTTCCGGCCAGTCCTCCGGCGGTGTCGGTGTTGACTTTTGGGCGTACGCGTACAAGAACGACCCCATCGTCCACGGCCTCATCGCCCACTCGGGCAATGCCTTCAGCTTCCCCGCCAACACCAAGACCGTGCAGGAGAAGAACTGGGACACAGTCGTGTCCGCCGTCAACTGCACTGGCGCCGCTGACACAATGGCCTGCATGCGCCAGGTAGACTGGAAGGTCCTCGAGGCCGCAGCTGCCGCCATCAGGCCCTCCAAGAGCACCAGCGTCCTCCGCTCCATCCCTGCCTTCTGGCCCAAGCCCGACAACGAGACGGTCTTCTCCGACTACGTCGGCTTGACCGCCAGCGGCAGCTTTGCCAAGCTGCCCATCCTCTTCGGCAACAACGACAACGAGAACGGCTACTACCAGATTCCGGCTTACGCCCAGGGCATCGTGCCCACCGCCGACCAGGTCAAGTCGTTCCTCCTCGAGTCCTTCACCTGCCCCGTCGCCTACCAGGCCGCCGCCCGCCGGAACCAGAGCGTCCCCTCCTACATCTACCGCTACTTCGCCGACTGGGACAACACCCGGCTGTACCCCACCTCTGGCGCCTACCACGGCGTCGACCTGCACATGATCTTCGGCGCCTCTGCCGACGTCAGCGGTCTGCCCACCAGCCCCGACCAGCGCAAGCTCACCAAGCTGATGCAGAAGGCGTGGTTCGCCTTCTCCGACGACCCGGCCAACGGCCTGGCCCGCGTGGGCTGGCCCAGGTTCGACCCCGACCGCAAGACCCTCATCCAGCTCGGTCTGAGCAACTCCCCCAATGCCCAGTTCACCAGCCCTTCCGATTTTGACGCGCCGTGCCCCAACGTCGTGATGGGCGCTCTGGCCAATATCGCTACTGCTGCCGCCGCAGTGGTGGCGGAGGTCGCCGACACGGTAGTTTAGATTGCTTTCAAGGCATACACGCTCTTTTAATAATCATAATTTCCATATGTATCATTAGATCATGAGATGTGCTTCTGGGAGAATCCGTTACATGAAAATAACGTTCTTCTCTATGTGGGGAGAATACCTGAGCAATCTCGTTTACCTCACCATTGTATATCCATAGAGCCAAAACATAGAAAGAAGCCATTGTATTTCTCATGTTAGACTACGCCAGTGCGGTCCAAGCCACACTTGTCTTATTGGCAACAGTGCCTTTCCAGGACAGCCCAGTTGCAGTCCAAGCCCGTCCTGGACCGTCCATGAGGGTCCAAGTTCGCCAGTCGGCCGTTTTGTCGGTTACCGAGTTGTTCAGGGCACCATCGCCGTTGTTGGTGGCGCCCTTTACCTCGTTGTCACCATCACCGCAGTCGTCGCCTTGTTCATCGTCACATCTCGTTCCGATCGCACCCTGCTGCCGTGGGTAGCTCAGATCCCCTGCACCGTTGCCGGCTTTGTACAGAAGGAGTGGCATGACCTCGCTGGTGTTTTTAGCCACAGCCAGACCCAGCCTCGCGGATGGATGTGGCGATAAATGTGAACGCGGTGGGTTTTTCGCTTTTCCCGGGTGCTCTGGGCACGAGCCCATATCTCTTTTGTCTTGTGTCTTTCATGAACTTGAAGTTCCGGACCATACCATGTGTGCGGCCCTAAGGTTCAATCTCCTTTCTAGAGAGTAATCGACAATTTCCTTTACTACCGTGCTAATCGAACGGTAGAAGATGGTCAGCAACAATGTTGTAGCGGTCTGGCGGAGTCATCCTTGGTTGGAGGCAAATACGGAATTACCACCACAGGCCTTCGGGAATAATGTGTAGTTCACTAGTAGATGACCACTCTTCCGTGGTGGCCTACGTATCTACGTCGCCTCTACAGCCTCCTTCTCCTTGGCAGCAAAATGGCCACCCGTGGCACTACGCTTGGGGGAACCTTGCCTCATGCCCTGCAATCGAGTCCAAATTGTTAATGCACCAGCGTGGCCACGCCCAATGTTTAACCAACCGGAGGAGGACCTCATCGTGCCCAGTCTAGGTTCAGACCTCGTTCCGGAAGCACAATCCGGACCATGTTACAGTATGATGGAAGCCGCCAAGCCCGGACTGTGCGTCACATGGCCGTTCACAAGTCTGTGTTGAGCGGGTCGACCTCACGTAAGCTTTAGTTATCGACTCCAGGCGTTCCGCAGCAAAATGTATAGATGCTTCTGACTCTTCCGTAATGGTAGCGGCGCCTCCATCACACGCGGCAATGACACGCAATCCGTCAATAGTTACTGCACATGGCACACATGTGCTCCTCTCGTCTGGTCATGCTGACCGATACGCCTCAGAAGGGGATGATATCACCACCCAGATGGACAGTCTCATGCTCATTTCTCAGTTTCAGTCCTCAAATGCAACGTGGATGCTTACTCACGCACCGAAAATCAGACAAATGTCAGGTGTCTGCACATAGCAACGCTATCCGGTGACGTCGAGCTCAAACTGGGTATAAAATTCAGATGAAGGCACGCTTTAGCGATGTTGAGTCTGGACATATCAATCGTGCCATTCGGGAAAAGAGGACTTGCAAAGATGTATCGAGGAAGCTTTCTGTCAGCAAACCTTTTGCTATTGTTGACATCGGTCAAAGCTGCATCGATTCTCTTCCAAGGAGGAATAATCATTGCCTTTGACAAGGCCTCGGAAGAACTTCGGGTCATTCGCAATGGAAGCTTGCTCGTTCAGAATGACCGTATTGTGCAGGTCTCTGATGCAGGCTCGATGAAGGCTGCGTCATCCATCTCAAACCAGACCCAGGTTATCGATGTGACGGGCAAGATCATCACCCCTGGCTTCATCGATACTCACCGTCACGGCTGGCAGACTGCGTTCAAGACTATTGCTTCCAACACAAGCTTGGTAGAGTATTTTGGCAGATACGGCGAGTTCGTGGCTGGTGATTTCTGGACAGCAGATGACGTCTATAACAGCCAGCTCGCAGGCCTTTACGATTCGGTGAATGGAGGAGTGACAACCACCCTTGACCACGCTCATCACACCTGGAGCAATGCTACCGCTGAAGCAGGCTTGAAGGCATCCATCGACAGTGGTGCCAGGGTTTTCTGGAGTTATGCCTTTCACAACGTGACCAACTACACCGTGGAAGACCAGCTCCCAAACTTTCGAGATATTGCGAGTCGTGGCGATTACAAAAACAGCCCTACGACAATTGGGGTTGCGTATGACTTTTTCGGACCGGCTCCTAATGTCAACGAGGTAAATGCGGTGATAGGCCTTGCCAAGTAAGTAGCATGGGTAGCAAGGATCACCAAGCGAATATTGACATTATTGGGCTATAGGGAGTTCAACGTGTCGGTCATTACCACCCATTCACTGCAAGGACCCTGGGGAAGTAAGTCACAGACTTGGTCGAATGACAACGGTCGTGCTTCAAAACTTTGCTAACTAGTTGGCAGTCACGAATTCACCCGAGGATTTCGAGTCCCTGGGAATCCTCAACATGTCCACGCCCATTGTCTTCTCTCACGCCTCCTTTCTTACTGCTCAGGGAGCAAGTCTCCTTCGCTCGACGACCCAACATATCTCCACCACGCCCGAGTCTGAGATGCACTACGGTCATACGCATCCAAAGTCCTTCTACATACAGGATCAAAGCGCCATCGGTATCGACACCCACTTCACTTACAGCAGCGATATCCTGACGCAGGCGCGCATCTGGCTTCAGCAGACGCGTTACGAGCTGTACAGCGATGTGCTGGAGCGGTGGCGCGTGCCCCCTAACAACCCCATGAGCGTGTATCAAGCATTTCTCATGGCCACCCGCAAAGGCGGCCTCGCGCTGCGCCGAGATGATCTTGGCGTCATCGCGGAAGGGGCCAAGGCCGACTTGGTAGTTTGGGACGGCGATTCTCCATCCCTTCTCGGATGGGTTGATCCCGTCGCAGCGGTGATCCTGCACGCGAGTGTTGGCGATATCGAAGCTGTACTCGTTGATGGCAAGTGGGTCAAGCGCGATGGTAAGATCGCGGTGCAAGGGTATGAAGAGGTGAAACGGAAGTTTTTGGAGACGGCGAAGCGGATTCAGGAGATCTGGCGGAACCTGCCGCTGCCCGATCCTGGGCAGACGTTCAATGGCGGGTTCCCGATTGAAAAGGCCGAGCAGGTGGATGTTTTGCGCGGACCTGGCGATGGATACGGGAATGTCTTTGTTTGAATCTTGTGATATGATTCATTGACGACACACACAAGATCGTCCCGTTGTTATTCTGAGCCTCTTTTTTCTCTCTAATAGTTTCCTTTACTGGGGAGAGCTTGAACTATGATAATGATCGTATCGAGAGTTTACAAATCTCCAACTTTTAATTATCTAATTATCATCAAGAGGCTTCACACATCTATCTCTCTCTCCGCCAAACCCTGCCGCTTATGTAGTCAGCTGAGAGGTCACAATGAGCGGGTAGAAGAGTCTACCCCAACTCTCAAGGTCCACGGCCCTTGATGAGCCTATGCTCTACACTATGAACATAAGCAGTGGGAGTCCCTAGAAGTCCTTGAAAAGCCCCGAAGGCCTTCGAGAGTTCTGCATTGCGCTGGAAAGAAATAAAGGCCTTGGAGTCCCGAGTTCATGCAGCCCTAAAATACTTAAGAGCCCTGGGTCCTTGGAACTCTGCATATGCGGGCTCTGGATTTCACACCTACCCCGTAGTTTTTATCATGTGCCTGCGTCTGTACTCCGTACAAGTACTGGTCGAGTCCTATGGTCACCGGGGAGTTTCCCAGGTCATGGGCCGCGCACTAGACCCAACACGATGGCGAGGACCGACTCCCGGCACACTAGCGGAACGACGACCGAGAGACTCCCCCACCATATCGGATCTCGACCGCAATTGAGAGGGAATGCCCCCGAGAAGTGCCCCTCACTAGGACTCTGGCGTGTGGGGAAGCTTTCTGCAGATGGTGAGGCTAAACGCAAGTTGTGCATGGGTAGTGTATCGCAACCCCCGAGAGGCCGAGCACTGGGTGGAGCGGACGGCGTCTTGTGATTGTGCGCGACTGATAAAATGTGGCGATCTCGCTGCTCAGTTTGTCGCGTTTTCACCCTCTCCTCCCCATAGACTACTCTTGATCTTACTTCCGGGCCTGCAATCGTCGTCATCATGGCAAACGAACGCCCCAATATCGTCTTCATCATGGCCGATGACCATGCGGCCAAGTCGATCTCGTGCTACGGCGCAGGGATCAACCACACGCCCAACCTGGACCGCATCGCGAAGGAGGGCATGCTCTTCAACCACTGCTACGTGACCAACAGCATTTGCACTCCCTCAAGGGCAGCCATCCTGACAGGCCAGCACAACCACGTCAACGACGTGATGACCCTCGACTCCAAGATCAATAAGCGCGGCCCCAACGTCGCCAAGCAGCTGCGCAGCCACGGCTACCAGACGGCCATGGTCGGCAAGTGGCACCTTGGAGAGGGCAAGGAGCACGAACCCTCTGGATTTGACTACTGGGATGTCGTCCCGGGCCAAGGCGAGTACTGGGACCCTTCATTCATCGGCCAGAACGGTACCCGCAATATCCCCGGCTACGCCACCGACATCATCACCGACCTGAGCCTCGACTTCATCAAGAAGCGTGATACAAAGAGGCCATTCTTCCTCATGTGCCACCACAAGGCGCCGCACAGGAGTTGGGAATACGACCCGAAGCACAAGGACCTGTACAAGGAGAAGGTGAAGGTTCCTGACACCTTTACCGATGATTACAAGAATCGCGCCAGGGCGGCTAAGCTTGCCAAGATGCGCGTGGCTGAGGACATGACCTACTTTGATCTGGGCATTGTCCAGCCTGACGGAGGCTCCGAGATTGGCGAGAAGATGATCAACGCCTGGTGGTGGACCGACAGGAAAATTCCCGCGCCGGAGGATGTCACGAAGCTAAAGCTGATTGACAAGCAAGATGGGACTGTCTTTACCTTCAAGACCCCAGAGGAGCTGGCGGACTTCAAGTTCCAACGCTACATGCAGCGCTATCTGCGCACCATCCAGAGCGTCGACGACAACGTCGGCCGTCTCCTGGATTTCCTCGACGCGGAAGGTCTCGCCGAGAACACGATTGTCATCTACACCAGCGATCAGGGCTTCTTCTTGGGCGAGCACGGCTGGTTCGATAAGCGCTTTATGTACGAGGAGAGCTTCCAGATGCCCTTCATGATCCGATACCCCAAGGAGATCAAGGCCGGCTCTGTCTGCAACGACATCATCTGCAACGTGGACTTTGCGCCCACTTTCTGCGACTTTGCCAACGTCACGATCCCCACCTTCATGCAGGGTGTCTCCTTCCGGTCGCTGGTGCAGGGCAAGACGCCCGAGAACTGGCAGCAGGTGGCCTATCACCGGTACTGGATGCACAACGACATGATCCACAACGCCTACGCCCACTACGGCGTGCGCGACCAGCGCTACAAGCTCATCTACTGGTACAACGAGGACTTTTGCCTCGAGGGTGCCCGCCCCGGCGATGCGGACCAGAAGGAGTGGGAGCTGTTCGACTGCGACGAGGATCCGCTCGAGCTGTTCAACGTGTACGACGATCCCAAGTACCAGGACGTGAGGAGGAAGATGACCCTGATGCTGGAGGCCAAGATGGCTGAGATTGGTGATGTCCCGGTTCACGAGATGCTCTCTCTGACGGTGTCGTGAGAAAGGTCGGTCCCCCTATACCATAGAAACGCGTTGTTCCCTAGCATAGATGTCTAGAAAGCGCCAGTCCGTCACTGCTTCAAAAGTAGTTGAGGAAGATTGGAATTTACACACAGTGGTGAATTGCCCTAATTTACAATTCCCGGCAGCAATAATCACGGGGGATCAAAGTTGAGACAACCTGCTGCGGACGGATGAGATGACTGTACATATATTGCGGCACAGCATAGATGTGATAGCAACGGCCGGTGGCCTGGAAGAGACTAGAATCATTACTCTTTGCTGGACCCTGCAGACCATGCCAACTTGCGGTCGACGGCCCTCATCCGTTCAGCCCGAAACATTCACGAGAAGAACAAGGCAAGCGTGTAATAGTGTAGAAAGTTAGGGCCAGCCTTGGTTTACTGAAGTATTTTCCAACCTCCTAGAGAGGGTCGGTGTATTGAATCATTTGTACACACGAATTGCATAACGTCAAACTGTGCCGTAAGAATTCAAAAGGAAGTGCGTATCCACAGATTCCAACGGTCATTGACAATCGATCAAGCTTGTATCTTAGGCTACTATATGGTTGTAAATTTACGAAACTCGGCTGCATCCTCCACCCCTTAAGGACAACTCCACGGATCTATGCTTCGAAGACGGCTCAAAGCTTTCTCGTAGGATCTCATCACACTCCCGTGAGCTACACCTACGCCCTTGGGCGAGGCTTGCCCGTTGGTGTTGTACTCGTTGACAAGATTCGTCAGGAAAGGAACCAGCTTCTGTCCGTTGTTCCCAGTCTGGAGCACTCTCCTGATGGTATCTGCCGCGTCGAATTCCTGATAAGATTTCCCGTCAGGTGTCGTGACGGTTTTTGTGCTGACTTGGGTGATGCCAATATTGTAACTTTTGAGTTTCTTATTGGCGAGTTGGATTATCCCTGCGCTTTGCTCTTGTTTTCGCAGACTGTGCACCGCATCCATGCAAGTGATGGACTTCTTGACGTAGTGGTCAACCTGCCCTCCTCGCTTTTGGCGGCAGTCCTGAACGATATCGGCAAGCCGATCAATAACATCTCCATGTTTGAGATTTTCCTCCCATTTACTCCCCAATAGCAATTTCTGGTCGTAGGTGCCTTCGTAGCCGCGACGGGTTTTGTCGGTTTTGCTTCTCTGGGGGCCGTTACCAGGGAAGTCGGTAACCCGTCTTGCTTCATCAATGTCTGGGTCTACTAGGTTTTTGATTTTGCCACCCGATCCGGTGTAAAAGGTGGTTTTGCTGATGTACTTGATGAATTCGTCAAAGTTGCAAGGGACTGGGTGGCATCCTTTCGCAAGAGTCAGTGAGTTTGCGTTGGTGAAATAGTCCAGACGGTAGATCGTGTAGAACATGACGGCCTCGTAGCCAAAGGCTAGTTTGGAGCAAATCGCCGGGCCAACTCCGAGGAGCAGTAATGTGAGTATTTGGAGCTTCATTCTTCCTCAGATGTCACTTTCCGATAGGAAATCTCAAGTTCCGAAGTTAAGGATAGAGAGATGTTGCAACTTCTGATGCTTCTGACGGCAGACTAGCTACCGATTTGTAGATGGCAAGTGCTCGCTTGTATCGTGACCATGAGCACAGCGCTCGCCAAGAAGTATACACAAATATAACCGGCGGCTGTCACGCCAAAGAGCTGCGGCCGCAGCGCCACTTCTTTTTTAAGCTTATGCACAAGGCTAGATTAACGGGATTACTGGGTAAAACATACCCTCTTCCAGAATTCCCTGGTTTGTCGTCCGAGCCGCGGGAAGAGGCGTCTAAAAAGGGTTGTCTTGACTTGACACTACTATAATAAGCGCTTGAAGCGGGTTCCCTCGAATCTCAGAAGGATCATTTGGTTATCATAGAAGGAGCGGAACCTCGGCAAGGAGGGTTGGCTAAGTAGGTTGCCAAGAGCACTGTCTCAGGCACGGCAGCTTCGCCGCCATGTTGCATCGCTGTCATATGGCCAAGACTAGGCTTTTGGAACTTTGAAAAGATGGTAGCGGCGCAATGCTTTCCTCCGGACGGCACAACGTGGCTTGTGCGAGGGTTGATTCATTGAGGAGGACAGTTGCAGTCGAAAAGTTCCCTTGGCGATCGGACCCCAAATGCAACATGAATGTGTTTATGCAGCAAAATTTCCCTGGAGAATAAAAATACATATAGCATCTGCGCCGCTGCACTGCCATAGGCCGGGAAGAGATGCCGCTTCGAGATTAGACGTAGCCCTGAACAAACACCATGCTATATCGCGGAACTAGCACGTAAATTTTGAGTGTGCCTGATCAGTCTTATGCCTGCCAACTACATAGGGAAGCTGTCTTCCGGGACAGCTATTTGAATAGCGGACAAGACAAACGTCAACAACTTCGCGGATCATGAATCGTTTGTGTATTCTCGCAGGCCTGTCATGGCTGCTCCCAACTGCCCGAGCTCAGCCAGGTCCATTTGAGTCATGCCCTATCCGCTGTAGCAAAGCAGGGCAAGATTCTTCAGATTGGACACACCTCCATGGCAAGGTTGCTTTAACACGCTGTCCCAAGGCTACTCTATTCGACCTAGCCATCTATACCCCAGTCGAAGACCCAGACTCTCATATTACGTTTCGCGCTTGTACCGCAGAAGATACAAGCACTGAGCAAACAGCAAGTCACAACTCAAGTCCATTCATTTTCAGTGAGCCACAAGAACAACGGCAATCGGAAGAGATGCTCTCAACCCTTGGGTGCCTCGCTGGTACCGAGACTTTCCGGAACACAACGAATGTCCAGCTTGTTGCGTGGCATACCGCAGACGATAAGTTGGCATCGCGAGCAGATGCAGTTGCCGCTGTCGAAACTATAAACGGCTGGCTCAAAAACGATGAAGACTGCCACTCCAGTATCATGTTCGCCCGGGCCGGCCAAGCGGTCATCGGCTTGTATGTTGGCGACGAGATTCACAAGCCAAGTGCATCCGGAGTGGTCAAAAGGTTCATTGCTACTCTGAAGAACGATGCAACAAGCTTATCCAGCCGATTTGCGGCCCAGCTATGTCAGGAGAAGACTCCGAGAACATGGTCGATGGGGATCTTTGCCGACCTCTCGGGGAACATATCTGCCGCTCAGGAGGCTGTTCGCAACTGGCATAGCGCCGAGTGTCTCAAGGGGGCAGACAGTACTGAAATCTGGAAAGACCTGGAGATCAGCATGGTCAAAGCTGCCGATGTCCCAACCAACCACGAGCTCTCAAGTGGTTTCGAGAAAAAGAGCGAGCCGCTCAAGGAGCGGTCATCGGCCCACGCGCTGGTCACTCGCGCAGACTGCAAGGCCATACAAGTTGTCGCTGGGGATGGGTGTTATTCCCTCGCCAAGCGGTGCGGGATTTCCCAAGATAAACTGAAGAGTTTCAATAGCAAAACGGACAAGCTTTGCGACATCAACACTCTCAAGGCAGGCCAATGGGTCTGTTGTTCCAAGGGCGACCTCCCTGATTGTGAGTAATACCGCCATAACCAAGTCTCAAACGCGGTGCTCAGCAGAATTGATAGCTAATAAATCCCCAACGCCGCAGTCTCGCCAAAGCAGAACAAGGATGGGACCTGTGCTACGTATACCATCACGTCTGTGGACATCTGTTGGAATATGATGGAGAAGTATTATCTCACAGAGAAAAAGCTAAACGACTACAACAAGAACACATGGGGCTGGGCCGGATGCAAGAATCTGCAGCAAGGCCAGAAGATCTGTCTCTCCAAGGGAGATCCGCCCATGCCGAATTCCATTCCCAATGCGATATGTGGCCCGCAGGTTCCGGGTACAAAGCGACCAAACAAGAAGACCCAGCTCAAGGATCTCAATCCCTGCCCTCTAAACGCCTGCTGCAACTTCTGGGGCCAGTGCGGCCTGACCAATGACTTTTGCGTCGAGGCACCGGCCGACACCAAGGCGCCCGGAACCTCCAAACCGGGGAAGAACGGCTGCATTGCCAGCTGTGGGATGAAGATCACCAACAACAAAGACCCTCCTTCTAGCTTTTCCAGCGTGGCCTACTTTGAAGCATGGAACAAGGAGCGCAAGTGCCTTCACATGGATGTAACGGACATCAAGAGTAGCGAGCATACCCACATTCATTTCGCCTTTGGCCTGGTGACTCCCGACTTCAAAGTTGATGTCAGCAAGGTCAAGACGCAGTTTGACAAGCTCAAAAAGATGAAGGGCATCAAACGCATTCTCTCCTTTGGCGGCTGGGCATTCTCAACAGAAGCCCCGACGTACACGATCTTCCGAGATGGCGTTACGGCCGCCAATCGAGCGGCATTGGCAAGTAACGTGGTCGACTTTATCAACAAGCACGACCTGGACGGTGTTGACTTCGACTGGGAATACCCTGCCGCTCCGGACATCCCCGGCATACCACCAGGGATTCTCCAAAACGGCAAAGACTACCTAGAGTTTCTGAAGTTGGTCAAACAGAAATTGCCGAAAAAGTCAGTCTCAATTGCCGCGCCAGCGTCTTACTGGTACCTGAAAGGATTCCCGATTAAAGAGATAAGCGGCGTTGTCGACTACATCGTCTATATGACGTACGATCTCCACGGCCAGTGGGACTACGGAAACAAGTGGTCCAGTCCGGGATGCGAGACGGGCAATTGTCTCCGTTCACACATCAACATCACCGAGACGGAACTCGCACTTGCCATGGTGACAAAGGCCGGAGTCCCCGCCAAGAAGGTATTTGTGGGCATCTCGAGCTACGGCAGATCTTTCAAGATGGCGAAACCCAGCTGCACCGGACCTATGTGCAAGTTCACGGGCTCGGCGACGCACTCTAATGCAGAGCCTGGCCAGTGCACCAATACTAGCGGATACATAGCAGCTGCCGAGATCAGAGAACTTCTATTTCAAGGCGAAGAGTCAGAGTACACTGGCACGACAGTCAAGACGTTTTACGACACCTCGTCCAAGTCCGATATCGTGGTGTACAATGGCGACAATTGGGTGGCCTGGATGACCGACAAGACAAAGAAAGACCGCATCAAATGGATAAAAGGGCTCAATTTTGGTGGCACCTCCGACTGGGCTGTCGATCTCGATAAGGATTACGGATCAACTAAAGTCGGCGAATCCGAGCCGGATGACCAAGAAGGCCAGACCTGCAACCTATCGAAGACCTTTGACAGTCTCGAAGCCTTGGAAAAGAGCGCAGCGAGTATACAGCCAGGTTGCAAGGCCATACACACTCTCATCGTGCTACAGAAGATGATGGACAAAGCCTTGGACAAGTACAGCGACGTCAATAATGGCTACGATAGCAAGTTCAAGTCGTATCGCAAGTACATGAATGATGCTCTGCCGGTACAGCTGCGCAATTGGATGTACTTTACTAATGGCCCAGGCCAAAAGTACTTCGACTGCAAGTTTAAGGGCAACGGCAACACGTATGAAGGGCCTTGCCCGGTGCCCAGGGATGTCAGAGGGGGTCTCATGTCGGGCATCTGGGACCTCAAGTACACGCTCAAGGACAAGAAAGGCTTCCGAAAGGCCCTGCTGGACGATCTCGGAATCGACCCTTCGTGGATCGAGTTTGGGGGGAGCAAGGAGAAAACTGAATGCCAGCAGCTTGATCATCCAACATTATGCAACAGCTTGGATCTTTCAATCCATGGCCAGCCCAAGCTCAAAAAGGACTTTCAGATGCCCGATCCCAAGGACATCATCAAGGATGCTCTGCGTGGTATCAAAGACCTCCGTATCAGCCTCGGTGCCGCTATGGCGGACATCGGCCTGGGTCTGTGGAAAGGAAGCAATGAAGAGGTGGTCTCGGTCCTGTCTATGCCAGTCTTCCTCCTCGTGCAGGCCGTAGAGGCGATGGAAGACGCCAAAGACATTGGCGAGGAGATCCAGGAACAGGAGGAGAGAAACCGGATTCTGACCATCATCACGGCGGTGCTCTTCTTCGTGCCTTTCGTCGGCGAGTTGACCGCCGCGGCGGCAGGCATGGCAGGTCTTGCCCGAGCCTTCGCTATAGGCAGCTTGGGCGCCGACGCGGCGCTGTCGATAGTCGATATCGTCAAGGACCCGTCCACAGCGCCCATGGCTATTGCGGGGATGCTACTTGGTGGGCGGATTAGAAGCCCGAAGGAGTACCGAGAAGCCTTTGACCTCCGCAGCAAGATGAAGCCGGAAGATGTGACCAAGGTGGGCGAGATCTACAAGAAGAATGAAGATACCTTGAAGAAAATCATCCAAGCTTGTAAGAGGTGAGCGTTGGCTCGTCAAAGCGACCGCGCAAGGGGAGAAGCTCGATGATTCTTGGAAATAATTTAGCAAGTATCTCAGCATAGAAAGAATTCATCGTTATGAGCGTCAGAACCGGGTAGATTCGTATCCTCGGATATTCTTTCACTTGGAAATAGACAGTCTGCCCTGGCGCCATGAGAAAGATCAGTAATCAACCTTGATAATATTATGCTTGGAAACCTTTGTCATGACCCGTGCAGGATGTTAGTTGACCAACATGCACTTGAAAAATCCCATAGTTGCTTTGATCCGGCCGGAATACTTTTACTGCCTTGGAATTCTGTCGGTACGAATCTGCTCCCTTCTTGACGCCCGAGGAGTTCCACGTTGTATGCGGGTCATTTTCGGGGGGGCAAAGCTGCATGCTCGGCTGACACAGCCTCATCCGTTTTGGCTAAACCTGGCCCAAAAAGTGAAATGAGCAAAGGCCGCAATCTCACAGCAACACCGCATTTTGCGAGAAACATATCGCTGCGGGAGACACAAAATGCCTCGAGCACTACCAGAGGAACTCATCGAAAACGTATGCCGCAACCTATGTTTTCACTGTTGCCATCCAGGCGCGTTCCCCAACGCCGACACACTCGACGTGAAGCAGAGCAAGGCGGCCCTCGCGCGTCTCTGCAGAGCGTCCAAGCAGTGCACCCGAATAGCACAGCCAATCCTCTATCACTACTATGCGACAGGGAACCTTCCCTCGCAGCAGGACTTGGGCCTGCCCGACGACCACCACAGCCTATGCTCCGAGGACGATAAGCTGCCTGCGTTTCTGCGCACAGTCATTGACCGTCCCGACCTGGCGCAGCTGGTCCTGACGATGCAGCTAGTAGGCTCTGACAACATCTCCGGCTGCACAGATAAGCTGGTCCGGATATTCGAAAGAGCCAGCGATCAACTCGGTATGGACTATCCTCCCAAGGAGTTCTGGCTGCAGGACGTCCTGGGCTCGCGGGAAGACTACCTCGAGGAGCATGGCGACCTACACCCAGGGCGCTGCACGATCCACCACTGGCTCGAGGAGCTCTGCATCCTTCTGACGCCAAACGTCACAACACTGCTCCTCGCACGCAATCTCCCCGGGCCGTTCGACCGCCTCATTGAGGCCTACAACAACGGCCGATCGGGTCCACTACTGCCGAGCCTGCGCACCTTGGCCCTGCGCACCCTCTCCTCGGCCGAATGGAGGCCTGATAACCCACGAGCTCTCTTCAAGAACGCCCCCAACCTGCAAACCTTCTATTGCATGCAGGCGGCCGTCACCGACGCCTATCTGGAGCGCTTCCCGTCCTCATACGGTGGTCTGCATCTATTTGAACGAGTCCGCACGCTGGTCCTTTCGAACCCTGACGACGGCGACCTGATGGACGTTCTCGCCGCCCTCCCGGCCCTCGAGGAGCTAGAGTGCCTGTGGATGGGCCGGGACTTCCCTACATTTCCCGGCTATGGGACCCTGCTGCGCGGATGCCGCAGTCGCAAGGGCACCCCGCTGCGCTGCCTGCGCTGCGGCTGGGCGCCCAACAACTACGACGCAGAGTACCCGGCGCCGGAGCACTACGAGCTCGCGTTCGACGGGGATCGCTACTCGACAGTGCGGCCGGAGGAGCTACTGCCGCTGGATCAACTCGAAGAGCTGACAATAGACCAGGCGGCTTTCCACTACGCCGGGTACGTCCGCCCGGGCGTCGAGGAGGACAATGACGAGTCGGACTCGGGAAATAGGCGGCTCGTGGACGTCCTGCCCCGGTCGCTGCGCGACCTGCACCTGATCTACGTGTACCGGGACATGACGGCGGACCTGGTGGAGTTGGCGAGGCAGTGCCTGGCCGGCACGTTTGCACACCTGCGGACGGTGCGTATCAGTCTGACGGAGAGGCCGAATCCGGCGCGGATACCTGGGCTGGAGGAGATGCGCAGTGCTGTGGATGTGACCTTTGCGGACGGGCCGGTAAACATCCTGTGGGGACCGACCAGCATGATAGGAGGGGATCCGATGATGGTGATGCCTGGAGGGACGGCGGGCGCGAAGCTGATCGAGCCCCCGACGCTGATACATCATTTGCCAGATGGGGGTGCTGGGTATGATTTTGAGAGGACGATGAGAGAGCGAGCGGAACGGATAGAGGCCATGCAGTGAGCTTCTGAGCTGGAGCGGAGGGCGGCTCCCAAGCTCTTATTATCGAACATATCTCTTGATTATCAAATACTTAAAGCATTATGTCCAAGTGTAGCACTGGGTTTAAGAACAAGTTACTCCTGTTCTATTTCACTCGAGCTCATAAACTGTGCAGATGATAAGGCACGCTCAACTGAACATAGTGATAGCATAAATCCTGTATGTGATATGCTTGTTGGGAGCATCAATCTGCTTGATGAAGAACATGCTGTCTGGTACCCAGTGTAGATATGCAATCTCAATCATAGGTTGAGAATTCATTTGAACGTCTGCGGATAAGTTCCGGCCCAACACTTGTCAGTGTCGGCACAATAGGTCGCATAAAACCATCCGCATCAAAGTGGCAACGATCAATTGTCGTTTCACGGTGAGTCCCATCCCCATTGGGAATTCCGAAACGGTGATACGCCATGTACCAGTGATCCGTGCCAGGCACGTTGACCATCGAGTCATGGCCGGTCGCAAGGATACCGTACTTAACGTTCTTTTGTAGAACAACACCGCGGTAGGTCCACGGCCCATGCACCGAAGTTGATGTTGCGTAGCCAACGCGGTAATTCTCCGAGCCGGTGTCATCGATAGAATACGTGATGTGATAGAGACCTTTGCGATAGACTATGAATATCCCTTCACGAAAGTCCGTCAGACCGGTGATTGCAGCGATTGTATTCTGGTTGATCGAGACCATGTCGTCGTTGAGCTCCGCGATGAGCGGCTTCCCATTGCCCCAGAGGATGTAGTATTTCCCGGTCACAGGGTCCAAGAATGCGTCCGGGTCAATGGCTTGATTTGTGGTGAGGGCCTCGTTATTGAGGATCATTGCAGTTGGTTGCGCAACGAAGGGGCCCTCAGGCGAGTCCGCGACAGCAGCACCGATTGTCTTTCGGTCGTAGGACGGGTTGTTTCCACTGAAGTAGAAGTAGTATTTCCCGTCACGGCTGGTGATCGTCGGCGCCCACGCATTGCCGGTGGCCCAAGGAACTGTTCCTTTTGCCCCATCCAATGTCAAGATGGGCTCTTTGCTTCTGGTCCAGGAGACCAGGTCCGGTGACTTCCAGACATAAAAGACGTTGCCACCCCATCCAGGAAACCCGTCTGTTGTCGCATAAATGTAATATGTATCGCCGAAGATCGCAATATTCGGGTCTGCGTAGAACCCCGGAAGGACAGGACTTCGCATCTCTACCGCCCTGAAGCTCCAAGTTGCCGTCGAAACGTCGTTGCTGCTTAGCACATATTCTGCGCCAGCCTGCAAGTCCACAACAGTACCCGATGGTGGCGAGACAACAACCCCATCCGCAGTAGAAAAGATTGGAGCGAGATGAGTCATGTCAATCCCAGGCACGATTGGAAATATCACCGATGAGGCATTCGGATCGATGATCGGTGGGACCTTCAGGACCGCGGGATCGGATAAGCTGATATTCACAAATGCTGAAGAGTCACTGGTGCTCCTGCGGCTCGTTTCATGACGGACTGTCATGTCCACTGCTCCATTGAGTGCCGGAGAAAGGGCCAGAGCCGAGGCCCCTAGTATATGGGAGAAGAGAAGCAACGGCCGCATGTCTTGGACTTGGACTTTTTCAGACCCTACAGGGGATGTTGTGGAAAGCCTCGAATGCTAGATCGGGTGGGAAACTCGACCGTGTGCATACATGGCTCGACCTGACATGGGCGCCCCCGTCTTTTAAGCATGTCTCGAGCCCTGGCCAGATGCCGGGCCATGTAAGAACCTACTCGACGACCAGAAGACCCCTCCTTTGGATACTTGATCGTTGACCATAATCTCGTGAGCCGGTCCGTGGCGGGCCGAGTCGTTTTTAGCAGCCATTGACACCTAACAAGCCATGTCAGTCCCTAAAACCCCGCATCTCTAAACTGAACGTAACGCTGCTGCGAAGCTAAATGTTGACTGTTCCTGGGTGCTCCACCAATCACACATGGCTGGCAGTTTCGTGCCATCCTAGCATTCAGCATGATTGTGGTCTAGGTGAAAATATGCACCGTACCTCAGAAGTTGCGTGCTAGACTGACTTGGGGCAACTGGCGAAACAGTAGCCGGTAATGATGACTGCTTTGCCGGCTGTCTTGCCGTTGCCAGTCTGAGGATCCCGCTTATAGACTTTTCGAGGTCTGCCAAGGGGTCAGCCTGAGCCGTGTCAGGACTCACGGAATAGAAGTAGAGCGATCTGGTGATTCACAGATGGAGTAGATGGCAACCACTTGGAGAAGCCTACAAGACTCGACATGTCTCGGATCCAGGCGCGTCTGGCCCGCCCTTGTCTCCGCGATGGGGGATTTCTTGAAGGGCGAGATGACAGATCCAGGCCTACGGTTATCAATGAGTGTAATAGGATCGGTTCTATCGGCTCCAACTCTCTATCATTATGATGAGGAGATAATCAAGGCGGTGTAGTCTGGCAATAGCTAGCCGAGAAGTCAACATCGGCCCGCCTGATCGGAGATTTTGGCGGTTATGACGTTCATAAGCAGGTAATTTACGGCGCAGGCGGCGCGGTGCTGATCTACCTGTTGTGCCTGTGAACATTGGCGGCACAATGGTCAGGGCCCGGCCGATAGCTATTAATTTGACTTGCAAGTTCTATGACACTATGACAGCTGCTTGCGAATCCCGAATAGACAAGCTTTCCCACATGTCCGGAAAGTTGCGGTAGTCGATTGCATCCTGGATGAAGAAAGTTGATACCAAGTTGGGAGGTCCTCAGCAGCCCCAATAAATGCGGTTGCATTTACCCCAGCGATCTACGCAAGATTACTCCAACAAGAAGCTCCACTGATGACAAGTGGGAACTGAAGTTGAGGGGATGAATACTCCGAACCAGGATTTCCTGCAGGCATACGCGTGCCTTCCGTGGGTTCAGCCTGGGAGTACTAAAGGCCCTTCCTACATATCTCTGTTTCCTGAAGCGATTTGCATCTGGGGTTTCTGTGTTCTAGCAGAATACAATATTCTCGATTGAATTACGTAGGTGCACACTTGGCTGAAGCTTGATCGGGTCTGAGGAAGCAGCATGATGACCACACGCTCGAGACCTGGCTGGTCATTCTGGACCTCGAGGTTCCTCGTATTCTTTCATGCGTTATCGAATGCTAGCCCAGTTGACCCGGGTCATATCTCTGCTAGATCGGATCCGCTGACTGTCGACCTTGGATATGCTATATACAGAGGATATCTAGACAATGTCACGGGCCTCAACAACTTCAGGGGCATACAATACGCTGCGCCTCCCGTCGGTAACCTGCGCTGGCAAAAACCTCAACCACCAATAACACAGACTGAACCTATCGTTCTATCCGCCGAGTGGCCTCCGGTGTGTCCGCAGAGTCCGGCCGCGCCCTTTACCCCTTCCCCCACTCCGGATCCCCCGGGGAATGAGGACTGTCTGTATCTATCTGTCATTGCTCCCCCGGCTGCCAAGGAACTCCCCGTACTCTTCTTCATCCACGGCGGCGGCTACGGTAGTGGGAACGAGGCACTCGAGTTTAATGACCTGATGAAGAACAATGGCAACGGCTTTGTCTATGTCAGTATCCAGTACCGCCTGGGCGCCTTCGGTTTCCTGTCATCCGCTGCCGTACATCGTCACGGGGTTGCCAATGCAGGCCTCTGGGATGTCAAGGCTGCCCTAGAGTGGGTGAACAATCATATCGGCGGCTTCGGCGGTGATCCCAGCCGCATCACCATCGCTGGCGAATCTGCTGGCGGAGGCGCTGTCATGACACTCGTGATGGCCGAAGGCGGCACCTGGGGAACGAGGATGTTTCAAAACGCCCTGGCCGCAAGCCCATACCTTCCTCAACAGTACAACTACGACGGCCCTCTCCCCGAGTCTACTTATGCTGGGTTTGCTATTGCCGCTGGGTGCCTCGACGAAAATGCGCCTGCAGGTGACGCTACCGTTTTTGCTTGCCTCCAAGCCACCGACAGCGGGACACTTCAGAAAGCCAACCAGAAGGTCAACAGCGTCGGACGTTATGGCTCCTGGTCATTCCTTCCCGTTACCGATGGCGAGTTTCTGAGGGACTTGCCATCTGTACAACTGCGCAGTGGCTCGGTGAATGGCGCACGTTTCCTTTCGGGGGTAAGCAAGCTCAGAGTCTAATTACCTAAATCATGAGAGATATTCAGACTAAAGCTGATGCGGAGCAGCACAACGCAAACGAGGGAGCTGTCTTCATGCCCGCTGTGGTGGACGAGAGTGCCTTCACCTCGTGGCTGAAGTCTAGCTTCCCAGTAATGAACGAGGAAGAGCTCGACAAGTTGGCAGAGACGTACGCAATTGACCCGATCGTTCCCGGCCAACCTTGGTTTGCAACGCTTGGAGACAGCGGACCGACGGCGCTGAACCAATCCTCTTTCGCCGTTGGATACCAACAGGCTGCCGACAACCTGTTCTCAGAGGCTACTTTTGTCTGCCCATCGTACTGGTTGTCAGACGCGTTCGGACGGTCAGGCGGGAACTCGTGGCACTACCAGTTCTCCGTCCCTCCCGCTCAGCACGCCGGCGACCTGAACGCGTACTGGGTCGCCAACGGTGTCCATCCCGGAGACGGCACACTGACCGAGCATTTCCGTCTCGGCATGCAGAGGATCTGGGGCAACTTTATCATTCGCGATGACCCCAGACTTTCAGATGAGCTCGTCGCCCAGCTCGCTGGAGAAGGTGGCGTCAACGGGAAGTTCGACGCGGCGAGCTCGAGAAGCTGGAAGACCTGGTGCGGCGGAGCTAACGGCTCGCCCATGCTCAACCTCAACATGACTGGAGGCATAGAGGTTACGGCCAACATGACCTACGCCTACGGGGAGACTGTTAACTTAACGCAGTATGCTGAACCTGGTCTCTCCGTAGCATGGAGCCTTGTCGATGCGTACACGTGGGAAGGCGGTAGGGGCAGGCGGTGCGATGTCTTGGCTGAGCTGGGACCCAGTGTGCCAGAGTAGTTGCAGAAGTTGATGGAGATGGCAGTGTTGCTCTAAAGTCAGGACTATACATGATGGCAAGCTCGTCTATTATTATTCGCCATGCCAGCATCAGTTAGAGGCGGGCTGCTCAATCATATCAGCTATGCTATTAATAGCCGTAGCGATTTTCCCCAGCCACTCGTTCGCCGTTGCCAGTTCTCCCTTCTCTAAAGCCTCCAGTACTCCGGGGAATATCACGCCATCATAGCCATACCATAGACCCGGAGCAAAGACCTGCAGATTCATAACTTAGTTCGGCATCGTAACATTTACTTGGTTATTGCATGCTCCACTCACCATGTGCCGGTACCATGGCCTTCCCGGCAGTCCTGCGCCTTTTGGCAACAGAAATAGTCGCTCAATCAACCTGTACTTTGTGTTGATAGACGACAGCGAAGCCTGTTCTTCGTCTGTGGTCGCAGTCGACAAGGCTTTTGCTTTTTGGTCCAGCTTCTCCGCGGCGGTTTGGAAACGACTTATCGACGCATCAATGGAAGTAAAGTCGAGAGAGCAGCTCTTACGCTCCTTCAGTTCCTTCAAGTGCATCTTCAGAGTAGCAGGATAGTGTGCAGCAGTAAAAGGCACCACGGCAGCCTCGGCAAGCCTGGCGACAACCAGTCCCCACAAGCGAGCCATGGCCAAGTGCTTCTTGAAGCCCGGATCTCCAAACTTGTCGACCCAGTAGTAGCTATCATAGTTAGAGTGATAGGGGTAGACGCCTTGGCCTTGTCTGTTGAAGAGCATGTCGATGGAGGGGATACCGAGGTGGTCGAAGAAGACGGTATAGTCGCTCCCCGTTCCCATGAGTGCAAGGCTGGGCTCTGCAAGGCCAGGGTCTGCTAGCTGCTGGTCGCTCAGCCAGTCGTCGTAAACTGACTTTCCTTCATACAGTGGGGATTCGACCACCTTAGCAGCATCTCGGAGGATGGTGTTCAAAAGAGGACTGCCGTTGGCACCGAGAATCCGCCCTCCATTTGTAGACTCATCCACATTGATATCTATTCCAAGATACGTCAGTGCAAGGCTTAGCCAATAGGTCACTAAACTTGTTGACAACTTACACGCTATGGAACTCTCGCTCAGCATCTCGGCGTTGTCTTCTCCCCATTCCGTTGAGCCGACCAACCCGTACTCTTCATTATCCCAGTTGCAGAGGATGCTACAACGGAATTTGTTAGCTACGGTTGCCATACATACTGAGTTTCTCTTCCTCAACGACTTACATCTTCCTAAGCGGCCTCCATCCTTTGGAAAGCAAGTCGCCAAAGCCTCGTGCAACTTCGTTCATTGAGGTAGTGCCAGACACAGGATCGATGGCACCACAGCACCAGGAGTCGTGGTGGTTCCCGAGGACGACGCACTCCTCAATGGTACCCTGGATAGTTCCAACTACATTGTATATCGTGGCATATTTAAAGGTGCCTTGATTTGACAACGAGACTTTCAAAGCACTAGGTCCCGTACAGTACTGGACACCTTCCAATTGCCCAAGCCATTCGCCTCCCATCTCGGAGGGCGAGAGGCCGTGACCATTGAGGGCTTCAAGGAAGGGCTGGGCTTCCGAGTATGAGATAGGGAGCGAGGGGATAGTAGGGATGGCATGCGTGGGATCGCATCTTTTCACATCTCTGCCAGGCAGACTAGGATATCCAGGGGTGGTCGGATCGCCGACAGCAACGGAGAAGTAGTCAACACTACCACGCTGAATGGTCTTTGGATGCCTAGCTGGTCCGTCAGGGAAGTGCTGGTAGCCGTTTCTGGTCGTGTATTCGCCGTCCTCCTGAGGGTCGTTGTACAAAATGACAGCCGCAGCACCGTACTGCTCGGCAGCCCTAATCTTCAGACCACGAAATACTTTGGCATATTTGCAGATGACAATCTTGCCCTTGACCGAGATGCCTTTCGCAGCAAGCAGATCGAAGTCCGCAATAGTGCCAAAGTTGGCATATACGAGCTCGGCGCAGACGTCTCCATTGGCGCCGAAGCCGTGAAAGGCCGGCAGGCCCTTGTCCGGTGACGAAGTTGGGTCCTCTGGGACCTCATCTTCCCTAAGGGTCGCCTCAAAGGCGACTTTTCCATCTGCAGAGAGCAGTTGAAGGGCCTGCGACTCAGGAAAGTTTTGCAGCACTTCGTAAGTGGCCAGCTCGGTGGGGATACCGTACGAACGCCACAAGTCTCTGATCCTTTCGGCGTGAGCCAAATCACCGGCCAGATGAGGTTCTGCCGAGTATAGCTGAGACCAATGCCGAAGTTTGTGCACTTCGGGCGTCCTCAGCATCACCCGTTCAACCTCATCCTGAGATACTGCCATCTTGCTGAAATGTCTGGGCAATGATGCGTGATGCTTTCGCTGTTAGCCTCAACGTCTGGTCGTGGTACAAGATCAGTGGACAGGCGCTAGGCGAACGAAACCATGCCTACCTACCATGCAGTCTACTGTTTCTCAAATTCCTACCCTGCCATTCGGTTGTCCTTGTTCCTTACAAGGCGTGAAGTAGAATCGGCCCCACGCCGACGTCGGCATGCCCCACCGATGAACGGGGATGAAATGTCGAGCTAGTAGGCTTAAAATGACCTGTCTGTCAGCGATCACCAGAGGTGGGTGAGCCATCATCCTACTTAGAAATTGAAGGCGTTTACTAGGAGGAGGATTTTTATATTCTAGTAGCTGTGAACAGTACGGTATTACATTATACAGATTAGTCATGCTGCTATAATAGGTGGATGGACAACCCCAGGACTCATACTTGGACGGTCAGCTCACTCGTCGTTTGTCACAGATCATTTGCGGACGCCATCAGTCATAAGTTTCTGTACACAACCTGTCTCCCTAGAGACTAGTCTGCCGGATATTCTATTGCACCATTGACTTATCCGCACAAATCAATAATAACCCGCATGAACATTCGGATACAGTCAAGGTAGTCGGGGATGTCCACCTTCTCATCCGGTCGCGTGTTGTACTTGCCCCCCGGCCCACACACAATACCCTGCATCCCCAGACTCTTATACAAATGGCCTGCGTCTGATCCGTAGAAGCACGTGGGTGCCAGAACGCCCGTTGGTTGATCTTCTCCACGAACTTGATGGTAGGCTCGGTTGAGTGATTGCACGATCTCGGAGTCTGGCGGTGTCTCAAAAGCAGGCATCGTCGGCTCAAAGCGTTGGTTGAGTTCAAAGGTCATGCCCGGGAACTTTTTGATCACTGCCTCGATGGTCTCCCTCATGGTAGCCATCACATCCTCCTGCGTCTGTCCGGGACCATATCTCGCACTTCCGGCGAGTTTGCAGAAGTCGGAAACCTGGGCAGGCCTCCACTCGGCGAGCTCTTTGCCGAGCGCTCCGTGAGCGATGCCAACTAGACATCTGTTGCACTTCTTGTGCTCCGGACTCTTTGCTCCTCGAAACGTCAAGGCGTTGAGCTTTGGAATCAGTTCGCATGCAGCCATGATGGAATCGGCCGCCTCCTCCTTGGCTGACATGTGACGTGTGACACCGATGAGGTTGATCTCGAAAGTCAACGCCTCGGCGTGCATGGTGATGGCCCGGATATCAGATGGCTCGCAGTTGATGAAGTAGTCCGCCTTAATCCGACCCTGCTCGATGAGAGCCATTGTGCCCACGCCCCCTTGCAGCTCGCCCACGACATATGTCAATGTTACATCCGCGCGTGGCTGCCAGCCCCAGGCCTTGAGGGTTTCGACAGCGCAGTAGTAGGCCGCACAGCCTGACTTCATGTTGCTAACACCGATGCCGTAAATAAAGTTCTCGTCGATCTTGCCCTCCCACGGGTCGACCGTCCAACCCTCAGAGACTGGGTTCGTGTCCAAATGGCCATTGAAAAGCAGTGTCTTGGCTGGTTGAGCAGAGGCCTCGCCCTGTCCTCTGCCTCTCCAGACACCGACTGCGTTCTGGCGCTTGCCGTTGTCGAAAGGATATACAGCGGCATCGAGACCGATCTCTTTCATGCGCTCGACCATGAAATTTGATGCCTCGATCTCTCCATCGGTCTGCGAGTAGCTCTTGATCTGGACGAGCTTGGAGAGAAACTGGAGACACTTGGTCTCGTCAATCTCAGGAAATTGTGCCATCTGGTGTGTGCTTCTGGTATTGTTGATGCTTCACTCAATGCTCAGGCTTCGACTGTTGCGGCCTTCTCTAGAGTATGTCCGATCAATGGCATGTGCTCCAAGGAACCGGGGGCTATCGGCCGATAATCGCACTTTGCCGATATATATTTCTCTTCCTGACAAGTCTCTGGCGTGGGATCGACCTTGGAAGCAAGCTAACGAAGCGGGCATCCCTGCAAGCCTAGAGCCAATATGCGCCCCAATGCTTAACAGGCTACTAGCGTTCGGTGATAGTCCGTGTTATTCCCCAAACTGCTGGAGGAAGCCCTCCAGATAAGAATCGAGTGTCTGAGCCGGCAACAAGACCCGAACCGCATCCAGTTACTGTATTGTACAATAGATAAGCTGCTCGGGGACCCATTCCGCTGAGCGCGGCGGTAGGACAATAAGTACCCGCGAGGGAGTCACTCCGGTGGTTGTTCCTCGATACGCAGACAAGTCAAGCAACGTGCTCGCAGCAGACACTGTCGACCCCTGTTCCGGACTCCTCTTTCCCCAGAAAATTACGTTTTCGTTTCTCTGCAGACAATGTCCGACACCATCCAGGCGGCGCCGGCCCCGCGGGAACACATGGCCACCTCCGACGCCGAGGCGGCCCTGAAGGGCCAGAAAGCCGACGAAGGCTACGAACTCTTTCAGGAGGCAAATCCGGAGGCTTTCACGCCTGAGCAAGGCGAGGCAGTGCGTCGAAAGATCGATCTTCACTTGCTGCCCCTCATGTGCTTCCTGTACGGCCTCAACTATGTCGACAAGGTTGCCATGGGATGGGCTGTCCTCTTCAACTTTCGAGGAGACCTCGGCCTCGTCGGTACAGAGTATTCCTGGGCGAGTAGCACCTTTTATTTCGGGTACCTGGCTAGCCAGCCATTTGCGAATTATATACTACAGCGGTACAAGACCGCCAAGATCCTGAGTTGGTCAGTGATCTGCTGGGGAGTTCTGATGCTGGGGTAAGTTGGCTTCACTCCACCTCTACAAAATTCTCCTCCTAACACATTACAGTCACCTCGGACTTAAGAACTTTGCTGGACTGATGGTAATTCGGTTCCTACTTGGCGTGGCAGAGTCTGTGGTGACACCCGGCTTCGTGATGTATACCTCGATGTTTTACACCCGCCGGGAGCAGGTCATGCGCACCATGCTGTGGGCTGCCATGCAAGGACTCTTCTCCATAGTCTCTAGCTTGCTCTCCTTTGGTCTGGGTCACATCACCAACACGGCTCTGAAACCCTGGATGTACATCTTCCTCGTCCTGGGCCTGCTTTCGGTTATATGTGGCTTCTTGTGGCTCTTCTTCATGCCGGAGACCCCTAACAAAGCTAAGTTTCTCAGCCATGAGGAGCAGGTCATCGCGGTCCAGCGTGTGGCTTCAAACATGATGGGTATCAAGGGATACGAGTGGAAGGGATACCAAGTCTGGCACGCCGTCCGTGATCCCAAGACCTGGTTTATCCTATCTTTTGTCTTGTTCACGCAGCTGCCCAACGGTGGGCTTACAAGCTTTGGTTCACTCGTCATTTCCGGGTTCGGTTTCGACGCTTTCAAGACGCTCCTCATCGGCCTTCCTTCGTCGGTGGTTAGTGCCGGCAGTATGGTTGTCTGGGGATTCTTCTCCCTCAAGTACGGCAACCTCAGGACACTTGGCATGACCGTGCCGCTGCTGCCCGCAATTGCTGGTATTGCTGCCGTTTACGCGACCCAGAACACAGGAGCCAACAAGTACGGTCGCGTATTTGCTTATTGGCTCATCAACTCTTATGCTGTGACTGTAAGCATGAGCACGGCCACGTCCAAGAAGATCTGGTCAACTAACACATCTCTAACACAGTGGCCCTTTGTCCTGACCATCGTCGGCCAAAACGTTGCTGGTCACACTAAGCGTGCCGTTACCAACACGATGCTGCTCGTTATCTTCGGGGCCGCCAACATCGCCGGACCCTTCCTCTTCCGAGACCAGGATGCCCCGAAATATGTGCTCGCGATCACGACAATCTTGGTCTTTTTCTGCATTGCGCTTCTGTCGGGTATCCTGCTGCGTGTCTACATGGTGGTCGAGAACAAGCGCCGAGACCGCCGCTATGGGCCGGTCGACAACCTCGAGGAGAAACTGGACGGTATGCGTCTTGGTATGCACGACAAGACCGACCTCGAGAACCCCGACTTCCGCTACGTTCTGTGATGAGATCGAATCTGGCGTTGCATCAAATGGTAACACTGATAACTGCGTCTTCATGATATTTTAGAGTTTGCCACATAGTAGTAGTACAAACACCAGATCTTCATATGACACCACTACCTCACGACTGATTGCACTTGACTGCCTTGTGAAAGGATCCCTTAACCTTAGACACACATATACGACCCAACGTACGTGCCAAAGTTGACATTGCCAGTTGCCCCAGTCGAGTCACTGTTACACTTGTCGACGCCCTCGGTCGGTGATACGAGCTTGGAGCAAGCTATGTCCTGAAAGAAGAAGCAAGTTCCAGATTTTTTACCGTCTCCCCTATCAGTGTAGAGCTGATTCATGTTCCGTTGGAATGTCTCCCAAGAAGGAAGACAATTCAAGGCCGAGTGCTGAAATGAGACTGAAGAGGCGAGATGGAATAGAATAGAGGAGCCCGTTGGCGTCCACATTACTTTACTATTTGGGCCAGAAGGATGAAATGCTCCGGGGATCAAGATATATGTCCAGGTGCTCCTTCCACCTCAACCCTCGTTCCTTCTATTTCATGCCTCTCACGATTCCGAAGCAGCCGTCATCGGCCTCTTCGGGAGGGCTATGTCTCCCAAATCCCTTCCCAAGACATCTGGTCTTCCCTCGACCGAAATTCCAGCCGCGCTCACTCTTCTCCATTTCAACCCATCCCATCTACCACTCAACCCAAAGCCGGCCAGGTCACCAAGGACCATGACCACGATGGCTCCCGGGCAGCGCCAGGACCAGAGCAGCCTCCTCCGCCTGGCGCTGTGCCGCCACAGAGCCGCCGTCGGCTGGTCCGTCCTGATGGCCATCAGCGTCATCTTGGTCGGCTACTCGCAGGCTCTGCTCACCTCGCTCATCTTCCACCCGGAGTTCAGCAAGATCTTTGGCGACCTGTACCTTGACGAATACGACAGCGACAGCTACGACGCCGTGCACAAACGGATGCCCACGAACTAGCTGATGGGGATCCAGATGGGCGTCGTCGGCAGCGCCATCGTCGGCTCGCTGAGCTGCGGCCTGCTCAGCTCCCGCGTGCCGCCGCTCAAGTGCATGGGCTTCGCCGTCATCGCCTTTTGCGGCTTCAGCATCATCAACTTCTTCGCCGCGTCGCGCGAGGCCCTCCTGGTTGGGTCCATGCTGCAGGGCGTCCCCGCCGGCATGTTTGCCACCATCACCATGAACTACGCCGCCGACATCTGCCCGCCGAGCATCAAGGGCTACCTCACGAGCTACGTCAACCTGTGCTGGTATATCGGCCAGGTTCTCTCGTCCGGGGTCCTGTTCGCCATGGCGGACGTCCGCGGGGAGTGGGCGTACAAGATCCCCATCGCGCTGCAGTGGCTCCTGCCCGTCCCCGTCCTGCTGGGCTGCTGGTTCGCCCCGGAGTCGCCCTGGTGGCTGATCCGGCACAACCGCCTCGACGACGCCGCCAGCTCGCTGGCGTTTCTGACGCCCGACTGCGAGACGATGAACGAGATACGCGAGCAGGTGGAGCAGATGTTCCAGACCATCAGGGCAGAGTCGGTCAACATGAAGATCCAAGGGACGTACATGGACTGCTTCCGCGGACACAACCGCCGGCGCACTCTGCTCGCCGTCATCTGCTCTCTGAGCCAACTCGTGGTTGGGTTCGCCATTGCAAGCCAGGTTGTTTTCTTCCTCATGATGGCCGGTATACCGGAAGACAAATCCTTTGCCATGAACTTTGGTGAGCAGGCCACCCATGCAGATTGCCTTCTAGAATTCTGGATGGACTGACTGTACGGCTGTAGCAAACTCGTGCGTGATCTTCGCGGGAGGTTTAGTCTACTGGTTGGCACAAGCCTACACCTCCTACCGCCGGATCTTTCTGGGAGGCACTGCCGGCATGTTCCCCATCTTGGCCTGCACCGGCTGCTTGGAGATCACCTACCGCCTCGGTATCTTCAACTCTGCCAGAAGGTCTCAAGCCGGCCTGCTCCTCGCCTGGTCCTTTGTCTTTGGTATGGGGTTCTTCCTATCTAGTCCTTCCTGAACTCTCATGCGCAAATGGGTGTTGATTCACTGACTGACTATTTCCCCTTGTCTACTACAATAGGCGCGACGATCGGCCCCGTGACCAACTCGATCGTCTGCGACGTGACGGCGCCCGTGATCCGTGCCAAGACGCTGTCCCTTGCGCGCGCGGCCTACGACTTCATGAACCTGGTGCAGGCCGCCGCGGGCCCGTACATGCTCGACGCGGGGCACGCCGACCTGCGCGGCTTCGCGGCGTTCCTCCCATCGTCGTGCGCGCTCGCGCTCTTCGTCTGGGCGTACTTCTGCCTGCCCGAGACGGACGACATTCCCACCGACGTGCTCGACGCCCTGTTCGAGGCCGAGGTCTGCGCCCGGAGGTTTCCCGATCAGGCGGCGCGGCTGAGGGACGGGCTGGAGATCGAGAGCAGTGCCGTGATCAGAGGGAGGAGGAGGGGGGCCAGGGGAGGAGAGGATCCGGAGAAGAAGGGCGGCGGCTGGTGGGGGTGGGCTGGAGGTCGGCGGAGGAGGCAGAGGGAGAGGACGCAGGGGGGTGGGGAGCTGGCGTTGGGGGTAGAGTCGATTGGGAGGTTTCCGTCACTTGTCCCGGGGTTCGAGGCCTCGTAGGCGAGATGATCGGTGTGTGCTGCAGTAGAGTTAGACTGTATGTCTTAGGAAAAGCATTGTTTGGTTTTGCCAACTGGCAGTGCGAAGAGCGAGCGAGCTTGACTGCTCGGGGCTGATGTGTGATTGTGAATTCCCCGATGGCTTGCCATGAGCCATGTGTCTATCTATTAGTCTATGTGGTATCGCTGTCTATCGGCGTACGTGTTGACTGATTCGTCTGTCTATGTCATCTTCCTTTGTGTAAGAAAGGGTCCCAAAACACCGAAGCCATCCCATTACACCATTATCCCAATGCTTGTAGTAGAAATTTACAAACGCCAGCGCTGTGTGTGTGTAGCAAAATCCCAAAGAGATAAAACGCCATGTAAACAAACCCCCATCTCCCAAACGAAAAAAATCTAAAAACTGAACAAGGCACTCCTCCGCTTCCCAAAGGGATAGACCAGCAGCGCGCTCAGGAACAGGCCGACGGTGATGCCGATGGCGACCTGGATGACGCTCAGCAGCACGGCGAAGGCGACGCTGTTGACCATGCCGCTCTCGGGGCTCGGCGCGCCGCCGCTGCCCGTCGTGTTGTGCGTGATCTGGTTGGCCGTGTCGATGCTCGACAGCAGGCTGCCGTTGGCGGCGAGCCCGGAGGGCACCTGCACGAAGATGGCGGGGAGCATGGCCGCCGCGGCGAGGCTGTAGCCGATGACCTCTGCGCTGCCCGGGGCGCGCTTCTCGGCCTTGGCCTCGTCCTCGGCCTCGGCCGTCTCCGTCCCCGGGGGTCGTTCGCCGCCGAGCTCGTCGTCGTCGGGCGTCGCGGCGCCGCCGCTGCTGCCGCCGACGGCCTCGAGGTCGGCGCTCGAGTAGGAGCCCCGCGAGTGCAGCTTGTAGAACTCCCTGCGCGACTGCTGGCGGCGGTGGTGCGCGGGACGGTGCCTCGTGCGCCGGCGTCGCCACCAGCGCCGCAGGCGGGCGGCGCGGGGCCCGAGGTGGCGGGCCCAGAGGGCGCAGAAGGCGCGCTCGAGGTGCCGGCTCAGGCGCGAGTAGAGGTTGGCCAGGACGCCGACGCACAGGGCGCCGAGGGTGCTGGCGATCTGGGCGTTGTTGTTGAAGTAGGTCGAGGCGTAGGTGTTTGCGGCGAAGCCGGCGACCGAGATGACGAGCATGACGGGGATCTGGCGCCACTTGGCCTGGTTGACGATGCACAGGCAGACGGTGAAGAGGGGCACGAAGAGGAAGTACCAGGGGCGGCCGAGGGGCGCGGAGCACTGCGTGTCCGAGGTGGCGCTGCTGTCGATGGTGCCGTAGATGGTGGCGCCGATGGTGATGCCGTAGCCGAGGAAGAGGGTGTAGATCATGGCGTAGACCATGCGGATGGAGCCGGCGACGATGTTGTGCGACTGCAGCTCCAGCGAGGCGCAGAGGACCATGTAGCCCGGCAGCAGCAGGGCGATGGAGGACTGGGCCAGGGCGGAGAAGCAGAAGACCTTGCCGCCGCCGATGGAGCCGAAGGCGCGCGCGAGGAAGGTGGTGATGACGGCGGCCGAGATCTCAAACACGTTGGCGTAGAGCTCGGAGGAGGGGGCGACGAGCAGGGCGAGGGCGCCGACGATGCAGCCGAGCAGGAAGGCGACGGGCATGTCGACGAAGCGGCCCTGGAAGGCGAAGGGCGCGACGGTGGCCGAGGCGAGCCCGTAGAGCGGGATGCGCAGCCAGGTGCTGAACTTGTCCCGGCGGCCGCTGACGGCCTCGAGCTTGACGATGGCCTGGTCGACCGAGATGCGGTCGTGCACGACCTCCTTGTAGATGCCGTGCACGTCGAGCAGGCGGCCGAGGTCGACGCCCTGCGGGGCGCGCACGAGCTTGACCTCGGCGGTGTGGGTGCTGCTGTCGTCAAAGGAGATGAGCATGCAGCCGGGGATGTAGAGGAACTGGCACTCGATCTCGAGCACGCGGGCCGACATGCGCAGGTAGTCCTCGAGGCGGTGGGTCGGGGCGCCGAACATCATGAGGGCGCGGCAGAGGCGGATGAGGTAGCGGTGGCGGCTGAGGACGTGGGCGATGTGGATGGTGATGCGGATCTGCTCCTCGTCGCGGCGGGCGGTGCGGGGGCTGGCGGTGCCGCTCGCGGAGGAGGAGCCGCCGCCGCCGCCGCCGCCGACGCCGAAGAGGCTGGACCGCGAGCGCTTCATCTTGGGCCGCTGGTGCTTGAAGCGCTCGCCGGCGGCGGCGCCGAACTCGGTCAGGCCGGGGGTGCTGAGCATGGTGGAGGACTCGACGAGGCCGGCGATGCCGGTGGCGGACTGCGAGTGCTTGTGGCTGCGGTACCCGGAGAACAGGCCGCTGTGGCGCTTGGGCGTGGTGGTGCCGGAGGCCGGGGAGGACGGGCGGGACGGGCGGGGCGTCTCGATCGGGGTGGTCGGCTCGCTGTGGCCGGGGCTGGGGCTGCCGTTGCGCGAGGGACCGCCGGCGCCGGCGCCGGCGCCGGACTCGTTGTAGAGCTTCAGCAGGGACGCGAGGATGCCGCCGTTGTACTTGCTCGGGGCCGGGACGTACTCGTGCTCGTGGTCCGCGAACTGCTGCCGGCCGGTGGGCGTGGTCTGCCCGGAGCGCAGGCCGGCGTCGTACTTGAACTGCGAATCGGGGGCGAGGCTGAGCGCGCCCGGGCGCTTCTTGGAGGAGGAGGACGACGACGAAGACGAGTGGTTCTTGGTGGTGGCGTTTCGCCGCGAGTGCGCCCTGACGAGGCGCTCGGCGGCGGCGCGGGAGTTGGCGCGGGCCCTGCCCGTGGCGTAGACGGCCTCGTCCTCCTCGGTGTCGGGGGCGTCTCCTCGGTCGAGCGAGGTGCGGCGCGAGGTCGGCGCGGACCAGTGCTTCTCGACGCTCTCGGCCAGGCGGTCGGCGCGCTCCTTGGCCTCGCGGGAGGACTGCTCCTGGCGGTTGCGGCGGGGGAAGTAGGAGGGCTCGGGCTCGGGCAGCACGAGCTGCGGCGGCGACAGGATCTTGCTGATGGCCTTGGACAGCTCCTCGTGGTCGACGGGGTCGTCGCGCCGCAGGGAGATGTCCTCGGCGCCGGGGGTCGAGCCCGTGCTCATCGTGCCGGCGGCGGCGACGTTGGGGCTGCTGAAGTAGTCGAACTCGGGGGACTGGCGGCTCTGGCCGTCGCTGCTGGAGAACCCGACCCTCTTCTTCTCCTTGCCCTTGGTGGTGGTGGTGCTGGCGGCGGCGCCGGGTGCGGGAGGTGTGCCGGCCCCAAAGGGCGAGTTCTGGTCGCTCATGGCGGGCAGGCGACCGCTGAGCGGCCGACGATCAGCGAGTGTGGGCAGGTCAGGTCGACTGGCTGGGACCGAGAGGACGGTTTCGGTGTGGTGTGAAGAAGGGACCAATGGGTTCTTTAGCCACGAGCGAATATCATCTAGTGCGTGATTTTGGCGGTTGGTAGGTTTTCGGCGGCACCGCTCTCGTTCAGGGCACCGCTTTCAACACCAAGGATTTCTCGAGTGTCGATCAGTAGAGGAGGACTACGGTACAGTTGGCAGTTGGATACTTGGGGGGGCAGTTGAAGCTGCAAGAAGCAGCTGTGTCCTCCTTCTCCCACAGGGTCTTGTGGGAGGGTGAGGATGGGCTTTATCTGACGCGCACATGCACTCGATCCGGACACACGGGGGGACGGACAATGGCTGGCTGGCAAACTGGGAATGGGAATGGGAATGGGAATGGGCAAGGGGAATAGGACCGACCGCTTTCCTTGCGTCATCTGTAGTGGAGCACCGAGAGAGAGAGAGACAACCTGATACCTGATGGCCAAGCAAGCTAGGTATCTACGGAGGAGTACAAGTAGCAAGCGGTTTGCCATGGCCATGGAGCAGGAGAGGAGCAGGAGAGGAGCATGAAGCGGTCCCAGTCAGTCTCCATCGGGATGGGATGAGCCAGACTCTCAACTCTGCACTACTTGTACTTGTATCAGCAGAGCAGAGGAGAAAGCGGGCTTTAAGCGGGGAGACCAACGAGGTCCACTGTCCGCTTGCAAAGCCGGCCGGGAGGGCGAGGAGGCGAACAAGGTTGGGAATGTCTGATAAGGGCGTTTACTAATTAGGGAACGGATGGCGGTGGTTTGGTGTTGGTCCGGGTTTGGTCCGGGTTTGTGTGGTGGGCGTGTGGGAAAAGGCGAAAGAAAAAAAAAGGACAAAGGCTACAACGCCAAACCAAAACAGTCATCATAATACCAGAGTACAAGCAGCTTGACTCGTACTCCGATCTCAACAAACCAAACAGGCCAAGATCGGAGGTTTTTGCTCTGATTCATCCCTCCATCCAATCATCCAATCACCCAATCCACCGCCCGTGAGACACGATTGCGTCAATTGACTTGCATTGACACGTGCAAGCCCAGGTACAAGTCATCTGGCATCTGGCATCTGGCATCTGGCATTTCTTTTCCTGTCGGAAGCGTTCCTTTTGTACAACGAGCAGATAAAGGATGGTCGCACACAGATCTTGCAGTCCCGAATTCTGCAGTGCAGGATCTTTTGTCTCGGGCTTGATTGGGGAGATCGAGAGAATTCGATGGGTGGTGTGCCAAGCTGCAAGTTCCCACAGTTTTGGGTTCCGCCACCGCCGCCTTCTGGAAAGCTCCAGCACTCGGGTACCTGGCAGGCCGCCTGCCAACACGCTATGAGTGCAGTAGTTACAGCACCCGGCAGGCTACAGCAAGTGCTGCAGCGAAAAAGTTTTCACCGCCGTCGCTGCGACCGATCTCGTATCAGCAATCCATTGATCCCTCCGTCGATTGGATCTGGTCTGGAATCGATGATCCAGTACAATACTTGTACAGACGCACACTGCTGGGCCCAATGCTAGGGTAGCACTCAATCTCATGCTTCCCATCTCCATTCCACGCGCCCGGGTCCGGTTATTTCTGCAAATGGCCCAAGCCATCCATGCCTGTGACTGGCTGGGTACGGCTACAAGTACAAGTAGGTAAACATCCCTGCCCTGGCCGGCTTTCCCTAAACGGGGCATCCCGATAAGCCTCAACACGTACGTGTCCGTACAGCAGCAGCAGCAGCAGCAGCAGCAGTGCAACAGCTATCCGGTAGAAGCTGATAATACAAGTACCATCGATGATCGCTGCTCCTTTTCCTTCCTTGTTTCAAAACCCCCACCAGACGTCTCCAGTGCCCGCTTCTGTGGGTGCAATCTTTCACATGTCACGATGTTGCTGCCCAGTCTGTCTTGGTACCAGATCCCGGCCTGCGCACCCGTCCTCTCTCGCATCAGTCTCAGGGGCTGCAGCCCAATCACACCTCGGTCATCAGACGAGACGAATGAGGCTCAAATACCTGATAACAAATCACACACTGTCCACAGAAACACGCACGTTTCTACAAGTACCACGGCCCTGGAACACTCCCTGGACGATGGGCATCCAGACTAGCAGGCGTCCATGCCGGTAGCAATTTGACCGCCTCTGAGATGGAGATCAAACTAACACTCCCTCATCGCCATCAACTCCTACCCATCAGTAACCCCAGTACAAGTACCACTACCTAGAGCTTCCCAACGGCATGCTCCGCCGCGAGTCTAGGCCATCCCCTTCTGTGGGTATCGTGGACCAGAGCCAGCAACCCGGCCCGGTGGAGATGCCCGCGCCAAGCGCCGCCCTCCTCGACCCACGCTTCTCTAATGCTGCCTTACGAAGCCCGTCTGAGCCATTCTCCATATATAAAATAGCGCTCCCTCCCTGTCCAGATCGATCTATTGATAGAAAGTCTGGCGGCTCTCCGACCCGCCCCCAATGGCGAGCCGCCCACGGCCAGCAACCTGCTAAAGGACCAGCTTCATGCCATTGCATGGCCTGCTGTCTCTTGGTCCGAAACCCGAGACAGCCTCTCAAGAACTTACGGCATTACCAACATCGATCCAGATGACACTGTGTCCTAGTCTTAGCTCCCCTAGACGAGGAAACAACCCGTTTGCAATGAATGCTTGGTGAATTTCATCAGGAAGTAAACGGGCCCATTCTTCTCCAAATCTGGTTTCCACCCAGTCAGCTCAGCCACGCCCTCACCGCAGGCTCCGGATTCAAGCTTCTCAGGCCGGCCCACAGCTCCGGTAGTTCCGGCAACAGCGGCCACCGGGGCGTCTCGGGAAGCGGGTCGAAGCTCGGGATGTTGAAGACGGCTCCGATCAAGGCGGCCTCGATGTCGAACGAGACTAATTTCTCCTGATCCAAGATGCCTGCAACATCAAAGTGATGCCCTCCCAAGATCAGAAGCGCCCTTTGACATTCTTATGAACATGCAATGTGGAGCATCTGTCTCGAACCATGTCCAAGTTCCGTACAAGCTGGCTGCTTGCTTGTAGTCTCAATGATCGGAAGGCCCAAAAACAAGCTTGAGTACACAGATCAGATACGAGGTCCACATGAGTAAGACGAAAGAAGCTCAACTACAATTTTTATCCATCTATCGGCTGTCGCATTTTTGCTGTCTCGCCGTGTCTGCCAAATTCGGCAGTGCAGAGGAACCGTGCTTCAAGTCAAGAGCTGTGTTTGCTGGGACCCTTCAGAATCTATACACCCCCCGGTCGGCAGCTCAATTTACAACAACGCATGCTTGCGCGCGTGTGAAAACCAGGGGCGCCAGGTTTCTGCCTCTCAAGGGCACGTCAGATGGCAAGATCAAGCCACTCGGACATGCCCCCGCCGCTATACTGCTCGCCGCCAATCTTGCCGCCCTCCACCGTGCCAAACCATTTGGCCAGACCCTTGGCGATGGGGAGACTAGGCGAATCTCCGTGGTTGGTGAAGTTTATCCGGTATTTGCCTCCCTCCTCCCCGGCGTCAAAGGTGAGTGTGAAGCCGAGGGGCTGCGGCTGGAACCCCGTGGGAGGGTACTCGGCGCCGTTGCCCCAGGGGCGGATGGAGACAACATCTTCGTCAAGGCTGGCTAGTATGACCTTCCCGTGGACCGACAGCCACGCGTACTTGAAGTATCCATCGGGCCCTTTGTACGCTTCGATGGCGCTGAAGACGAAGGGGCCAAACTCGCCTTCTACGGCGTACCAGTTGAGCCACGCGGGCAAGGTGTTTCCCCAGTTCTGTGTTTTTTTTTTATGAGTATTCAAGACACCTTTCACCACCTCGGGAGGTCTTGGACGCGACGTACATGATCGTGATATCCGCCGCCATTCGTAAACGAGATTGCCTTGTCGCCTACAGTGACGTGTGCCACCGAGCGACCGGCGGGCATGGAGACAGCCCACCCCATACCGGCGACGTTCATCAAGTCGGCCTCGGAATCAGCGGCTGGGCGGACAGCACTCCGCGGTCGGGACGTCTACAAAGTTTCGGTCTATTATTAGAGACGACAAAACACGGGATCATCAAAGTACCGGGGGGGGGGGGAAAGGGAACGCTCACCGAGGTGAGATCAACCACTCCGTGGATGTCCTTGTCGGGGACGTCGAATGTGAGGGTGAAGCGAGACAGGTCCTCGGCGCCCGCGAAGCCGGAGCCGGAGCCCACCCAGAGCCCCGACGCTCCTTCGCCCCGCTCGTTGATGACGGCCGACTCCGCCGGGACCACGGCGTCGTAGCCCGTGCCGTCCTGGAAGCGCGCGTGGAAGATGAACCAGCTGGTCGTCGGCAGCTCGAGCCCCCACGCGGCGGGGCTGGCCGTCATGAACCAGGCCGCGACGCCCTGGTCCCCGGACGGCGAGCGGGCGTCAAAGTACCACCACTCAAAGTCGGTCGCGTTGACGAGGCTGATCTTGGCTCCGTCCCAGGGGCCCTCGGAGCCCTTCGTGACGAACCTTGCGTCCCCGGCCTGCGGCTCGGGAGGCACGACCACGCTCCTCGGCTCCCAGCAGTTCTTTGCAAAGCCCCCTATACACCCTGCGACGCCGAGGAAGGCCTGTGGTAACATCCTGTACCTTGAAAAGAAAAAAACTGGGGATTGGCTGGAATCTCTGGCTCTCGGGAATGGGTTGCCAAAACCAAAAGGTCTATCTCATGCTGACGCTCGTCTCGTCTAGTGAGTGATATCCTCATCCTTTTCAATCGTCCTTGTCTCTGTGCGAGAATCCCCACTTCCCCGTGGGGTCATATCTCCCGATCCCCCGCGGGACGTCGCTCCCAGCTTCCGCAGCTTCAACTGGATGATGGAACACGCGGCTACGAGCAGCACGGCCCGGAACGTCAAGTGGCCGGTTCCGGACGACAAGTCCTGGTGTGCTTAAGAATTAGCCATCGGTTCGTTGAACCTAGTGACAGGGGAGTATGCGTTACATAAACCCCGTACAGAACGACTCGAGGAGCATTTCAACATTACAAAGTATGTAAGCATGACTAGTAATGTCAGACATAGATACAGAGTTAGCCATCGAGGCATCCTGCGGAGGCTCTGCTATTGCATCAGTTTTTCGAGTCCGTACGACAAAGGGCGATACTGGGATATAAAGAGAGCATAAGCAAAGCCACAGAAATGTAGCCTCATATAGGCGATGTGAAAATCCACAAGCCTGAGGATTCCGGTCACCATCAAACAAAGTGAAAAGCAGCCAAGCTGGCAATGTACATTAGGCGCGTCAGCGGACTCATGATTAAAAGGTTCTTTCTTTAGACTGCCAGATGAATCGACTGGGACTTTATGCAGGTCATTTTACCGTACCCCGAACAAAATTTACCAGTACCCCGAGTAGGTCTCCAAGATATCATGAGAAGGACAAAGACAACAACCGACACCCCAACACCGAAAAAGAAAAGGCACCCAACCGCCCATTTGGGCTTACTCATCCGCCTCGTTCTCGTCGGAGGGCTTGCGGCGACACAAACAGGCGGTCTTGCCCGAGATGCGGGCTGTGACTTCTGCCGGCCCTTCGCCGGCGCCAGCCTCCAGCTCCTCGAGGGCCTCAGGAGCGCCCTCCGCGCCAGTAGTGTTGGCAGCACCGGGGAATGCGGTGGCGATGGCGGTATTGACGGCGGCGGCGACGTTCTCTCCAGCCCAGGCGACCGCAGAGTTGGTGGCCGGGCCAGCCTCAGCAATGGCGGCCGTAAGGCCGGCGGTGATGATGTTGCTGGCGGCGGTGACGGCGGTGGTGATCCTGTCAACGATGGCAGCAAGACAGCGTCACCGGCGGCAGCCCCGGCGACGGCTTGCGCTGTACCGCCGCGGCGGGCGGCCCACACGGCAAGAGAGCCACGGCCACGTCAATCCCAATGTAGGTGCCGATGGTACCGGCCTTCCCGCTGCTGTCGTCGCGGGGGACGAGGATGACGGGGATGGGGGCCATTTTCGATTGTTTCTTAAAAAAAAAAAAAAAAAGAAATCCAAGGGAACAGAGCAGGGGGGCGGGCGGAAAGCGGGCGTAAAGGGACCGGAAGCAACGGAAATCGGCAAGACGAAAGGCCTTTTTTTTCTTTTTTCTTTTTTTTTTTTTTTTTAAGAAACAATCGAAAATGGCCCCCATCCCCGTC